TTTTTTTTTTTTTTTTTTTCTTTCTCTTTATATCCAAGGTACATTTTTTTCATCCAAACTATATTTTTTTTTAAATCCAACCTACATTGAAAGAATAAATTAGATTCTAAACGTATAATATTTTACTTATTTTTATTTGATCCTATACCCCTTTCCCCCTTCCTCTTAAGAATGAGGCCCATGGCCATTACGAGCATATATCCTCGTCTGCATACTGCTTCATCTGAATTAATTCCAATTTCCCGCTCATCGACCCGACCCACCTGCATTTTCACCTTTTCATTTGTTCACTGTCAGCATCTGCATCTGCATCAGGGTCAGCATCAGCATCGCCTTGGAATCGAGGACTGATGCGAAATGAATGGACACGGCGTTTTGGATATATACCAGATACATGATACCAGATACCAGATACCAGATACGCGCTTCCGCCCTGTCCTGCTTTCCTCTCACCCTCGCCCTCGTCCTCGCCTTTGTCTTCCTCACCAAGCCCTTTTTTTTACTGTTTCTTTATACATGTACTTCACGTCCTTTTCTCTGACACTCACATTAAATTACAACATTCTCTCTGTTTTACTTTCAATATTTTCTAATCAGATATGTATTTTCGTTCTGTCTACTGTTCGCATGAAACTTCACAAACTTACCAACAGCAAAAGAGAAATTTATCACAACCAATGGAATGTTCACCAAATCATTTTGATAAATCTATTTCTTCTCATTTTATATGGTTCTTTCCCTGTAAATATTTCCGGAAAATGGAAAAGGGAAATAAAAGTTAATGAGACGATGAGAAATATGTTAGCTACAATTGCAAGTAGCTCAAAGCAAGCAAAGTAAGCAAGGTAGATGACTAGTTAGAGGTAAATATCTGCCACCACGTGCCTGCCATCATTTAGTGCTACCCCATCCCCTCAAATCGCATCAAGCGTCGATTATGCACATGAGCAGAACCCGTCCATACATACATACGTGCATACATACAAACATACGCGTCATTAACATGGCCTCGTCCCTGCCCATGTTCTTCTCATGTAGTGTCAATAGTTGTCAAGCTCTGCCACATCTATCCGGGTAGCTTGCGGAGCAGAGCGTAAAAAGTACAGAAAACAAAGAGAAGAAGAGAAAAAAGAAAAGAAGAGAGAAGAAAAGGCAATATCCCATGCCACGTAACAACGTGAGTAAAGGGATGAATCGAAAAGCGATTAAAGCCCAGTATAAATGGAAAAAAAAAAGTTCCGGAAGAAGAAGAGTAAGTGGTCGCGGGAAAAAGTGTAGCAAGAATGAAGCCAATACCATGCTCGACAGAGTCAGGCAAGGAAGAAGAAAAAAAGAAGAAGGTAAAGGGGGCATATTAGAGTACGGGAATAATAGCCCCATACTGGCTCGCTTGCACGCCACGGACGCTCAGAGCGCTCGACAAATGCTAAAAGAATTAAAAAAAAAAAGGTGAAAAAGAGGATTATCCGCTGTAGCTGGAGCAGAAGAATGAAAAAAGACCATTTTGAAAAAGAGCCGGTCCTTGCCTGTGACATTGGTGACTCCCCTTCCTTTCTAGAGCCACCACACAAAGCAAAACATGACGGCGGCTAAGCCGACCGTCATACCCGCAACTTCCTTACCACCCGACGCCGCAGAGCCCTTCTTTGTAGCCGTAGGCGACGTTGACGAAGTGGTGCCTGTAGGAGATTGTTTTGAGGTGCCACTAGCACCGCTCGAAGAGGTGGCAGCTGCAGCCTTGTACGTCTGTCCCAAGGTTGGAAGGGGGCTGGATGGATCCACTTCCCAGATACCAGACGTGGAAGCGGGGCATGCCGGGGGTTGGTTGGTTGGTGTATAGTCCGACAGCTTGGTTCCGGATGGCGTCGCCGTTGCCCACTGGCTCATCAAATTGCTAAAGTCAGGTGAGACCGGCGTAGGAGTGCCGGACCGCGGAAATCCGTCAATGGCACCAGTCGCAGTGGCCGCAACCTTGGGGCCATAATTTACAAGGCCGTAATTGTTGGTTTCCTCAATCCATTCGTAGACAATGGCGCCAGACCAGTATGGACTCATGTCATCACCAAAGATGGCAGACTGGTCTTGGAAGGTTCTCGGGGGGTTCGTGTTGCAGCCAGTCTCCGAAAAGAAGATGGGAATGTTATACTTGGTCACGTTTGCCGTCAACTGGCTATAACCAGAGACGGTATATGAAGATGAGCCGCACCACTCGTATGCATTGAGTGAGAAGAAATCCAGCGCCTCAGAGCTATTAGTCCCACATGCCAAGTAATTCTGAAGCATGGGCCGCAGAGACGCAATGTCGGCTAAAAGGAGGCAAAAATAAATGAGCATATGCCTATCAAGGTCATAATCGTGCAACGAAAGTAAACATACCAGCAGAATAACCAACGGGGATATTCCTGTAATTCTTCGAATCACGGTATGCTTTGACGTCACGAGCAGCTGCCTTGACATAGGGTGCAGCGACGGAGCCATTTCCTGGAAACGATTCGTTAGAAAAGAGAAATGGAGCCCCCAGATGTTCATGCCATACCAGTGGTAAGAACCTCATTACCAACAAGGACGCCTGCTGTATTGTCATATTTCTGGAACTCATCCAGGACCTGCTCGAAAGCGTTCAATTGAGAGGTATTCCAACGAGGACTCTCCTGCACACACTTTGTCAGCAATCGCCAATCGAGTGAAACAGAATTACGAGGTACGCACCTGCTCGATAGCAGTGTCAAAGGTGTCCAAGTCAACAAAAAGATAAATGCCTGCATCAGCAAAGGCATCCATACAACCTTTGTGGTCTCCGGTAGGATCAACGTGGTAAACACGGATGGTATTGGCACCGAGTTTTTGCATCAACGAAGCGTCTAGTTGACATTGATTGGTGTCGATGAGAGGATCATCTTCCGTGAGTTGATATGCCACACCTACCAGCAATCGGTGAGTAAGATGTCTTTGCAAAAGATGAAATGTACAGCTGAACATACCCTTGATGAAGAACTGATTGCCATCATCGGTGAAGAATTTAGAACCCTTGACAGAGATCTGAGAGATTGCTTCAACCGATGAGACCGCAACCATAGCGGCAGCGGCCGCGAGCTTCCAGAACCGAGCCATTGCTTGAGATTGATTTCAATTGTTCGAGGAGGTTGAGAGGATTATCAATTATGAGGGACTTGAGTCCACGGCGAGAGACAGACGCGAAGCGCTCTATTGAACCAAACACTCAAAGCGATTATTTTCCGACGGTCGAGAGCGAGAGACTGAAGAACGGACGAAGGTTCGAAAGCACTCGAGCAAAACCAAGTGAGCGAGAAGCGTGGAGGGCCAAACGAACGGGTGGCACAGTCACCAGGCTATCAGATCTTTCCCAAATTCTTTCCTTCCCTGAGTCGTAACGAATGCAAGATCCACCAAAGGCGAGCGAAATGCCCACAGTGGGAGGTATTATGAATTAAGAGGGGATTATGCGAGTCGAGAAAGCAAGAGAAAGGAAGGAAAGGTCAGGCAATGAAAAGAAAGAAGTTGCCGTCTTCCAGATGGTGAAATTAGATCGCGCGTTAGGTTCGCGGGCCAGGGTATAGACCGATGCGGGTGGGTGTGTGTGGGGAAAAAGTTTTGGGTTGGAAGCTACTACCACTACTACTTCTATCAAATACAATACAGTCCTTTACTATCATCACTTCTCACAATTATATTTGCGGAGACGGTTATGCCTGAAAAGACAAGGCTACCATACTCCTGCTGATCTTGCAGGGACCTCCGGTGGCAGTAGTGCTTGCTGTGGTTGTCATGGTAGGATGATTATTATCAAGGCTCCTTTTGGAAAGTAGAGAAACAAACCGAAACATGGGCCATCAACGGCATGTCGCTTCTTGCGCCCACGCCGGAATGGGAGCGAACCGGGGACAACATAGCAGTGTGATAACAACGAGTATGGAATTATCCTTGTGATAAGGAAAATATCAACCCTTGACACATGCATCACTGTATTAAAACATGAGGTACACATTGTCAATCAGTCTATCAGGACGCGCTCCCCCACGATGTTACAGTACAATATTTCTAGACAGTTCGTTCCTTATTGCATTGGCTCTGGACCCGCATGTCGGGATGGTATCTTGACGAAAGCTTGGCTTGTTGCCTTGATTTTTTCCTCCTGTGTCGCTCAGGCCATGGCGTGGCCGTCGGCGAAAGGGTGTAACCGTGTTAGGGCATAGCGGCAAAGAACGCGTCGAGCCGTCGGCCGTGGTCTTGCCCCTTGAACGGTGCGGGCGAGGGACCAAGGACGTACCTCTTGCCCCAGTAGGAAAAGCCTCTGTGCCGCTGGTGCTTGTCCTTCAATCAACGAAGCCCCTGAAAGGTGGGAAAAGGCACCAGTCGCCGGCGAGCCAAAAGTTAGCGGCCACACAGGTCAACAAGCTACAAGGCCTAATGTCCAGTCATTTCGGCCTGGACCGATCTGGAGAGCATGAAAGCTGCCAAGTTGTCAACGCGGCCCCAGCTTCGCTCACGCAGCGACGGCGGTCGATCGCATTGTTTGCCGAGATATGGAGGAAATGGGGCAGGGCGAGAAGAATGAGGGCGAACAAGGCTTTACCCAGGAAAGTGCTGCTGCGATATACCTCATGGAGTATAAACAATACCTTTCCTGCAACTGACTTTTAGTGATGATCGTCTGGAAGTTTCCGACTCATCGGTAATGCAGATGACCACTTGGCCGATCGGCGGATTAGAGTGCCGTTGAAACATCAATAACCTTAATCTCCACGCACAATCAGGATTTGCTGAACACGACCGTCATTTAGAGTCGCCTATAAAATATCCGGAAAGTGCGCTTTTCCACTTCTGCTTGTCGCAGAATTTATGGATACATCATCCCCGCTCTTGGCATCTTTCACATCGACGTTACAGGAATGATTTCTGAGCGAGTCAGTTCTTAGACCAAATAGGCCCATCCCTACCGAATGAAAAATCACAGAGCTACAGACTGTGCGCGGCTGTCCTCTTTCGCTAGCAGCATCATTTCAGCAGAGAAGAAAAGCAAAGCATAAACGAACTGGTGTAACATTATTCGGTATACAGTAAATAAATCTTCGTATTACAACCCAAGAGGCGCAGCTCTACGTTTATTACCTCGAAGAGCGACTACTCTGTACAGTTCTGCTAATAATGGTGTAAAAACCAATGCAGAGGGCCTCTAAAAGGAGAAGCTCGTATTGAATGGCCATGGGAAATGCAACAAGTTCCATCATTGCTCGTCACAGCATTTATTGAAATGCAACAGCCGCCTGCTTGACGAACAAACTGTTGCCGCCACACATTCCGGGTGGCGTTGGCAAAGGAAAGGGCAGAATGTCAAAGAAGACTGCCAACACGTTGCAGTACACACGTGCAAAGCGACTTTTTAGTTAAATTGCTGTAGTTGCCATGCAATGGAAATGAGACCGCCCCCCCCCTTAAAAGGAGACTGATTTCGGTAACTATCGGATAGCCCAATTGGGAAGGATTTATTAACTCGCTTTGCTGGGGGGGCTGAATTGGGGGCTTTCGGCTGCCGGCCATAGGGGAAGGTCGACCGCCACATCTGGTCCAGAGTGCTCGCCAAGTTGACTGGTGCCCACGCCCTATAGGCCATTACACAGTATTCCAGACCGTCCTCACAACCTCTGACCTGTAGTAACTTACCTTAGTAGTTGCCCAAGATACTCTGCGCCTTTTGAGTTTCCTCCATGGCGACTATTGGAGCTTGCACCGACTGGGATTAAATATTACTTGCCGTAAAATGGTTAAAGAGTGTGCATGATCAAATCGGGCGATCCAGCCCATGGTTACCAGTGCACGCCTACAGATCTTCACCCAGGGGTATTTTTATACGCCATCCAGCACCATTTATTAACTATTTAATATGTGCTCCACCGCCAATACGTCAACGTATCCTGCGGGGTTGCCGTAGACTACTAATACTTGGTGATTTCCTCATCCACGTTTGATCTTTTCTCTTTCTCCTTCTCTCTCTTCCTTTCCCCCTTTTTTTTTTCTCCTTCCTCTTTTCTCCCTTTTCGTTCCATCTTTGGCCAGGGGCCCCCTTTTCAATGTTCGACTATATGGGTGTGTGCGAAGAATAATAATCCGACCAATCACCGATCCCGGTTCCCTCGTCTAACTGCCCAGTTTTGCTCACCGCCAAAATCATGTCTCTACCGACGTCACCGTTTGTGCTTCATCCTGATGATGTGGCCTACCTTGAGTCTTGTGAGGAATTCCAACGGCTCAGGCAGTCCCTGGCCAAGGAGGATGATGATGATGAGTATGTCTTGATCGACTCGCTCTAAATGATATGAGTAGTGGCCCATCTAATCTCTCCGCGCTCGTAGTTTTTGTGACGAACATTGTCCCGCAACTGAGTCGCAGCGACGTGATGTGATCCTGCATCGCGACATAGTTCGCATTTTGATCGCTCCGGTGCTCCGGTCCCATGAGAGAGCAGCACAGCTGGCAGAGTCGCGATTGAAGAGATCCAAGTCGGCCGAATTGGAGCGGGCTTTTAAGGGAGAAGCTCGAGGTGCCTTTCTTTGGCTGCAATGCTTTGTATCTGACGAAGGAGAGTGGTGCTCGACACAGGGATGTCCAGGTATGTCTTTCTAATATCTCCCGAAGCTTTCATGCGATACGGTATGAAATGGCATATTGGACATGGTATTGACAAAATACAATAGGATGCACAGTACACTACGTCTTGGAGTCCGAGTCTACAGTTCGGATTGCGCTGGTGGCATCTCGACTTTCTGCACACCTTCCCGCTGCCTCAGATCCGTCCGTGCCTTTACTAGATTTTGAATTTTGGCAACGTTCAATGCACGACGCTCTTGATCAAGATTCTTTTTGGGGGCCGGGCCATTGGGAAGACATTTTGCATCGCGCACTGCGTCTAGAACGCGGCATCCAGGAGTTGATGTCACAAGCTCTCGCACTCGAGGACGCACTTCGACATTCTGGCGGGCATTCGAGCTCTCCTCTGCTATCCAAGTTCGCCGATGTCAGCTGTGCGCTTTCACCACCAGCCTCACTAAAGATTTGCAAGTCACAAATGGCCGATCACCAACTCCGTCTGATTGAAGAAGAAGCGCGATGGATTCGAAATTTAGTCGTCGCCTGGAGCAGTGCCTTCGCCGACCCAAGTTCTCCCAGTTCGCCAGCAACTTCGCCTGGTATTATGGCCCCCTTTCGTCGGCGCTCTTTGACTGCTTGGACATAAAGGGTGAAAAAGAGACGCGCTTATCTATTCGGTGTCTCTTGGGGAAAGACTATTCGCTTTGGGATTCTGTTACGTATACGCTCATTCTGAAAGCGTAAGGTCATCAAACAGGTATCGGAGTTACAGTGATTGGCGCAAAGTGGAATCGTAACAAGATAGACGGCGGGGGGGGGGCTCTCTCTTGGACATGTATATGGACTCAGATAAGGCGTGTCTATACAGGATAGCATTGGTCGGCGTTGTGGGGATCTTGCATAGGATCTTGAATTGGGTTTAAAATTAGGTATAGGGTGCCATTTGTCCCAGATTAATCGTAATACTAAATATCACTTTCCAATATACACTTGTGTACAAAGTGACAGTCTAGGGCGGTGTGGTTCAACAACGCGCGCTCCGGAAGGTGGATGATCGCTTTTCGTTAGGCTTTCATTACATTTAACAAATGAGGCCGTTCGCAAGCCGGTACAGTACAGTACAAGGGCAGTGATTTGAAGAACACATGGTTACCTAGGCGAGTCAATAAATGACGAGCTTTGCGTCGGAGAAAATCGTTATCAGGAATAAGTTGCTAGGGAACTTGGCGTGTCTGAGAGGGCCTGCCTAAGGCATGTAACGGCAGCAAAGCTAATGATACAGTTTACTATTCCGAATCAAATGATTGGTGCTCTAGGCTAGTCCTTAGATCCAGCCAGAGTACACTCATCACAGAATACGCATGCTGAAGATCTTCCCATCGCTGGGCCATCTCTCCTCTGTCGCCTGAGAGGTGGAGCCGTCTCCTCACACGGTCGAAGAACCACTCTCGATCCCGTAAAAGAGCAAGGAAGGATCCTGTGCCCCAGCTATCAAAACGGATAAGCGATGGGAACAGGCGAACCGCTCGCACAAGTCCTTAGCGCGGGACCCCATCCAAATGTTCGTTCCACTGCCATGCGTTAAGGTTACGGAGTAAGGGTCCACCACCGAGAAGTCACTGGCACAGCGAGAGGTGAAGTCCTTATCTTGCAATGAATTGATGTGCTATCTAACCGTTGCTAGTGCGAATCGATGGGCTTGATCGTGTTCTTTGAAAGAAGGTCGTAATTTCAGATGATGTTGCCAAGGCACTATTGTTCTTGGAACTGCCATGAAATCCAAGTCGCGCTTGTCACCCATGAGGCTTCACTTTACAGTGGGATGGCGACGAACCTGTTTCGCCGATAAGATCCCAGCAACAACCTCCACTTTGTCTTAGGGAGAAGCCTTATCTTCACCCTCCTTTGCTTCAGCTTCCATGAGCGCCAAGCGACGTCCATCCCGATTTGGCCAATTGATTGCTTTTCTGCATTGCCAATCTTTCGACCCCTGGGAGCCATTGATATGCTGGTCGGACGCAGCGCAAACCCTTCGAGATAGGGATGCAATAGCAAGCCCGGACACTTGCATCCGGGAATTTTCTATGGCCGATCCATATCTTCCCTTACAAGTTGTCCCTTGTGTTGCCTCAGATGTTGTGCTCCACTACGTGCCAATGTAGTTGTCTAGACTGGAGTGCATGTGCCTGGGTCGACTGATAATGGGCTATCTCGTGCGGCCGTACGTTACATCGGAGTCAAGGCTCATCCCCCGGTGAACACATAAATAGAGACATGTCAGGTGGCAGACTGGAGACATCTTTCAGCTCATACCTGCATCTGCTAGTGATCTGGTTGAGCCTATTTCAGCCTTGTGTCCTGTCTTTTTGCAATATCGATAACTGAAGTTAATTCAATTCAGACGCAACTGACTGGCCACCAATGACGGACCAGGACCAGAAGACCGTACAACTGAACGAGAAGACCTTGGATGGTTCTTCTCCTCCTCAGTCTGATGTTGAGGTCGGCGAAATTCTCGAAGATCATGGAGCCGACTACGGACTGCAGCGCCGCCTTGGCTCTCGCCACCTGACCATGGTTGGAATTGGGTCTTCCATCGGAATGGGTCTATGGCTAGGCTCTGGTACTTCCTTGACTCGAGGCGGCCCAGCAAGTATCTTCCTTGGATATGTCTTGTCCGGTACAGTTGTGTGGGCCGTCAATCAGTCAATTGGAGAATTGGCTGTCATGTATCCTCTTCCGTCTGCATTTGTGCGATGGTCGTCCAAATTCATCGATCCGTCCATGGGTTTTGCACTCGGTTGGGCCACTTTCTTCAGCTCGCCCATCACAATGGCAAATGAAATCCAGGTAAATACATTTTGGAAGGATATACTTGATTCGGATCTGGAGCATCGCTAATACACCACGTGCAGGGCTTGTGTACAGTACTAGGCTTTTGGACAGACAAGGTCCCAATACCTGCTTGGGTCACTATATGGGCTATTGTCATCATCGTCATCAATATTGGCGCTGTCAATATCTGGGGAGAATTCGAGGTCACTGCGTCTTCGATCAAACTCTTCTGGATCGTCGTTGTGATCATCTCCTGTATCGGTATGGATTACTTTGAATACATCATTTTACCACGGCCAGTTAACTAATGCTTATTTTTTTCCGACTACAGTCATCTCCGCTGGAGGAGGACCCAAGGGAGACGCAATTGGTTTCCGTTACTGGAACGAGATGCCCTTCATAAATGGCTTCAAAGGATTCCTGCGTGTAATGCCGACCTGTATTTTCGCCATGAGCGGCGCTGAGAGCAGTGGAATTGTTGCGGCCGAGGCCGGAAACCCTCTCAAGGCTGTGCCTGCTGCTGTTCGTAGCATTTGGGTTCGCCTTTCACTATTCTACGTTATCGGTGCACTCATGGTTACCATTACCGTCTCTCCCAAAGATCCCAACCTCTTTGGTGGTTCCGGTGTCAACGCTTCTCCATATGTCATTGCGTTCCGCAATGCTGGCGTGGAGCCCCTGGCACATATCATGAATGCTGTGATTTTTGTCTCCGTTCTGTCGACCGGATCCATCTCTCCTTTGCTGGGATCTCGCACCATTCTGGGTCTCGGAAATCTCAAGATGGCTCCCAAGGTATGGAACATTTCCTCCACTCTGTTGACCCCCGTACACGAGTCTGACAATGTACTTTTGATGTTTAGATCTTCGCAAAGTGCGACAAATCAGGGCGTCCCTGGGGCGGTTTGTTGCTTGTTTTCATTATTGGCTGGCCTCTTGCCTACCTAAACGTCAACCATACCGCATCTGAGGTTTTCACCTGGCTTTCTAACTTGACTTCGCTCTTCACCCTTTTCACATGGGGCCTCATTTGTCTGTCGCACATTCGTTTCCGAGCTGCGTGGAAAGCACAGGGCCACAGTGTCTCTGAGCTGCCTTGGAAGACCAAGACCTTCCCCTTTGCTGCGTGGTGGGGTTTGGTCTGGTGCATGATTCTCATTGTTGTCGAGTTCTACCTCGCCGTCTGGCCGCTCCACGCAAAGTCGTCGGCGCAGACTTTCTTCGCCAACTATGTCTCTGTCATTCTTATCATTCTACTCTATTTTGGTGCTCGCTTCCACTACAAGGGTGCTTGGTTCATTGCCGCCAAGGACATTGACCTCCGGGAAGGTCGCCGATACTATGCTGCACGCAAGGAGAAGAAGGGTAACTTTATCAAGCGCGCCATTGACGGTATGATGGGTGGCGGTAGTTTTTGAATTAACGACGTTGCTCTGTTTTATACTCATGGAGTTTTGTGTTGGAGGGAGAGTGGGATGAGCATTGCACCTTGAGCATCACTTTGCGATCGTTTCAGATTTTTTATTTTTCGGCGTGTTTGATATAATTGTTTCGAGACATCAGGTCCTCTTTGGCCGGCCCTGGTAGCGATTTTCATTTTTTGTTTATAACTTTTTCGATACCTTGCCCCTGCTTGGGAGGCGCCGTACAATTTTACATTCCTTCAATCGTTGCGTAGTGGGTTCAGAGTCGAGGATCGAGATATCAGGAGCTTTCTCCTTGCAAAGCGAGTCATAAAAAGACATTGCCATACCTGTTCCACGTGCATCTCATCAAGGCACACATTACGTAAATAGTAAAATGTCAACAATTCAGAGGTGCACAACACATATCAATACATGGGAAAGATTGAAGCGCTGCAACCGCGAACAGAATTGGATCGGTCGATTGCGCGCATAATCTTTAGTCTGGCTAAATATGCCAAATGGGACTGTTGCTTACTGAGTATATACTATTGCCTGAGCCAAGCCACGCCAACCAACTACATATACTTCGACACGGGATAACTCAGACATAGCTACGCCGCTCTTTTTTTGGGAAACAACTCCACTCCAAGGCAAGAAGAAATGTCTTCTTCCACTTTTCTTGTGCACTGGTAGCAGCACATGAATTATTTTGGAAACACATTGCAGATTGCGCAGCAGAATGGAGGCTACATAACTGGCTGTACGTAAATTATCGGATAATGGAAAGCCCCCGAAGATGGCCCGAGGCCCAGCCAGCGAGCGAACGAGAATGGTAAGAGGGAAACATGCTGAAACCGATGCTGCAACACAACAGTCGCAACCCGCAATTAACATGGTACCTATTATATCCTGAGTATGTTTCAAATACCTTACAGAGGGAGCAGAGGTTGCGAGCTAGGATGATCAATCTTGAAAGGTAAGGTCGGAGAACCCAGTAAATGTAGCACCACAAAGCTGAAATGTACCCAGTAATGTAGCAACTATAAAACTGAAATATACCCAGTAAAGGAGCAACAATAAAGCTGAAATATAATATATTCATGTCATATTTTTCAGGCGGGCAAGCCAAGGTGGAATTCTCGGAGCTGATCTTCTAGCGTGCAAGTCAAAAACAAGACTATATCAGCCATGCAGCTGTGCATGCCTCCCTCTGTACATGGCTATGCATGTAGCGTGCATGTGCGGGAGCATGATTGATCTTGAAACTGATGGGTCTTTTTAGGTAATTGCCTTTATGGATGAAACCGTCAATTGAGGGTTCATATTAGAGTCGGGCACTCCGTAATAGTCGAGATGAGGGTATTGCGTGGTACTTGTATTGTGAACAATCTTCAGGGGACTGTGCTGAAGTGGTTTTTTAAGAAGATAGAGACTGTTCGTTGGGCTAGCTAGATGTCTATCACAGTACCTCAATACGCCCAGCTACTTCTATAGATCTCACACATACCCGCAAATCCACTGTCACATTACCCTTTAGATAATGCCGGGAGACAAAGCCGCGAATTCGCTACGGTGTACAGCTCTGTCTGAGCGCCATGTCTGGATTTGCCTCGTTCTTGGCTGGGTGGTTTTGCCGCGTGTCCTTGTGTACCGTGAGGCAGGCTGGGCAGGAAGTCACCCCCTAACTCAACTCAGCTCAACTTGACTCTTCTGCGTGCGTCGCATCGCCATGGCTGGGCTGGGTTGACTTGCTGCTACAGACAAGAAATGAATCTTACAGAAACCAAAAGCGAAGACATGCAACAGTGACCACGACTGTCCTCGGCATCCAGACACCATTTTCGATTATCATCAATTGGCCCGGGATGCTTTTGATGAAAATGCTACTTTACTGTTTTTATTTTTATTTTTTTCTCTCTAATTCTACAGGACAGCTCTGCGAAAATCGTCTTTTGAACATTACCTGGCTGCACCATGTTGGCTTGTCCCCAACCCGATGACCATAGTCTCACATTGATTCGTGGTGGCTTGATTTTGACTCATGGCTCTGCTTTGGGCAGCGTGCGTGTGTTTTTGGCCTGACTCGAGTACGCCTACGTGTACAGTCATTTTGGTGAGAAGACGAAACGGAGAAGTAAGATGCCGGATTCGGCGTTACACAAGGTAGAATTCTACAACTATCGGGCGAATAGTAGACGAACGACGAACACTCAGAGAGAAAGAAGGGAGGGGGGGCGGGAAGGGACAGAGAGCGAGGGGAACGAGGGAACTGACTCCGGTCGTGGCTTCGGATATAGCGCACCAGGGCACGCTCGCTTGGCTTCACGCGCGACACGCCGTCGCTTGCTTCGGTTGTCCCCACCAAGAACTCGCTACATAGTGCATTATGCACCCATCGCCTGGCAGAATACGACGATGATCGTCGCCCACACAAATACTGGAGATTCGATACTAACGCTGTAAATAGCTCCATAAAGTAGTTATCGATTTGTGTTTATAGTGGTCAGACTGGGGCAGAGAAGAGTAATGGAGAAATGAGCTAATTGACGAACTACGGTAAGAAAAAAAGCACTTTGGCCGCTTGCGATGATTGCGTGCTAGTGCGATTGTGGACTGTCAATGATAGAGCAGTTATCTCGGGAAATATTTATCGCAGCAGATCATGATGGGGAAAATATGGGCCACCTCGTTCATGGGCAGGAAGGAACGGGTTCAGACACGGGCTGTGTTTAGGTTTGTTATTTTGCTCAGTCCGTCAAGGAAGCAATGCAGAGCGACAATAACATGATGATGGCGAAAGAGTGCAAATCTGAGCCTTTTCCAGGCCGAGTTTGTTGTCCTTTGGGTTTCTTCCCGTCCACTAATTATTGTCAATTTTTATTTTCAATTTTTTATTTCTTTTCGCTTCCTTTCTATTTTGTTCCGTCCTGACTCTTAATTCCGCTCAACAGGATGCCCCTCTCGGCTGACCGGGCCTTTCACATTCACAAAGGCCAGAATCGATCATGGATGATCCTCGTCGGTTGATTTCTTTCAACAATTGGTGTCTGGGGACCTAAGGTAGTTTGTCCGGGTCCAGGAGGAACCACCTAAGGTCGCAGACACTTGATCGGATGTGGAGGTCTAGCCTAAGCGGCGAGTAGAAGTTACTTTTGTCCATTTGTTCGCTTTCTCTCTATTTCGTTTAACGTGGGTCGGTCGGCTGAATTTACCCTGACGACTCGAGTTATAGGACGAGATGACTTAGCTGGTTCTCTTGGACTCGTCAGTGGTCGTGGCGCACTATGTTGGTTAGTGAGTGAATCCTCCACACGTCTAGACCGAGTTCTACTCGCTCGGACCAGTGAGTCCATGGCCTTACCCTGGCCTTTCCTTCTAAATCCCTTACCCACCTAGAGGAACTAAAAGGCAAAAAGGGAGCGGCTTACCCGTCGTCCTGCTCTTTTTATCCACTTAATACTACTGTACATACGACCTGCTAAACTTAACCCAACCTCAGGGCCTGTGTGCGTGCGTGCGTGCGTGTTGTACGTACCTCCGCTGTTGCGTACCTTTCTTGCTTTTGATTTTCACCACCTTCTCCCGTCTTCCGTGCGGCCTGCCGTTCTTCCCCACAACTATACCTGTAACTGACTTTTGACCAGTCTACCTTTCCAAGGTATCGATTGAATGCAGCACTTCCTTTCAACGGCTCGTTGCCTCATCTCCACGCCTCGTCCGCTCGTCGCATAGATATACGGGCCTGCCCTTTCCTGCCTTTGCAGTAACGCAGCGCTCTTACGGACAAACTCCATACGTCCCCCAAAGTCGCCAGTATCGACCCAGAAACTGCTTTCCGCTCGCCTTTCGGCCGTTTGGGCTCCACACCTTCAGCTGTTTCTGCGACGGGCCAGTAGTCTGCTTACCTATTCGTTCCTCATCCTTGCTCGTTCCGCCATCCCACGCTCTTTCGCTCGTCTCAAAGTCGGTTCCGCCCTTGCCTGGGTCGCCGTCGCCATACTTTTGGCTGACTGTCCTGCACCACCGTTCTCGTCCCTCGCCGCGCTTTGGGGATCTTGTGTTTGATCCTGACTAGACTGACTTGTCCCACACACGTACACCCACACCCTCCATCTCTCCGATCTTCGGTCCACACTATCCCCGGAAGCTGCCTGGGTAACTTCGAATCTTCAATCACTTCTCTCCTTCAGCTCTTAGACATACATACTCGCACGCAACATAATCCTTTCATCCAACTCTCGGAACTGAGATTTGATCGCCTTGCCAACCCCTCGGTTCAACCCTCCGTGCGTTCCTGCTTCATTGCCCGGCAAGCTTACCCTCGTTTTCTCCTCTGCCATTCTCTACTTTTCCCTCTCACCTGCCCCACTAAAGAGAAAGTGGGAGGGAGAAGACGAGTCCTTGGTGGTGGCCGCCCACACAGTCCACCGCGCGCACACGCCTTACAATTTAACAACCTGGATCCAGCGTTGGCTGGCTCATGGGTCCTCCTGGACATGCAGTCGCAGGGATTGATTCCTCCGATTTGCCTGTAGAGATTGCTTTGCCTGCATCTCCGCCGCAGTTGTCTCCTTTCATTTCTCGCCAAATCCCTGACACGAATGACGAGATTTGTTCCAGTACGGATGCCCTGGAAAGTAACGCCAGCACAGAGAATAAGGTGGCAGTAAATCTGGAAAACGAGAGCCCCTTGAAGAGACGAGGGACCCGCCATCCCAATAGTTACCTACACCATACCTTTCCTCGAGACCGGCCGCATCGTTTAGTCCGTTCCAATACCGTGGGGCCTGAATTTTCAGCCTCCAAATCCGTTGCTCCTCGACCATTACAACATACCCCGCGGAGGCCTCGCGAATCCGTTGCCGTAAAATCGACGCTTTGGCAACCTGGGAGGCAGCAACGTCTCCCGTTTGACCTTCACAGTATTACGTCCTCTCATGCCGACTTGATTCGGTCACGATCTCGACAACTCCTGAGCGAATTGCATGAACGCCGCCTCGTAGCTACGGATCAAGTCTTCCTTAGCCCATTGCGGCTTGCTGAAATGGGACCCCTGGACCTGAACACCGGTGACCCACGAGGACTAGGCCTTCATGGAATGGGGAATATTGATGACAGTCATCAACCAATGCACTCGCGCCCTCAGTATTCCTTCATGCTCACTCCGCCCGATGACAATGGTGCAATGGACTGGACTCCGTCCCCTGCACCAAAGGACCCTCCAGAGAACTCGGAAACCCCAGAAACGCCATCTGATATATTAACCCAGCCCCAGCCTCCAAGAAACAGAACCTCAAATTTTGACGCTGAAGAGACCGGAGACAGCGGGGATGGCCACCGAATACAATCCGATGCCAATGACAGCAGTGGGCGTCCGGATTCTCAAGGCCCCATGGCACCCCGGCTACCGACGCCGCAGAGCCAGGAAGGAGCAGCTGATGGAGGCCTGTGGTACGAAGCCGGTATCAAGGCGCTCGGTGCGTTCACACTCCATTGTTTTCCTCTGATGAGAACCACGTTAAATTTCACGATACTGACTCATGTCATGCAGTCTCCAGCGTCAATACTTCATCGAGCACGGGGCCCTCCGTTCGTGTGCTGTCGCAGGCTTTGCCTTTTCCTTGCTCTAGTCCAACTATTTTTCCTTCGCTCATTAACGCTATCAATGAAGTCTTACCGCCAGGCCAGACTACCTGGATCAATGCCGTCCATGCTGTACCACCGCGCTTCAGCCTCGAAGATTTGCCATCGTCACCTCCAGGGACCCCGAGCACCGTGCAAGGTGGAGAAGATTATTTCAGCAGCGTAGTGTTCAATAGTGCTGTGCCGGTGCCGGATCCTCAAGAAAGAGGTACCAGCACACCACTCCCTGCCTCGCCTTATACTGTCGTTCCCCCTTCGAGCATGCATCTCTCCTTGGTGGAGCGTTACATTCCACCGAGTAGCTCATCTGAGATTCGCGATTTATTTTCCGCTGCTGGCCCCTCCATCCTCGTCGATCGTCTGGCCGAGCTCGCTTCGGACGGCGGATCTTTGCTCTTTGTGTATCCTACGCGGCAAGGCGCCCGAACCTTCTCTGAGCTCTACCTCGGTCCCATCTTGGATCCGGCGCTTCGTTCGCTGGTTGTGGTGAATGAGCTGACTGCCGACCTGGGGATTGCACTCAGTGGCACGGGACTTGGCGATGATTTACTCTCATATGAAGTCATGACACGAAAGATTCGTGGTTTATGTCAGCAGCTTAACCGGGAAGGTACCCTCAGCCGGCCTGAGATACGTCCCGCAACGGCAACGACAGCGACGGGTTCGACCTTTTCCCTAGTTCATTCATCAAAACAAGACGTTCTACTTGACCGCAAAGCATGGGCAAATTGGTGGATTCGGCAAGAGAAGCCCCGGCTGCGGGAAGGTCTTGGTCGATACTTTCGGAAAGCACGAAAGTTTTCTGCGGACTCGGACGTCATTCCTACCCATTTGCTGCAGGAAATCCTCGATGCTGTTCTCTCTCGGCCGTACGAAGATCCCCCTTGTCCGACAACTGGCGTTGAAGTCGGCGTCTTCGTCATTCGAAGATCTCTGTAAATTCTGAAAATGAACTGCATAGTTTCCCTCTTGATGGGAAACTGGTGTTGTCATCTCAACGAATCTATGACATATGGGTTGGCTTTTTATGTTTGAATTTATGCGTCTATGAGATTCAGGGCTTCGCTTTAGCACATACGCTGACGTCTGGGATGAACTTTTACAATTGTTTCAATTTTGCTGGAAAAAATCCTACATTTTCTTGTCTTTGTCTAAGTCCCTCAAGAATGGTTAATCTGCCATCTTTTGTTTGTCCTCCAAGCAGTTCGGATTCTGAACAGCTCCACTAGAAATTTGACTGCGAACTCCTACGCTGGAGTTCTATCCGACTTTGGGATTGGGGAGGAGATGAGAATGTGGTTGGGTTGGATCGGGGACTCCACCCTGGCAGGCTTTTTTTTATTATTTCTTTCCGTACACATACCCTTCTCGTTTTTCTGCCTATTGGATTTTAATCCCAGCGTGTGCGTCCCGGTTTCACTTGTTTTTTATTTTTTTTATTTTTGTTTTTTTGCTATAGACGGATGGGCGTAATGGGCACGGATATTTCCTATGTAAATACATCATATATGCGCACATACTTCCACGAACCCGTCCAAACCCTTTGTACCCACCTCTTTTCATGGATCATTAGGGGAATGAGTTACTGGTGAAAAAACGCAATGAGCGATGAAAAATAAAGGAAACACTACGATCATACACATAATGGCGAAATGATTTGCTAGCAATGAAGACATTGGTAATTCATGCAGTTTAGTGGTCACTTTATCAATATTTGTGTCTATATTTACTTGAATCGATATCTACTACACTGCTTTCTTGCTTGCTGTCATACTCGATGAGAATCCAATGAGGCAATTCGAAGCCCAAGAAATTGCTGAGACTTTTCAAACTCGTAGGAAGGAGCATACTTTGGTCCTTTGGTCTCGCTTTCTGAGATCGGCTAAACCAAATCGGTGCTATCTCCTTTGCCGTCCAAATCGGGCTTAGACTTGACCTGAAGAGATGGAGAAGAATCAAGGCTGCCATATGGCGCGCTTCGCTCGCCGTAGCGTATTGTAATGCGCATCGATTGTGGTTTGGTATTGATACTGGATCATCGGCTTTGCTGGAGAGCTTCATCCACAACTCTTGCACATGGAAGCCGCACTGTTTTGCTCCAGTTTTTGTTGATTTTTTTCCTCTCCTTTAAATCAAACCATATTTGGTCAAATTTGATCACTATCACCGCTCCGGGCTTCGAAACACTGAAGATAGCAAATATTGCTGTCAACGGTGCGCATCCGGCTTGCATTCCTAGCGACTGTGTGATTCGTGCGCTTTGGAACCAAGAGAGATCAGATAGACAAGTTCTCAGGAGATTCAAGAAATCAGATTTTCTTCATTAGGGCCTCGAAAGCTTGCGCCCTTGGAAAATTCAAGGTCTGATCAAGTGGTGCTACGAGCCTGGCGATTGCGGCTATTGAAGAACACTAGGGTTTGGTTTCGTCTGACAGCCCAAACCTGGCACGAACAATCTTCGAGCTTTCCGTATCTTCAAATCAATTTTCAAAACCATGGCACACTCACCCTCACCAAGCATATCTGCGGTGGGATCCCACAAAATGGACAGAATGCGATCGCCAACCCCCCCGCCGCAGCCACTGTCGAAGCGCGACAAACGGCGGAGTCTCCTTTCAGAACGACTCAATGAATTGACTGCGGCGTTTGCTCAAAATCGAGATACGCATTATCGCCAGCAGCTCCAAGCGTTGCAGGTTGACATGAACCTGATTATGCGCGCAAATCCTTACTCAGAGGCACCACTGGATGATATGGGGGATGACATTGCTGAAGTAGTAAGCGCTGCGCTGGGAGGCGGTTCAAACGGCCAATGGCGTCTGGATGGGGACGCTGCAGCCCTCTCTGGCAGATGGTATTCAAAATTTACCGATGAAGTAAACGACGCAATGGAGGACCGGGACGCAAATCTAACAATGCTTGAGGTAAGTATTCCGTTTCTCCGGAGTATATTCCTTCAGTAGAAGAGTGTCGAATGAGTTTTGATTGCTAAGTCTGCATTCAGCATCGCTATGAACGGACCATTGCCGACCTCAATCAAGTCACACAATATAAAGTCAGGCTCGCGCAGGAGGAGCACCGTCAGCTCTCTCATACCGTTCGAGAACGACTGACCCAGACCGTGGGACAGAAGAAGAACCGCCTTGTGCGAGAGAAAGAACACCTTGATATTGCCGATAGCAATGCGCTTCTCCTCCATCCAAACCAATTCAGCATCACCAACCCCGCCAGTCCTGGCGGTGCGCATAGCAACCGCAAGACAAGACACACGCGGAATCGCCAGGGCGAGGGCGATGATCTTGGCAATATAATCGGCGAGGCAGGAAACAAGCGGAAGCGTAAAGTCTTTGAGGAGTTTGATGTTGGCTCGCCTGTTCCCGGAAAGACTTTTGAGACGGGCATTGCATCCCCATACCGAGATGCGAAAACAAAACTCACTGCAACGCAGATGGAGGCGCCTCTCTATTCTATCGAGAGATTGTTTACGGAGAAAGAGCTCTCCATGCACCTCAACACCGCAGCGATTGCTGCCGCGCAGTACTTTGCTTCTCTCAAGGCGCAGGGAGAGAACAACGGTGACAAGGCCAACGGCGAGGCCGAACCCAGCGAGGGCGAAGAAGGCGGTGCAGGCGAAGGAGGAATCGCAAACAAGGAGGGCGATTTCAGTGAGCGTGCTTCGCCCTTTGTTGCACCAGCCATGGATCGTGCCGCCAACCAGTCTTTCCATGCAACTCGATCGACACGCAACACTGCTGGCCCTGCCGGCTTGAACATTCTCGGCGACCTCGCGTCATCTGAACGCAACGGAAACAATGCTTCTTTCCCATCGTCCTTTCCAGTTTTTCTTCCGTCCTCAGTCATCACCAAAACTGGCGTCGCTCCACCGCCTCCCCCGCTTCGCCCGGAAGACGCCGAGGACGACCTTGTCAGGATCCAGCGCCTTGTGAGCACAGCTCCTCCCGAGCATGTCGACAAGCGACTTCTTGATAGTCTATGCGCCCCGCTGGGTACGGCGCAACATCGCACCGAACTCTTCCCGGCTCTCGCACAGGCAGCTGTCAACGGCACTGCAACCGCCGCAGTGGCCGCAACCCACGCCGCCGTGCCGCAGCACGTCCTGGCCGGCGCCGAGCCGATGAGTAGACAGTCCAGCGGCGCGGGCTTTAGCGATGTGGGCGGCGTCCCTATGAGTCGGCACGGCGAGGGAAGCAGCATGGGCATGGGCATTAGTCTCGGCCTTGGCCCGTCCATGATGAAGAGAAGCGCAAGTGGGGCTGGCTTCACGTCTGGAGGGGAAGGAGGCAAGAGAAGTCGCAATAGGTAGTAGAGTAGCTTTGCCCTTTTGTCCTATATCCCTTTCGCCCTACTTCTTAGAAGAACGTCCCTGAGCCTGTCTTCTTCACTTATCACGAGTTTGCTTGTTTGCTTGTTTCTTTTTTTCTTTTCTTTTTCTTTTCTTTTTTTTTTTTTTTCCAAGTTTGATCCTTTCGTTTCAATTTCAGTCAATGATCACTATTGTTGGTTGCGGGTTGGGTATCCTACTCTGGATGGTATGGCGTCTGGTTTTGTTCCCAGGACTTATGATATTTTTTTCCTATTTGTTGCTGGCTGCATCTAGGCACTTTTCTGTGCCACTGTCATGCAGCTCGTTTCATCACTTTTTTTTATCCCCCTTTGTTCTTCTTTCTTCATTTGTTCTTCCTAGTCTTTTTCGTTCTTCATTCTTCATTTTCCTTCTTTTTCCTGGCCACGGTGTTTATCGTTCTTCGTTATCATTCTTCTTTCTTCACTTTTTTCTTGGCCACGGGTTCATTGTACCTTTGAATGCCCGTTTCTTCGTTTGCATACCTTGTGCATTTCTCATTCATGATACTACTGGGGTGTATCCTGTATTTTGCATCAATGCAAACAATGAAGATCATATGTTTATGCCAACGTAGTACAGTGTACTTTTCAAATGACTCGTTGTTTGATGTGATTTATTTTCATATGTTTAGCTTTTGTTTGTATATGTTTATTGATTACGACTTGTTGTTTGATTGTGTTTGTTTTCATTATGACCTGTTGTTCTATTGTGTTATTCTCTTATATTTATTTTCATTATGACTTGTTCTATCGTGTTTATTCTCTTATGTTTAATTATCACGACTCGTTCTATCAGACTATTGTGCTTTGTTCATACGTTATGACTCGTTCTATACATTGTCTACATTGTCTACATGATTTACATTATTTACATTGTTTACACTAGAACATGTGGGATGTGGGATGTAGCACCTGTGGAACATGGTTACATGGTAATCACTGCTGTGAACGTTTTGGTCCATCTTGATGGTACTTTCTTTCTTTCTTTCTTTCTTTTTTAGTTTTATTTTAATTTATTTATGCTATTCCATTTATTCATTCATTTTGTTTCATTTTTCATTTCATTTTCATTTTCATTTTTTTTTACTTCTTTACTTTTTCATGAATCGCAAGTCCTTGTCCATGCGTGCCTTCCTAGTTCGTTTCTAAGAAGAGCTGGTGTTTACTTTCCTTCCTTCTCATTCTGTATAGAGGACGGTGGACCATTGGTTTTTGCTTCCCGTCTCGCGAGTAGACCATCAGTTGTTTTTCATCAAACAGTTTCTCGTTTTTCAGTTCCAGTTCCAGTTCCAGCTCAAGTGGTTGTTGCTCCTGTTGTTGGTTTCATCGAGCTGTGTTTTGGGCTCGGGTCTATTTGGTCCAGTGGGCCCAGGGCTATTTGGATCATCGAGCAGGTCCATCTCATTGAGCGCGGCCCGCGAATCTACGTTGATAACATCACGTCTGCACTCTGCATTAAGTTATGCGACAGGCGTTGTCGACTGCAGATATAGATACAGATACAGATAGTGACGGAGACAGAGACGTGGACGGAGGTTGCTGAAGTTGGTATTTCTTATGACAGGATACTCTGTCCAGTAGGATATAACGGGGTACGATACGGCACGATACAGCATAACAGGATACGCCCTACAAAGGATACGACAGGATACAACAAGATACGATAAAATACAATACGATAAAACACAGCACGATACAGTACAACACGATACAACACAGTACAATACAACAAGATACGATAAAATACAACCCAAAACAAGACAATACAGCTAAAGCCTGCAACCTAGACGGAAGCCATCAAAGCAGAAGAATCCCTCGCCGGTAGGGTAGAGAGTTACCGACAATGACAATCTCGAAACGGTACCCAAAAAATGTCGGCGCAGAGAGGGGCGGCGGGGGCGACTGCTTTACTGCTCCTGACTGGCGAAAGAGTAGGAATATCGACATCGACAACGATAATGACAATGACAATGAGTATGTCGAATTGTCCAATGCTGCTCCTGCTGGTGCTCCTGCTGGGGCTTCTACGGCTATGAATGCTGCTACTACGAATATGAATACAGCTCGAATGGACGATATGTACCGACGCGTTACGATTCCGCGCGTGGGACACTGGATTTCCGGCCTGCCGGGCGTGGACCCGGAAAAGTTTACGGATCAGCGTAATCCCTTTTTCCTCAGCGCTGCGCGGATGAAGATTATTGGGCTTTCCCAGTCCTCGTCGGGGTCAGCCTCAGCCTCGTCATCCGCATCTGCATCCGCATCTGTTGCCCAAGGGCAGCAACAGCAATATTATTGGCGTCATGGTCATGATTATCATGGTCATTATCCTCCAGAAAGAGGCGCAGGTACCGGCACAGGTACCAGCACAAGCACAGAAACAGGCGCCAGCACAAGTACCAGCACAGGCACAAGACTCATTGAATTAACACCGAGCCTGGTCCTCAAGTTCGGCCCCAACGTCGTCCTCTCCGAAGCGGCAAACATGCAATACGTGCGGTCCAAGACCCGCAGCGTGCCCGTGCCGCGGGTCTACGACGCCTTTGCCGACCCCTCGACGGGCATCAACTACATTCTCATGGAGCGCATCGTTCCCCGGGCGCGCAATCTCGGCGACATGTGGCCTGAGCTCTCGACGCACGATAAGGTGTGCATTGCAGACCAGCTGCGCGGCATGTTTGACGAGTTGCGCAGTCTTGTGCCTCCCTCGAGGGGATACATGGGTGGTATTGGCCTCGTTGGCAGCAGCGTTGGCGGCAGCGGGAGCGGCGGGAGCGGGATAGACGGTGGCCTACAAGATCTCCTATTCCAGCCCATGCGCAACCGCCAGATTCGTCACCAAGACACAGACGCCTGGATAGCGAATTTCCAAGTCTCGTGTATAGACCCCGCGATATCAGGACCCTTTGAGTCGGAAAGCGCCCTGAATAGCGCGATCCTGCATTTGCTCGGCCAGCTCCTCTCTGAGCCGTTCATGGAGCTGATTAGAGACATGGTTGGAAAAACGCTCGTCGATCATGTCTCGGTCTTTACGCATGGCGATTTGACCGTCGGGAATATCCTCGTCGATTCAATTCCAGTCGCTGTGGGATCTACAGGAACTGGACCTGGGACAGCGGGAAGTGGGCTTGGGATAGCAGGAGCAGGAACAGATATAGGGAGTCCGGTGAATAGGACGCAGAAGCAGCCTCGCATTGTAGGGGTCCTGGGATGGAAAGCAGCAGGATGGTATCCCGAGTACTGGGAGTACAGTAATGCTGCGATCAGAAGCTGTTGGTTCCCCGAGTGGTTTGAGCTGGTGCAGCATGTCCTGCAGAGGTATCCGACGGAGTATGTCGTCATGGATAAACTGAGGGGATTGCTTCGCTGTTAGTGCCCTGACTCTTGTACATTCTCTCTTTTTCTTTTCGTCTTGTTTTTGTACTGGTTTTTCTTTCTTTCTGGCCTGTTTTGTTTTTTTAAATGTGTTTTGTTTCTTGAGGTTGATGCTTGCGGAATCTTTTTTGGTTCTTCATTCTGCTTATGCCTGATATACAGTAGGGTAACACGGTGATATCCGGAGTAGGGTGAGCACGGCATTACTGATCGTTCCACACGGATAAATTGATATTGATTTCTCCGACTGGCCCGTGTTGATAACGCGTACCCGTGCTCTGTAATTTAGAGATACTCTTTAAAAGCTCCACGCACTCGCGCACCTTTGTTGTCCATAAGCACGGAATCAACCATAGCACAAAGTACAGGACGGCGTCGACGGCGACTCGGCGGCCGCGTGGAATAGTTTACTAATCACGTTGAACCAAACAGAGTGCACAGAGATGATTCGTGGTCTGATCCGAGGACCGACGACCGAGACGAATGGCAATGAGTGCGATGGCGGGAAAATAATCCGATCGAAAAGCGGCCGACCGAGGGGACGTGGTGCGGTTGATACGGCGGATGCGGCCGCTAGATTGTGTGCGAAGGTACTATTTCGGTGATGTGCTGATAACAATAGATGATCCTTTGACGACAACAGCCCACTATTTCCTCAGGGATAGAGAGGTAGTTAGTTGATCAACACACAAGACGCCCCAAAGGCTGACTGGGTTGCTGGGGTCAAAGGACTATTCCCAAAAAAGCAACTTTGCCAAGAGAGCTTATTTTCCGCTTTGGGTCCAAGGTCCCCTTGGTGCAGCGTAAGTTATCCGTAATCCACTCAGAGACGAAGAAACCACTTGCTCGCTCCCTGAGTCAATCGTGCAGTGGACCCCGGCACGCTTGAATAATTACCCTGTACAGAGGTGATGCACATTGTATACGAGTAGTGCCGGGACAAGGCCGCGGTATTAGTAAGATCTAAATTATAAGGGAAGTGATATATCCCTGACCACAAGGATGACCATTGTAAATGTTGAGTCATGGTAATCTATTGTCGCAGAAGATCAGAGAGAAAAGAGTCATTGCAATTTATTGTCGTAAAATGAGAGAAAATACAGAGTAAATTTAAACCTGTAGGAATCAAAAAAGATATGACGAAGAAAACACAGGTAAAGTGAGTGACGGGAGGGAAAAAGGGGGCAGTTGACACTTGCAAGGGTAAACGTCGGAATAAATGAAAAAAGTCTCCGCCAAACAAATATAATTCGCCTCATTGGTTTGTGTCGTGCAGATAAGGTTTCCTCTACACCTCCCCACGGGTCAATCGATGACCCAAACCCAGATCTGATTGTTACGCACACACCTGGATTCATAAGCAGCCCAACCAGAATGAGATCTTCCTATTGGTTCACCGGCATCATTTATGCGGGACTGCTAATCGTTTTTCCCCCTGGCAGGTTTGCCGTCTCGCAAAGCCGTGTGTGAAAGGAAAAAAAAAAAGGGACCCAATCTGTTTCTGGCATCTGGTCCCCTTGGCGGGTTGATGATAACCCGACATGCCATGTGCCTTAGTGAGCCACTACTACGTATCTATCTGGTAACTCTGCCACCAGTCAAAAAAATGGGGGGATATTTTCGACGCATTTCTTCTGCTGACGGGTTGACCGGGCCCTTTCACGGGCCATGACGCATCCCTTACCATGTACGGTAATTGGTGCCTCGTACGTAGAAAGACTCTGAATCATGGAGACTTGAAACGTTTGGCCCTTTTTTTCTCCACCATTTGGTTCGGGACACGAACTACAGCCTTAACTCCGAAATGTTGCTTTGAAATACGCTTCAACCTTTCTTTCTCTCTCTTTCGCTCCTGTACTTTGCATTTATTTACGAATTCTGTCCCCTCCCTTGCTTTTCTTCTGGACTTTTAGCACTTGACAGTCTTTTGTTCGGTGTTTTTTGAACTGCTTGACCTCTTTGCAGGTCAAGTTTTTTGTTCTTCAGAATCAACCTTGCTTGCCAGACTTGTAAACTTACTACGAGTTGTCAAGTCTGCCGTTCTTTTTATAGACTTTGGCATCGTCGATTTATTCTACCGCTTTTTAATATTTCATTTCTCTGTCCGAATTGTCTTCGAACTTTCTTCTTGTCATTTCGTCTCCGTTTTTCTCGATTTCGCGTGTAATCTGGAATACATATACCTAATTGATTACTTGATACACTATCGCTTCCCCTTGGCTTGTTCGGACATCTAAATTGCACCATGTGGAGTGCCAATTCGAATTCCGTCTTTTCGCGAGGCACGGAAAGCGAAGGCCAAGCACCCACGATCCCTCTTCACAATGTCGGCCAAACCGACGAAAATGCCCGTGAGCCCGTCGAGGGCTCGCACGTGGCAGAGGACTCTCCACATGCTCTCGAAAATGTAAACGAAGAGCACGAACCAGGCGCCGAGGGAACCTGGGGCGAGCGAGACGTTGGCGGTCCTGTGAACCATGCCGCTGCCATGGAAGACTACGAGCATCTTCGAAGAGAGTTGAGCCGGATTTCGACCACCAGATCGCGCTCATCCGTCCCGGAACGCAAGTCCATGCTGAGAACCCTCACCGAACGGGGTGTCCATAAGACTACCAGTCGTGCAAGCCACCCTACTATCTCGTCGGCCGACGACGAAGATGCGCAATCCATTGCCAAGGACTTGGAAGCTGGTGACACCGCCAAAGCCGTCGAAGAGGAGTTTGAACTGGGCCAATTCATGCGCGAGGGTCACTTCGAAAAGCGAACCGAGTCGGGAGAGTCGGCGAAGAAAGTCGGTGTGATCTTCAAGAACTTGAACGTCAAGGGCGTGGGCTCTTCTACGATGTTTGTCAAAACCCTTCCAGAGGCCGTCATTGGCACCTTTGGCCCCGATCTCTATCGCCTTCTCTGCAATTTCTTCCCCTTTCTACGATTCGGCAATAAACCCCCGACACGAGATCTCATTCATGATTTCTCGGGTGTCGTGCGAGATGGCGAGATGATGCTCGTCCTGGGCAAGCCCGGTGCGGGATGCTCAACCTTTCTCAAGGCCATTGCCAATCATCGAGAGGGCTTCGCCGACGTGAGCGGCGATGTTTCGTATGGCGGCATCTCCGCTGCCGAGCAAAGCAAGCACTTCGTAAGTGCCCTTACAGAACAGGTTAACTATGAATTTATGCTGATAGCGACTGCAGCGTGGTGAAGTGAGCTACAATCCCGAAGATGACCAACACTTTCCGAATCTGAGTGTATATCAAACTCTCAAATTCGCACTTTTGAACAAGACGAAGAAGAACGACAAAGATGGAATGCCGGTGATTATTGATGCCTTGCTGAAAATGTTCGGCATCAGTCACACCAAGCAGACTTTTGTCGGAAACGAATACGTCCGTGGTGTTTCCGGTGGTGAGCGGAAACGTGTCTCCATTGCTGAAACCCTCGCAACCAAATCGTCTGTTGTCTGCTGGGACAATTCGACCAGAGGATTGGATGCGAGCACTGCGCTCGACTATGCCAACTCCCTTCGGATCATGACAGACATTAGCAATAGAACCACTCTCGTGACCCTGTACCAGGCGGGAGAGGGCATCTATGAGCTTATGGACAAGGTCTTGGTTATCGATAGCGGCAAGATGATCTTCCAGGGTCCAGCCGGTGAAGCCAAGGCATACTTTGAGGGCCTTGGCTTCTTATGCCCAGATCGACAGTACGTGGATAAAATTTCCTAAGCTTCCTTAACTGCGAGTGCTGACATTTCTGTGTGTAGAACCACGGCCGACTTTTTGACATCCATTTCGGACGCAAACGAGCGACGTTTCCGGGAAGGCTACGAAGCCCGAGCTCCCAAGACTCCAGAGGAATTGGAAAAGGCTTTCCTTGACAGTCCTCATTACCAGCGCGTTCTCCGAGACGTCGAGGAGTACGAGAATGAACTCCACCAATCTGATCACGCCAACGCTCGGCAGTTCAAGCAGTCTGTCCACGAAAGCAAGAGTCGTACCGTTCGCAACAGCTCGAATTACACTGTCAGCTTTCCTCGACAGATTCTTGCGTGTACCAAGCGAGAGTTTTGGCTTATTCTCGGCGACAAGACGACTCTCTACACCAAGGCTTTCATCATCATCAGCAATGCTCTCATCGTCGGCTCCTTGTTCCACGGACAACCAGAAACCACTGCTGGTGCCTTTTCGCGAGGCGGCACGCTTTTCTTCTCGATCCTCTTCCTCGGTTGGCTGCAGTTGACCGAGCTCATGAGAGCCGTGTCCGGCAGAACGATTATTCAGCGACACAAGGAATATGCATTCTATCGGCCGTCTGCTGTCACAATGGGACGAGTGCTTGCCGATTTCCCTATTTTGCTTCCACAGGTCATCGTCTTCACAATCGTTGTCTATTTCATTACCAATCTTGACGTGGACGCGTCAAAGTTCTTCATTTACTTTCTGTTCGTCTATACGCAGACCATCTGCATCACCAGTCTTTATCGAATGTTTGCATGTGAGTTGAAATCCAGTAAGAAGTCACGTTCGTGTCGATAATTTGCTAACTTTACTAGCGCTATCTCCGACGATTGACGATGCCGTTCGGTTCGCCGGTATTGCATTGAACCTGCTCATCATCTATACTGGTTACGCCATCCCCAAGCCGCAACTGGTCCACAAGTACATTTGGTTTGGCTGGCTGAACTATCTCAATCCTATTTCATACGCATTCGAGTCAGTCCTGACGAACGAGTTTCATCACCGTTACATGGACTGCGACCCGAACAATCTTGTCCCGCAAGGCCCGAATGTCAAGCCAGAGTACCAGGGTTGTTCCTTGGGCACCGTCGGTTCGCCTCTTGGCTCAACTGGAATGACTGGTGAATACTATTTGGCCACTGAATTCTCATACACCAGACATCATCTCTGGAGGAATTTTGGTGTTCTCATTGCATGGACCGTTCTGTACATTCTCATCACAGGCCTCGCATCAGAAGTCTTCTCTTTTGTTGGCGGTGGCGGTGGTGCCCTTGTGTTCAAGCGCTCCAAGAAAGCCAAGCAGGCTGTCAAGAGCAGTGGCGTTGATGAAGAAAAGGCTGGCACCATCGGCGATTCAAGCCCCAGCACCATGACCGAGACGGATGAGACGACGAAGAATCTCAAGGGAATTTCCCAGAGCGAGAGCATCTTCACCTGGCGCAATGTCGAATACACCGTGCCGTATCCGGGCGGTGAGCGGAAACTTCTCAATAACATTGAGGGCTTCGCCAAACCTGGAGTCATGGTTGCTCTGATGGGCGCGTCCGGTATGTAAACTCCGTTATCATCCAACGAAAACATGATTTATTAATACTTTTTAGGTGCTGGCAAAACAACACTGCTGAATACCCTTGCTCAGAGGCAAAAGATGGGAGTCGTTGGCGGCGAAATGTTGGTAGACGGCACTGCGCTCGGGACCGAGTTCCAGCGTGGCACCGGCTTTTGCGAACAGATGGACCTTCACGACGGATCCGCAACTATCCGAGAGGCTCTCGAGTTCTCCGCAATCTTGCGACAGGAACGAACCGTGCCCACCGAAGAGAAACTTGCTTACGTGAACCAAATCATTGATCTGTTGGAACTGAACGATATCCAACACGCCATTGTCGGCAGCCTGGGTGTTGAGCAGCGCAAGCGGTTGACGATCGGCGTTGAGCTGGCGGCCAAGCCATCTCTTCTTCTCTTCTTGGACGAGCCCACCTCTGGTCTGGACTCACAGTCGGCCTACTCGATTGTGCGGTTCTTGCGTAAATTGGCAGACGCCGGCCAAGCTATTCTCTGCACCATTCACCAGCCCAGCTCTGTTCTCATTCAGCAGGTATGCTAATGACTTTTCTTTTCCTTCCCCTCTTATCATCACCATGTCGCGATACTAACGGAAACGCGTTATAGTTTGATATGATTCTGGCATTGAATCCCGGCGGAAACACATTCTACTTTGGCCCCGTCGGCGAAAACGGTTCCGCTGTCATTGACTACTTTGGCAAACGCGGCGTGCACTGCCCGCCCGCCAAGAACGTGGCAGAATTCATCCTCGAGACCGCCATCAAGGGCGGCAAGCGCGCAGACGGCAAGAAACTCAACTGGAACAAGGAATGGAAGGAGTCTGCCGAGCGCCGGGCCATCTTGCAGGAGATTGACCGCATCATCGACACACGCAGCAAGGTTCCCCGGCCCCCAGCTGGCGAGCAGCACGAGTTTGCCTCGCCCGTCTGGCTGCAGACGAAGATGTTGACGCAGCGCCTCTTCCGACAGTACTGGCGGGATCCGTCCTACCTGTACGCCAAGCTGTTCATCTCCGTCATCCTGGGCATCTTCAACGGCTTCACTTTCTACAAGCTCGGCAATTCCATCCAGGACATGCAGAACCGAATGTTCACCTGCTTCTTGATCATCCTGGTACGTCCCCTTCCTGTCTTCACTTCGGTCATCCAGACACCCCATCTAATCGTACATCCAGTTCCCCCCCGTCATCGTCAACGGCATCGTGCCCAAATTCTACATCAACCGCGCCCTCTGGGAAGCCCGCGAACTGCCGTCGCGCATCTACGGCTGGTTCGCCTTCTGCACCGCGCAGATCGTCGGCGAGATCCCCATGGCCATCATCGGCTCCGTCATCTACTGGCTGCTGTGGTACTTTCCGACCGGTTTGCCCCGGGACTCGTCTACCTCGGGCTACGTCTTCCTCATGACCCTGCTATTCTTCCTCTTCCAAGCCAGCTGGGGCCAGTGGATCACTGCCTTTGCCCCGTCGTTTACCGTCATCGCAAACGTGCTGCCCTTCTTCTTCGTCGTCTTCTCCCTCTTCAACGGCGTCGTGCAAAGCTACGCCCACATGTCCGTCTTCTGGCGCTACTGGCTGTACTACCTCAACCCGTCCACCTACTGGATCGGCGGCGTGCTTGCGGCCACCCTGAACGGGGCTCCAGTGCGCTGCACCGATGCCGAGGCTGTCCACTTCAACCCTCCCCCCGGCCAAACCTGTCTCGAGTACGCAGGCGCCTTTATCAACTCTCTTCATTCGTCTTCGTCAGCGGGCTCGTCAGGATACCTGTTGCCGAATACCCTCAACGCGACAAGCAACTGTGGGTTCTGCCCTATGAGCGTCGGCAACGATTACCTCGGCACTATCAACATCAGCCACAAGGACAAGTGGGGCTATTTCGGCATCTTCCTGGGCTTCTGTGTGAGTAATTGGTTCCTGGTGTATTTTATGATCTACACTGTCCGGATCCGCGGCTGGTCGTTTGGATTGGGCACTGTGTTTGGGGTGCTGGGGAAGATTGGCGGTGCCGTGGTTGGTGCGGTTAAGAAGGTCGTTGCGCCGAAGTCGAAGGCTACGGTGCAGGAGTAGATTTTCCTTTTCTTTTTATTTTCTCTTTTTTTTTTTTTTTTTTTTTCTTTATTGCTTATTTTTTATTGCTTATTTTTGTTTTATTTATTTTTTTTTTTGTGTGTGAGTGTGTGAGGAGGCAGATGCGGTATCACTTGAGTTGGTTGTCCGGTGTTTTGTATGTGTTTTATATATGGGCCGATTGTTTCTACAGGGTTGGAGAGAAGTGTGTTATAGGTGTCTGCATTTCTGGGGTTCGGATGCGAGTAGATTTGAGATATCAGGATAGAGTGTGCGTGTTTCTAGAGGGCAGACTTTTGTCCTAAAGCATTTAGAGTTGTCAGGACTTGCGGTTGCGGTTGCGGTTGCGGTTGCGGTTGCGGTCATTATATACGTCGACGCATTGTCATTATGATCAGAGCATATACATGGACCAAATACACCATAAAGCATCAGTTCAGAATAGACAATAAATATAAAACTAAGCATATTGGTAATTCTCGTTTAATTTCTCAAGATCGCCTGCCGCTATCATGACAGGCATAACTTTGCTTTGTAAACGCTCACTAATGCGGTGCAGATGCCACGCTGACGCCGAACAAGAAGACGTCAATCGCTTCCTTGATAACAAATTTTCAAGGGAAATGGTACCAGAAGAAAGACAGTACATGATACCGGTGAAGAAAGAGACAAGAAAGATGATACCGGGAAAAAGACAATTAAAATGGTGCCAGGGAAAAGAGAGGAGATAGATGATACCGGCAAGAAAGAGACAGTCAAAATGGCACCAATATGAAAACAAGAATGTAATCAAATTCCGCTAACCAACTGATTGAATTCCTTGGGCACCTCCCATCCATGCGTCTGACAGGCGCGAATATACGCCGAGGCGGCCTCATTAATGTTATAGTCTTTGACGGGACCGGCCTCGAGTCTGGCGGGACGGGGCTCGAGGCTGGAAATCGCCACGCGGACTTGGACAATGACCGACTCGATCGAGGAGACGGCGCTCCAGCCGGTATTGGTGAGGAGCTAGATCTGAGATTAGCAAACGTTACCAAGAGGGACAGAATCTTCAATAAATGTGCACAGTCGTTACCTCCATGCATAATGCTCCGCCGGCAGTGACATGTCCTCCACCTCCGGACATAAAGGGCAAAAAGCGAGGGCGAATGACCCGGACAAACGGCGGGCTCATCGGATAGCCTGGACCGAAGCGCATTTCAAGAACGATGCTCGAGACACCCCTTTGTTTCATGTCCTTGGCCAAAGGAAGGCTCAGGTCAAACGAATGAAGCTCAATGATCCATTGATAGACATTCTGCACGAGCTGGGGATCAAGAGACCAGCCGCGCCGATGCTGCGGCTCATTGTTCTGGATTTTCAATATGGCTTGAAGCTCGCGCTGGAGAGCCTTTGTGGCAATTGGCGTGGCGTATCGTGGAGGTCCGAGCAAGGGCAGTGTTGTGGCATCGAGTTGCCCGGGCGTAAACTCTGTCAGATCAGAAATATCTTCCTTGTCCGGAGACTGGTCGGTACTAAAGTCATCGAGTTGGAGAATATTTAGATCTTCTGGATCGGACGCGACGCTTGACGAGTCGTCGAATCCTCTGTCGTTGATGTTCTCCTTGTTTTGTTCTTCGGTATGGGCCTGGTTGGCATTGGCTTTGGCGGGCCGATGAGAAAGTTTTACTTTTTTATTCCCCTTTTTAACAGAGTTTGGCAGAAACCTACGCGTTTTTTTGACCGCTGCAAACGGAATCAGGATGAGACCTGTCTCGCCGAATGCATGCTTGCTTGGATCCTGCTCCAATATATGCTTGAGATGTGGGGGTAGAAGCGGCGGCGTGGGAGGGGTCTGAGCATCATCGCATTTGACAAAGAGAAATCTGGTCTGAATCCAGTCCAATTGAGAGACTACCAAGTGAGGTTTAGAACTGACAAACTCTTTGGGAGCATTGACAATCTCATTTAGACAGATTGCAGTCTTGACCTTTAGGAAGCTTTGTGGCCAAGTTATATTCGACTATTCCAATGTTAGTGTTTTATGCAATTTCTCAACTCGAATCTAAAAAAGATTGTTCCGGGGCTCAATGCCTAGAAATATGAAAAGTGTACATACTGATTGTACGGTCGAGTAGCTGATGCTTATGTTATAGAAGAGCGAATGGTAGACGCCATGACCAAACGCTCTCCCGTTTACAGTCTCGTTAAAATTGAGACCCTTCCGGACGATGCTATGCCAATTCGCCAACCTGCTTCCATGCCAAGCAAAGATTGTCGGGTATGTGAGACCAAGCCGTTTCGTTGCGTTCTGCACAGAATCCTGGAATCGCGCTTCTTTATCAGGCGCACCTTGTGCGAATCGAAACTGCATCCAGCTTTCCATCCCTCTCACTTGCTGCTCAGGATGAGAGCCAGGTGTGATTTGACCGTTGCTATCCAGCTTAGTCACTTCCACTATACATGAACGATTGGAAGCTATTATCCATCGTAAAACGCCCATCGCTGCAGGAGATATGCGTTCATGCCATTGACGCAGAGAACGACCTGGGTTCTGTGAGAGATACTTGCTCATCTCCTTTATGCTCGGAAGAGTATCCAGGAGATACGGGATCATCTCTTTTTTCGATTGTGGCTTGAGTTTATCGAAGCTGTAATCGTAGGGTAGTACCAAACAATCAAAATCTTCCTCGACGACAGTGCTTCCCTTCTTTTTCCCCGTTTGACTGGTTTTTGATGCCCGGGAGAAAAGGCCGGATATCTTTTCGTTTGAAGTGCTCTCGTACATGTCCCCGGATAGATGAATCAAAGGAAATGACGAAATCTCAGAGACCCGGCAGTGATACATTGGCCCGACCCAGCTTGAATCCGTTACGACAACAAGTATCCAATCTCCAGGCTTTAGTGGAAAAGGATGTGCCGTTGCTGCAGTGAAGGTTATTCGAGCCAACTTTCGATCAAATCGAGCCTTGTGACTATTATACCTGGTCAAATTTATCGAATTTGAGCTGAATGCCTCCAGATTTGGGACCATCAAGTTCATGCCGTTTGGAAAATCATCAAGTCGATTGAGACTGGCACTGACGTAGCAGAAGCTTATCAACAGATCGGCCACGTTTGGCGAGGAAGCAATTTCAAACTCGATGCTGGGTCCGAACCCCAGTGTCATGTATTGATATAGGCACAGACCTTTAGAGCAGACGTAGGGTTTCAACGCTTCCAATTGAGACTCCATTCTGCAGTGACATACTAGACAGAATTCGGGACATCGGAGCAAGTGACGCAGTAAGAATTGCATGGCGATCAGAGGAAATGAATATCCCGAACTTGCTTCCCGTAAATGATCCGCAGCCGCAATTTTAGGGAAACGATTTTGATCGTCTTCGTACTTGAAGTAATCGCTGGGGTTGCTGGAGTCAACATTCGAGCTGACCCCACGCTGTTGGCAGTCGTAGAAATAAGCTTCAGCGGCTCTCCAGCTCATCGAATGACGCATCCTCACGGTGATGAGTGATAGGAGCCAAGTGTTCAAAAGTTCATTTAATGGACCTTCAATAAAGATCCTTTCCAAACAATTTGCCGATTCATTTGACTCAAGTGTCCCTTTGCCAGAACCCTCTATGATTGACCTGCCTTGGACATCAGCCAGTAACCTTGTAGTGGGTGAGAGATTCCGGACGTGCTGAGTGAACACCTTTTTCATCTCGGTGAAAGTCGGCTTATAATTCCTACAAATCCCAACACGCATATCCAAGTTGTCTGATCTCTTATTACCAAGGTCTTTCAGCAGACTATCCAGGGTTTGGTACTTTGAAGAATAATTCATCATCAATACCAGGTATTTGTTGTCCTCAAGGCCCCACGCTCGTAAAACTTCGTCTGAAATCTCGAGTTTCTTGATACGGAGTGATACCGTCAAATATAGATTGGAATCATTTGCATTTTCCAGATCGCCAAAAAATCCTATCCTAAACCCTGCCTCTTTGGTCAACCGCAGATCACTAATTGCGCGTAGACCAGCTCCGGGTAGACGATGATTCTTTTGACTGAGAATCGAAAGAGAATTTCCCCCCGCATCTTCTGCATTTACTGGGAAGAGACGTGGGGAGATTGGTGACCAAGGCTCCGCGGAAAGGTCATCAGACCACTCGTTCTCTTCCATTTCTTCGTGGGGACTAGAAAATGAATCATCTCTTGCGGTTGTTGCAGGCTCGTTGTTACCAGTCGTAAATGATGTTTCGAGAGCATGAAGCTCGGCTTTCAGGTCCAAGATCTTCACAACTCTATGCAAGAGTTCAGAAATTCGGGGGCTGTTGACGAAACGCAGCGCTTCAATGGCTTGCGCAATATTCTTTGGCACATAGTCAGAGGTCGTATAGAGGAGGCATTGATGCCCGTAGGGATATTCGGAAACATCTTCACGCACAAAAGTTAGAGGTCATTGACACGAAAAGAATGATATAGTCACTCACCTGGTATTAAGACATGGATAGATAGGTCTATGCTATGATGATTGCAGGCCATATGATAAACAAAATTGAACGATCCATCTTCGTCCCCAAGTTGGACATGGGATATTTGCGGGACCTTGGCTTCTGCAATGACCGCTTGAAGGTCATTGATAAAAATCTTACGAGGCATGTTGGTCCATATGGGTAACAATAAGAGAAATAGAGCTGTGGGGACTCAGACGATTGGAGAAGACCGAAATATATTCGTAGGAGAAGAGGATAAGCTTCACTCTAGCCCTCCAAGAAATCGACTCAAGGAGATGCTGCCACAAGCAGAGCGTAGTTGAAAGTAACAAATCGGCTGCGAATCAAGGGAGAAGTCATGGAGGGGAACGCGGAGGGGGAACCAGCAAGATGGAGTAGAAAAGTTCAGAGAAGAGTTTGGATTGATCTACAATCTTTAGATGGAGAATAGACGAATAGAATGTTAACAGAGAAAGAAAACAAATGACCGAGGCAACTATCTGTCATATTGAATAGACAATTACCCTTTGTGGCATCATTACGCGAATAGCGGCATCGGCAGTGCAGCTGGAGTGAATGTAACAGGAACCAAAAGTTGACCAACGTCATTCTCATTGTTCGGCAAATGCAGAATTGAGGGGTACTGTGAAGAATTATTAGACAAAGAGATCCAGAAGATGGAAGAACTGGCGAAGGGTGAGATGAGATAGAATAGTATGAGGGAGAAAAGGAATGATATCGGAAAAGAATTGGGGAAGGCGGTGAGACTGTATCGTTCCAGAAGGGGAAAGAGCGTCGGAGCGGGCCAGGCAAATAATCTGGGGTACCTGGCTAAAGTGGAGAAGAGTCTAGCCCACTCGAGTAAAGCCTCGCTGTCACAAACAGCCATCAAAGCCGCGGATAGTTACGAATATTGAGTCTCGTGCCATTGAAATATCAGCCATGGTTCAGCCACAACGATATCGGAAATTATTTATCGTAAATTATGTAAATAGTAATGCCTACGTCGCTTCTATTCTAGATAGATGTTGTTCCGTATTCTTTGAAGATTTTCAATGAACCCTCTTCCACCTTCACTAGATTGTCTCGGCATCTGACGAGCATCGTCCATCTTTGGGACTTTGAGCTCAGATTGCGAAGCAGTGGAGACTTTGTCGGGAAGCAGACCAAGTGACTTTTGTCGATCTTCCACTATTTTATAAAGGCCCTCAATGAATCTGACCCTTGCCTTCTCCTCGATAGTTCCTTTCCAAACCTTTGCCAGTTCTCGCAGCTCTTCGACACGCTTTTGTGCAGCTTCAACCCCATCTCTGCCATCGCCATTTCCAAGTAACAGATCCGCAATCTCGTCTCTCAGCTTCTTCAATTTCTCTTGACCCTTTTCTTCACGGCTCTGGCTTTCTGCCGAAGAATCCGGGCCTGAAACGGAGATGAAAGACGACGCTACTGAGAGCTCGGATGGAGGAAGCGTCCAGTCCATGGCTTCTCCGAATACCCTTACAACCTTGTCCATTCGGCTGCGAACTAGGGAAAGGGTCCGCAGGTGCGCAATGTAAGCCGGCTCCCCCGTCGAAGGTTGCTCTTGCGTGCCTCCATCCTTCGTGGTTTCATTAACTGGCTGCTCATTTTTGCTTGGTCGCCTTGATGAGGAGGGAAGACCGCCCGGAACAAAATGCGCCACCTCTGTTTTCAGACCCTCGGCAACTTCTTCAGAAAGAGTCGCAGAGTCACCGCGCAAAACCTCGACTTCATATGCGAGTCGCCCTCCACTCCGAAGAATATCATCAGTAAGCTGCGTCAGGTTGTCCGACATCTGAGACGTCTGCGCGCTCAGCTGAGAGAGAAGGGTTTGCGCGTGAGATAACAGCTCGGCGAGGGATAATGCTGTGGTAGAACGCTCATCTGACTGCAATCTGAGAGGCGGTAGCGTAGTATTCAGGTAGTCAGCAGGGTCGAATGAGTCCGCGCGGAACGGTTGCAGAGCGTTGTCTGTCAACATGTTTCGGTTGGTGATAGGAACAGCAATTTGTCTGTTCCCATTCTGTGTCGATGCCATTGTGAATGAGTGTAAACACAACGATTGTCTGGCAGATTGAAATTGTTTGTTGAAAAGACTGGCGTTACCGTCTTGAAGCAATTGTCATGGCTCTGGGTTGTAACACCATACAGTCGAGGGCAAAGGACAACTTCACCTTGGTCTGACACAGTACGGAGCTAGTGCCGTGGTTGTCGGATCAACAGTTTACCCGAGATCTTGTTTCCTTGTTTCAGCCACACCCCGGACGGTCCCCAATTACCGGGCCGACCAATTAAGTACGGTAACCCGGTCGCCGTGTCAACAAACAACACAACACTGCTATCGTCATGATTTGAGCTCAAGGCTTCATGAACCCTCAAGCACAGAGATTTCCGTTCTAAAAGTTGCCCATAATGGCGCTTCAGACGCCGTCTCCCATGGTCTCATCGCCAGACCCTTTGGGAAATTCTCAAGAATCTTCTTATTTCACTCTTAGCAGCCCGAGAAAAGCTCCTAGAACGCCGCTCGCCGATTCCTCGAATAATGCGAGATCATTACAATTACAAAATTTCGTTCTACAAACACCCCCGATTAATTCTGCGGGAAAGATTAGATCATCGCCTGCACGCACATCAGCACAAACCGAAAACATAATCAGCCCGTGGAGGATACGGGTTACAGTGGAAGCCGAGCATGATGCAGGCCAAGAGAACGCTGAAAGTCTTTTGTTTGCAAACCAGAAGATTTCGTCAACAAAAGGTCAAGCGGTCCGCACAACAACCACGAGCATTCCGCTCAAAGAACCTGGCTCCAGTTCCCCGAGAAAACCTGGAAGACCAAGGAAAAATGGTAATGGTACGCCAGTGAGAAAATCAAGCGGCACACCAAAGCCAAGAAGCGTGAAGGGCCGAAAGACGCTTGAGTCTGAAGTGGACGGAGACAAATTTCCTACCCCCGTGGGCAGAAGAAGTGTTAGCCTCAAGCACTTTGCGACGACAACGAACGAAGGTATTAGCATCTCCTCAGACGAGTTGAGCCTTGCCTTTAGAGATCAGCCAGACTTTGAACAGACTCCTATAATCGGGATTCAGAAAAGACGCACTGATCAAAGTCTGAGCAAGAGCGCAGTCATATCTAATGCCAGTCGGAAAGCAAGTAGCCCGGCCAAACTGGTTGGAAATACTCCTTCAAATGGACGCAATTCGGTTCACGCACCCACGAGGAACGCAAGCAAACTCATTGAACGACCAAACGATTCAATTTCAGGAAACCTAAATAGTTATAGCGAGGAAAGAGACGAGGTGAGGGATCTACCAGAGTTTGACTCCATTCTCGATAGTGAGGGCTTCAGCATGGTATCAATATCATCCCTTCCGTCAGCCAAGGAGCACCTTAGCAGCCCCGCCTTGTTGGAGGAAGCAAACAGCAATGTTCGTCAGGGAAGCTTACATGATGGTTTCTCGAGAATAAGCAACCGGTCAACGAATGCGAAAGTCAACAATCATACAGCCCCACAAATTGGGAGCAGCTTTTTGGCCGCCAGGCCGAAAAGTAGAATTTCCTATGAATCATCTCTGATGTCGCAGGAGCGAAATATCGAAAAGCTGGACTCCAGCACAATAATGATGTCCTCCCCTCCACAGCTCCTTACTCGAAATCCTGCAGAGGTAAATCAGACGCCATCAGTCGCGTTTTCTTCGCCTCAATTGCCGCCTCCGCCCCCGCGACAATCTCCAGCCAAGCACGATCATCATTTTAAAAGCGGTGAAGACGGCAAGCTTTCCGGCGTTATTCAAGCTGGAGTCTCCCTTCAGAGTGTGACGGACTCTAACGCTAGCGAAGGAAGTCCTCAAAACAGTCCAGCAAAGGGCAGCTTTGGACAATCTATTCGTGATGAGCACGGATGGAATTCAATGTTCGGTGGGGCATTGGTAAAATTGAGTGACGTTAAACAGAAGCAAGCTTCTTCAAATCTGCAGGGGGTGCAAGAAGCATTTACCAACTCTATCCTGAGCAGAGGCTACCCTCGGCTTCTTACCCCAGATGACGGGCTTGGTTCGGCATTGCAGCGACCTTTTTCAAACAGACCTTCCCCGAGAAAGGATTTATTGACTCCTCCTACTGAAAGTGAGATGGATTGGCACCGAAGGTCGCCAGCTCGGGAAAGTCAACATTCCTCTCACGGATCGGCAGAGAAGAATAAGCTTTCTCCCGTGAACGAGGCCGGGAATGACTCGGCATATAGCAATCTCAGCATCTTAGAGGCTCAATGGCAGGCAGAAAGAGATGACGTTATCAAGCAGATACGCAATGCAAATGTCAGTCAAGTTATTACCATTGACGACTCTGTCATTGGCGTAAACGCTACCCCGCTACCTGGACGCCCAGCTTTGGAGCGACTTAACACCACCGGATTCGACATTTGGCAAGCGGAGGCGCATCACTCTGATCCCGTCGAGGCTCCACTTAGAGAAGATTCTTTCACGCTGAACGCCCAGGGTATCAAGTCCCGCCGAGGTAAGACACCGGAGACTGGACGCAAGAATGAGCCAAAGCAACCGCACGACGATATCAAGCTGCTGGAGAAAGTGCCTACCGAGAATGCACAGAATATCCTGACCCCAGAGGAGCCAATCCAAAATGCAAACTTTGGTTCGTCTCTGTTCTGGAAGCCAGACGATGCCGCCAAGCAGAGAAATGCGCGGAGAAAGGAACGAAAAGAGCGAAGAGAACATGACCTCTCCAAAGAGACGCTGAACGACAACTCGATTGAAAATTCCAAGCTCAACTCCACCTCTTCTCCTTTGCAACAAGTTGAATCCAAAACTCCGAAGCCGGAAATTACCAAAAAGACGACAAAATCACCAGTCCAGGAGCAATCGCTTCAGCAAACCAATGACAGTGCCAAAAAAGCCAACGAGCCGTCTCATCCTCAGAAACGCATCGTTTCCAAAGAACATACCCGGGCACTTCCTCTGCGCAAACATGAACCAGCTGCCGTTCTCCAGCCAACAAAGCCTGATCCTCAGCCCAAGGAGAAACCAACAAGCATCCCGCCTCCTCCGACAATGACTCTCACTCCTGCCTCGCCTCCCAAACAAGCTCAGCCAGGTCTCTTGTCGAAAATCACCTCGGCCGCTCCACTCTGGTGGTGGTCAAAATCCGATACCACTACTCCTCCTACCACCAAATCTCAAGAACAGCCCGACCTGCAGCACGCATCCCCTGCGCCCTCGCTCGCGCCTGCACCTGAACTGCCCGCTCCTCTCGCTTCTTCAAAGCCAAAGAACCTCCTCCTCCCTCCCCCCAAAACTTCCCTTTCCATCACAGGCGAATGGACAGTCGCGCACTACAAATACCTCGACGCCCTCTACCAAGTCTCCAAGCGCCTTCCACCGACCTATACCCCTCCGCCCCTGACCTCGTCAGCCCTGCGCAAGCTCGTCAATTGGACCCACGAAGCCAATGGGTACAGCGCCACCCTGACGCATCTGCACATTACTCTCGTGCAAGAGTTCCGCCAGACCCTGGCTGATGCGGCGGGCGCCAAAAGTGTGGACGAGCTCCAGTGGAGCGAGGGCTATGTTGCGCGCAGACTGTATAGTATTATTATCGGCGAGGAGATTCGTAAAGCCAGAGGCGAGAAGTGCTAGTTGTGTGCAGGTTTTGCTTTTGCTTTGTGTTCTTCATTCTCGAGTTTTGTTTTCTTTTTCTTTCTCATTTCCCCCCCCCCCCAAGAGTCTGTTTCTCTTAAGTTTTCTTTTTTCCAAGTGTTTATTTTTCCAGGCTTCTGTTTCTCCCGTTTTTTTTTTCCAAGTCAAGTCAAGTGTTTACACCCCCAAGTCCCATTAATCCGTATGTCACCAACTTCAACCCCTCAAATTACCCCCTTTTTGCTCATAGTTATTGCTTTCGGCTTTCGGCTTTCGGCTTCGTTTCGTTTCGTTTTCTCATCTCAATGATACCGCTCCTTTACCACCCCGACGTTTTTTTTTTTTTTTTTTGCTCTCTTCATTAGCGTTACTATAACACCATTAGCCTTCTTTGGGACTCGTCTGTACTTTGCAATTTGCAGTTTGTCTTTTACAAGCAAGTCCCGCGTATCTGACGAGCGAGTGATGGAGTTCTCGTCACATTACGTTACCTCGGAATCGACCGGGATCGACCGGGATCGACCGGGATCGACCGGGGTCATCGGACGTTTCAGTTTCAATGATTTATTTCGAATTGAATTATGTATACAGAGTACAGATTACAGAGTACCTTTTTCATGTAACTAGGTAGATGATTTGCAGTAGATAGCTTTTGAATAAATATACAAATTAATCTCACACGTCATATACCATGTAACACGTAATATAAAATACTGGAGGCGCTTGAAGAGCCTGAACAACCAATGTATAAGGCAATTAGGTAGTAATTTGATTGAAAAATATAAGTCAAGTTACTTAAGGCGTTACTCATTAGTGTATGGTCATAAGAGAAAGAAGGGAGATGGTCCCTTGGTAAATGCAAAATAATCGTGCAACGTGAAACACGCAACGTGCAAATGAAGACATATTATGCTTTCTGTAAGTGATTTGATTTAAATCTTCCACCAACATGGATAATATTCATTTAAAAAGATAAATGAATCCTCAGCCAAAACTGGTAAAAGTCTCAACCAAATACCAACGCCCTCACTTCGACGCTTTCTCTTCCTGGCGCGCCCTCGGGGGTTCGCGAATCCGTAAACGCAGTATGCGGCACACGGCCGTAGCTGCCCACGTCCTCGTCGCTATCGCTGCACTTGAGGAGCAATCTCTCATCGTTGCGCATTCCAGACAAGTAATACCATCTCTGGCCGGGGTTGTACTTGACGCCTGCAGTCTCGCCGGTGCGGTGGGGATATCTGTGCTGAACGCCAACGATATCCTCGTCTTCCACGGACGATCCATCGGCGAAGGCCAACGGAGAGGCCACCACGGGTCCGTTCAGTGGCCGCCATACATTGACAATACGGTATCTTCCCTGTAGCAGCTTCTCCGCGTCCTCGCCGAGATGAATGCGTACTCGCTCCTCGGCCGCTCTAGGGGTCTGGTCAATGTGTACGCGGTTCACGGGACCCCGAGCCGCATTCGGTCCCGGGCGACGGATCGTGTGGTCGAAGATGAAGATGCGGTGGGCACCAGGGAGGTTAGAGAGCAAGAGGTTCTCGACTTCGGGGTAGTAGATTTCCTTGATTCGCTGCTCGTCGGTAAAGTCGTGCTCAGAGGATGGGATATTCACGAGAGGCTCAAACGAGTTTCTGTCCAGTGTGAACTCGTTCTCTCGTCCGCGGATATCCTGGATCTCTACGTCGTGTACGGCTGTCCCGTAGTTGTTTTGGGGCACGCCCTCTGGTTGCTTCTCGACCCAGTTATATGGTGCCGAGCCATCGGCGGGGGGAACGTAGAAGCTCAACTGCGAGGTGACGGGCCCGCGAGGGATAGTGTATGCTTTGGTTTCGGGAGAGGCGTTGAGGTTTGTAGCCTTGATCCCGCTGCGTAGACCGCCCAGGTCGTGCGCAGGAGTGGCATTGATTGGAGCTGCAGTAGCCATTGCTGCTCTGGAAACTATTGTACTGAGGGATTTATAGTATGATAGAGAATGGCGCAACTTGGAGAAGGTGGCGACTGTGCGAGTCGACGTGGTTGATGGTTTCGTCAGACGTTGGCTATATTTGTTCTCAAGAGCGAATTTCTGCCGCTTTCAACTGCGCGTTTCGAAGCTTGCTGTAAAAGTAGTGGGAAACCGTGTCAATAATTGATAAGGCGGAATTATAGGATATATGGAAGCTGTGAAGGATAAAGCTCCTAGAGATTAAAGAAGAGTCAATATGATTTAAAGGTCAAGCTGATTGCTCTAGAATATCGCCAGCTGTGCCTACAGCATCGTGTTTAAATAGTCCATGGGATCGATGAAATGTAAGCTGTATGACAAAACCCCACCGTTGCTCCTCTGCAATAGCAATTTATCATCATGAATTAGTAACCTGACGGCTTGACACCATCATCCGGGAAGCTTATTGGGTCGGAGCATGTTGATGGCTGTCTCCGGACACTGGGGTAACCGCAGATCTGCCGGACGCCGGGCCGAGGGGGGACCATGCCCGGTAGGTCTCTACCCCGGACGCAGAGAACGCAATTGATGAGTAAGAAGGTAATTTCTTTGGTGGAGAAGTCCCATGCAAGTCAGATAGCGGAATCTGCACGGCAAATGACGAGCTCAACGTTGCCTTGTGCATTGGTAAGCCTTCTTCCGCACACCCATTACAATTCTTCTTGGTTGCGTTGCTGCTTTGCTCCGATCGCAAAATGATGACCTCGGGGTGGAATATTTTCATCGATTGATATTAATTCAATTTCGCAAATTTATGAGATGAACGACAATCTGTTTTCGGGATATCTTGTTGACTTATTCATTTCCGGCTTCGATTTTTATTGGATTTCGCATTTCAGTCTGTGGGCATGCTTCTAAGATAATTGGATGATCAACCAAGGTTTATATATATACATATGATATGATACAGCAAAAGTCCCAATCTCTTCGCTGATTGTGATCAAAGCAGACCGTGATGGCAGTGTAAAGAGGAGAACGACATCTCTACATGGATAAGGTAGATTCCTCCCTGACAACACCGGAAGGTCTACTCCGTGGCCCTTTCTCCCGAGTCAATTGCTTGCCCTCTGTTCGATGCTTGCTTCTTGATGCCCAACTATCCTCGAAAGGTTGAAGCACTTTGTTGTATATTGCCAGCTTTCCTGGGTACTGATAGACCCTCACAGCAAAGGCGAAATCCTGTAAACTTTTGTTGCCCAATGAGCTCGATAATCTTGCATCTTGGCTTTGTTCGCGCTCGGCATCTTTAACAAAGGTAAGGTACATCTCTCGGTCTTCCACCGTTCTCCTCTCACTCTCCTCCCGTGGAGTTCCATCTTTGTCATAATTGCATGGGTTGCCCAGCAGACCGGGCAGCATATCAAGTAAAAAAGGAAATTCTGCCAATTCCCAGGGAATGCTGTGAGACTTTTCCCAATCGATGATTCCTGTCACTCTACACTGATCGTCGAGGATGATATTGCTGTAATAGAAATCAGGATGATAAAGTGGAAATGGTCCATCATCGAATAGCGATAATCGAGTAGCCAGTGCCATGATATTATGAGGAAAAGTTTCGACGGAGGATACTACTTCATCAACAGGACCATTTAGCATCAACCTACGGATCTTGTCCTCAGTATGAGGGAATTTGATCTTTGAAGCCTGGGCTTCAAAGAAAGCAGAAGCGGTGTCAAAAGGGCCTCCTAATCCTGGAATGGGGCCGACCTCGTAGGTGCCATTTGGCGATTTGCTGACAGTGCCAATCTTTGGAAGACGAATGGAACTAATCTGGACTTGCGTTTCAGCAATAGCCTTAAGGAATGGCAATTTGTACTCCTGGGATATGATGCCATTGCCGCGATCAAAAAAACCTCGAGCGTCAATGGCAGATATTCCAGGTATTCGCTCCATGAGGATGAAAGGAATACCAATCTTATTAGCGCCGGTAGCTTCATAAGCATATACTCGTGGTACTCTGACATTTGTTGTTTCTCTTATCAGAGTCATCGTGTGAACCTCACTTCTGATCCGTGCAGCTGTCCTTTTATCGACTCGCTTTGGGATTCGTACGATCCAGTTTGTTCCGTCGTGAAATTCTAAAACTCGAACGTGATGAACACTTCCAGAGGGAAATCCAGGCCCGACCGCACAGGGAACTCCTCCATTATTGCTGCTTGCATACACGCATAGTTCGTCAAAAAGCAACTCTAAGCCATTTGATTTCTTGCCCTCCAGGTTAGCTTTGGAGGGGAAAACGCTTGGAATTGCAGACATATTCAGAATATAACTATAATACCGATTCCACAATTTATTGGAGCTCGGTTCTTCAAATCGAAATTTGTATAGAAAACTGTTGGGCTGTACTCACCGCTAGGGACAGGTAAAGGGCAATGCACGAATGTTTTACATTGATGAGTCATCAATTAAGGCGCCAGTTTCCCCGCCATTTCTGTTCGACTCTAACTGAAATCTTCTCGTCATTTTATCTTGTGGGGATTTAGCTAGTCGAACAAATCCGGGGTTAGTCATAGACGGTGTCGCTCAACGAAGACGAGAACATCAACATCATCATCATCATCATCATCATCATCATCATTATAATCCAAGCTTATATGAGCATTCCGTCAGCGCAGTCAGTTGAGGCTCATTTAGGCGTTTGCGGTCGAGAAAGAATTGGCTTTGGAACCGACCAACGTACCATCAGAGAAGGGGCCAGCTGAATATAACTTGGCACATCAGCCCGACCTTCATTAAGATCTGTGGGGCAGTCTGATGGATCGGCCTTCACCGTATTAATATATACTCTTTAGTAGAGATGTGTACACTGTTGTTTGATGATCGCAACCCTTCTTCTTTCACACTCCGCCGCGAGCTGCACATAATGTAGAGGAGTCTACGGCAAATGCCTCTTTTGCTGCAATTGTTGCCTTGATTTGTGTGCTATTATTCTAAATCTTGTAGGAAAGTACCTGTGAGCGCACGGTCCCTTCATCTCATTTCCCAAAGCAGCTGGGTGTCATTGGCAGGGCGTCAACTGATCCTGTAGCTACTTACATCTGCCAACAACTTGCCCATCCTTCAATTTTCTTTCTGTAATCCCTTCGCCCCGCTCTCTGCTCTCTAATAGTTCTTGCCATCAGAGCCGAGCAATGGCGTTCGCATCAGTGCCAGAGTCTGCAAAAGCGACCCTAAAGCCCTTCAAGGTTGCCATACCAGAGGACCAAATTGAAGAGCTTCACAGTCTTATTCAAGCAGCAAAGCTTGCTCCTCGTACTTACGAATCTTCACAACAAAATCGGCAGTATGGCGTAACGTATGATTGGATGAAGACAACAAAGTCTACCTGGTTAAATGATTTTGATTGGTAATTGCATCTTTTTTTTTTTGTGCTAGATATTTGTGTGCGGTGTGACATTAGAATTTGAACTCACATCAGGCGCTGCATAGGCGCAAACATGAAAAACGAATCAATTCCTTCCCGCACTTTATCCTACCCGTCAAAAATGAAGACGGGAACAAATATGACATACATTTCGTTGCATTGTTTTCGAAGAAGAAAGACGCTGTTCCGCTCATGTTGCTGCACGGATGGCCAGGTGATATAGCTCTTAAAGTCATTTTCGTGCTGTGTTCAGCATCCTGACTACATTGAATAGGGAGCTTTCTCGAGTTTTTGCCATTGCTACAAGAGCTTCAGAGCAAGTATACTCCCGAGACGCTGCCATATCACGTTATTGTGCCATCCCTTCCGGGATATGCATTTTCCTCACGACCGCCACTGGAGAAGAACTTCGCACTCAAAGATGCATCCTACCTATTGAACGAGGTCATGCTTTCCTTGGGGTTTGGTGACGGTTATGTTGTCCAAGGAGGTGATATCGGAAGCAGACTTTCACGTGTCATGTCTGTCTTATACCCCAGCTGCAAGGGTAAGCTCAGGTCTACTCCTTGTATTAGCATCTTCAAGTACTGACGATAAAACAGCTGTCCATTGTAAGTACACCGTGCCTGGAAATACTTGAGCCTTTTTTTGTATCATTAACTGACCATCTTTTCATCTTTGCAGTAAATTACTGCAGAGTCATTGATCCGCCAAACCCTCAAGTCGAAAATGAACTGGACGACATTGAGCGTGAGGGGATTGAGAGACACCGAGCCTTCAAGCGGAGCGGCGCTGCCTACGCTCTGGAGCACGGCACCAGGACGAGTACTATCGGTTTTGTGCTGTCGAGCAGTCCTCTTGCCCTTCTAGCCTGGTAGGTCTTCCACGTAATCTGTTTCAAATATTAATTCAGCGGCAATTGATGGCTGTATCAAGGATTGGAGAAAAATTCCTAGAATGGACAGATGAAGATCCGCCGCTGGAGACTATCCTCGAATCTATCACCCTTTACTGGTTGACCGAGACGTTTCCCACGGCAATCTATCCTTACCGTGAGGTTAGTACAAACCAAAGCTATGCCGACTGATGGACTGCGTTTCACAATGTCACAGTCCCAGGATCTCAACGCTGTCGACACCCATGCAAATCCACAGTGGCACATCAAGAAGCCCTTTGGATTCAGCTATTTCCCGCGAGAGATTACTCCGTCGCCGCGAAGCTGGATCGCGCAGACGGGAAATCTGGTCTTTTTCAGACGCCATTCAAAGGTTTGTGCTTTCATCCTTCCCTTGACACATAGCATGTTCAGTGAAATACACCTGGTGGTCCAAATGTTAGCACGCGCAAAGCTTTAGGAAAGTAGTCCTTGATCCGACTTTGCTAATTTCGGTGCCTAGGGGGGACATTTTGCAGCACTTGAGCAACCGAAAGTCATGCTTCAAGATATTGAAGACTTTATTGCCCAGGTCTGGTCAGGGCGCGAGTAGCTCAAGTCAAAATTTCACACGCTCAAGCATTAGCTCTTGAATTGCTATAGAGCAAAGGGGCAGCGAGCTCATAAAACGTCGAGAATTAATCTGCGGTATGACTGATGCATTACAGTGCCACACAACTCTAACTTGTCACGAAAAATATTACATATGCAACATGACTTTCATTTATAATGCTAGTATATGCGAATAAATTTGCTTCTATGTCAAATCATAAAACCATAAAACCATTTCCATTTCCAAAATCAGTCATGCCAACGGAGCAATTACTCTGGTATCTTGCCTGTGGCGATTGGTGCTCTTCAATCGCGGCGTCAGATAATGCCCTGCTGCAGAATCATCGAGTATCTGACATAGAAAAGGTACAAATAATACTGGTCCAGGTGCCATCATCTCTTCTTTCGAGATTTCGCTTCTGTCAAGTGCGCAGAGGTTGCCATGACACAATGATCAGCCAGAGCATGGCCGACATAAGACGCGCCACGGCCGGTCGATTAGTGTCTTGTCCCTGTCCCATAACCTTTGATTAGGGGGTTGCTTCGAGTGACGCTCTCGCAAACATTCTCCCACGCCGAGCATCTTGTACATCGAATCCTGATCGAATCTGTTTCGTGGGATTCCACGAATGCCACACCGCTGAGAGCGCGCGAAATCGCCTCTATCCCTGCCTCCCACGGCATGTTGGTTCTGAGCGCAACTGGGTCAAGATCTCCCCCCTTCCTCCTTCGACCCATCCCCCACAACCCAATCATGTCGATGGTTGAGACGCTATAATTGACCCTGCAGTTTTACCGTAATCTCCGTTCTTCTTTCTTTCCCCTCGGAATGTTTCTAACCCTCGATCGTAAGTTGTCACGCTTCAAGTAGGCTATCCAGGCTTCATTCCGCCGCACCGCCTTCCTCGCCCTCCACAGCCTCCATTTCTTCCTCTTCGCCTTCCGCGTCTTCACCCTCGCCTTCGGGCTCAGGCGCTCTGCCCAAAATGCGCGCGACATGCTCGACAATCTCCTCCTGCTGCTTCTCGTCCAGCCGCATATCCAGCTCTTCGACTATCGTGTCCAGCACGCCCTGGCTCTCCGGGCGGATGTTGAATATCATCAGCATCTCGGCTTTTGTCAGATCATACGGTTCCAGCGCGCTCATCAGCTTCGGGATCGTCTCGTCTGTGTATTCGTGCTCTCCCGCGAGCGGGGACGGGGTGGTGGTGAGGTAGTCTGTTAACTGTTTTCCGCCCGAAAAATAGGATTAGCATACCGTTTTCTGGCATTTTGATTGCGGAAAATGGCGCTCAAGTTTCAACCTCAGAGCGGAGAGTGGGGGAGGAGAGGGGGGCGGGACAAAAGGTGCGAGGTGCGTTAAGACGACCTGACGACATTGACGAAAAGAGAAAAGAGTAGAGAGTAAAGAAAAAAAGGGGCAAGTATGTGAAAACGTACCTCTTTCATGACGGTTTCCAAGTTCCCGCTTTTGACACTATGTTCTGCGTCGTAGCGCTTGCGCATGGATTGGAGGTGCGTGAGGACCTCATAGTTGGTCAACGGCGCAGATTGGGTCTCGAGGATCTATGTGGTAGGAACTTCAGTCAGTCATAAAAGTCCAATGGCATAGACATGTGCGCGAGAAGTCAAGGACGGCTAAATACCTTCATGATTATTTTCCGTTTCTATTGTTTGTCAAAGGTAGACCGTTGAGGTTTGTTATTCGAGTGAGCTGTGCTTGGACAAAAATTCCTAGCGGAGTAACTTAACTTATGCGACTTGTGTACCCTTGCTAAGGTCAGGAAGGTTCGCTCGGGGTTTAGTTTATCCGAGCCGAAACCGGGAAGAACTTACTAGGACTGTTACTGCGGAAAACGCCACATGAAGACGTGGCTAAAGCACAAGTGGTATTCAACGGAGGCAGAGCACGATATCGAGAACCAGATCTTGACAATTCAATCGACCACACTTATCACTAATACGTCATATTTAGATTTGGTAAAGAATGTAATGATGATTAACTTTTGAAGTGTATTTGATTCAAGGAAATGACCTAAAACCACCATTTATAACGCCATCAATGACACCCCTGGAAGCACACCAGCGGTGGCCGAGTATGATACAACAGACGAAATAATACAGTTGACCCACGTGTCCACCGAAAATATGAAAAGAAAAAAATCAAAAAACATTTGACTTGAAAAGCGAAAAGAGGATGCATCAGCAAAAGAAACCCGAGAAGCAGGCAGAGGGCATTATGGCATTAATTTAGTCCTTGCTCTTCTTCTTCTTCTTCTTTTCTGACTTGTCGGCTTTCTCGCCGCCGTCCTCTTCTCTCTTTCTCTTCTTGCCACTCTCATCAGACTCAGGCTTCTCCTTCTTTTGCTTCTTGAGGTCCTTCTTGCTGACCGCGACGGGTGTGCCGTCTTCCTGGAAGGTGATTTCTCCTCGCTCGAGCTTGCGCTGGTATCTCTCGACGCTCAAGCCAGCCTTTTCTGCGAGGGCAGCGAGCTTAGCGTCCTCGCTGTCTTCAGCCTTGGAAGACTTCGACTCGCGCTTCTCCCGACGCTCGGCCTTTCGGGCAAGCTTGGCCTCCTTCTCGGTCTTCTTCTTGCTCTTCTCCGAGACTTCTTCGCTCTCGCTTCCGGAAACACCGTCGGCCTGGACCTCCTCGTTCATCTCAACATCGCCTTCGGCGTCCTTGTTTGCAGACTTGGCGACGGGGGCGTTTCCGGCAAGACCGTCAGCATCAGGGTTATACTTGCGGGCCTCCTTCACTTCCCACTTGTTGGGAGTGGCAGCGGGCTTGCCATTAGGTCCAATTCCAACACCAATGGGAGGCAGAGGCTTGCCCTCGAGGCCACGCAGTCTTCTCTCAATCTTGATTCTGGACTCGACACCAAGAGCGGACTTCTCCTCCTCAGTGACATCGTCACCCTTGCCTTCTCCCTCGGCACCCCACTCTGAGAGGGCATCGACACGGAGACCGAGAGCGGCCTTGGTGGCGAGCATACGAGCAATCTTGCCCTTGTTCTTGCCGGTCGCTTGGCCGATGAGCGAAGCGTGGTAGATGAGACCGTACTTGGGTGTGTCGTGCTTCGTCTTCAAGGCACGGAAGAGAGCCTTCTCGGCACCGAGAATCTGGATGGTAGAGGCAGGGCTCTTGGCAAGGTTCATCAAGCTTCCAGCGTGGGCGATCAGACGGGCTCCGACCAGCTCACCAACAAGAGCAGTCAAGTTGGGGGCGATAGCAGCCATACGGGCAGACAAGTAGCTCGAGAGCTGCTGTCTGTACTCGGTGAAACCAACAACCTGCTCAGCAAGAGCCTTGATGTTGTCGAGATCCTCGATAGTGATCTCAGTACCCATGGAAACCTCGGCAGCGGCCTTAACGGCACCCTCAATCTCTTCAGGGAGGATCTCGGTGAGGTCGGTGTTGACAGCGTTTGAGCGCAGACCCATCTTAAGAATAACACGGGAGTAGGCCAGGTTGTCGTTGACAATTCTGCCCATTTCAGGGAAATGCCATCCGTACCACTCCTTGACTCTCATAGCATAGGTGTTGAGCTCCTTGTCCAGGTCATCGAGAAGGGCAATGGCTTGGACAATCATGGTATCGACCTTATCCGGGGAAAACTTGAGCTTGTGTCGAGAGAGCGAGTGCGACAAACCGAGCGACATGGTAGAGATGTCTTGCGGCATAAGGCCAGGGATCAGAGAAGGCAAGTGGGCGCGAATGGCACGGAAAATCTCCGCGGTGCTTGAGTCGGAGATGGGTTGAAGAGAGAGCTGGGGAAGCTTGTTGATGGCATTGCCTGAAAAGATATTCTGTTAGTTGTGGGACAATTTTGAATTTTCGACGAATTGGAGAAATACCAAGCTTAGGGTCGGCGACCGCGAGCGACACCTTCTTCTCATCTTTGATCGAGTCAAGAAGAGAAGAGAGCAGAGGAGTGACTTTGCCGTCGACCAACGAGGCAACTTCTTCTAATGCCGTCGCGGCACTGTCAAATTTCTGGAACTGCTTCAACTTCAGACTGTGGGCCGAAACGAGCGAATTGTCAGCCATTGTTCGTAATATAATCTAGAACATGCTCATTGCAATATATAAAAATTTTTTCGACAGTAATCAGGATGCGACATACAGGTTGCAGACACCTTCAGCAGTCTCGGTCTCGGCGGCCAGGTCATCGCGCTTCAAAAGCTTCTTGTCCTTCGCCTTCAAGAGCGCATAACCAGCGCTGGTTTCGGTAAGAATGAAAAGCGTCATGATAGACGATTCGGAAGGGACGAAAGAGGGAAACGCAAATCGGAAAGGGAAATTGGTGAAGGAGGAAGGAGCGTGTCTCTACTTCTCTCTCGCTCCCACAACGAGACGGTCGGTTGGCGATGGTTCGGTCCTGCTCGATTCGTGAAATTTTCTGGAGAGTTTGAGAAGAGAAGGTTGTGCGCTAACACGCGAACGAGCACCCGGCCGATTATGTAATCACGCCTCTACCCAGAGGACGTTCCCCCATAGACCACACCGGCTTGGGCATGACATTATTAGTCTAGTCTGTAGGCCCAGCTTCGAAGCATCCCGATATCCACATCTGAGACGTTCTGTCCCTCAGCTGGACTGCTCAGCCCTGCCTGCGGCGCTCTCATATTACCTAAAGTACTCGCAATGGAGGGTCTCTTCTTCAACGTGAACAATGGGTACGCCAGAATATAGATATTTACCCTCTATCATCTTGAGCTTGCTCACTCACAATCTCCAGCTATATCGAAGGCGTCGTGCGTGGCTATCGCAACAGTCTCTTGACCAGCCAAAACTACAACAATCTCACGCAATGCGAAACTATCGATGGTCTGCGCCTCCGATGTATCCATTTTACCATCTGACGCAAAACTAACCTCGTTCCAACAGATGTCAGACTGCAGCTCTCACCGGCTTATGGCGACTATCTCGCCGCTCTCCCTCCAAATCCCTCGACCTCCTCTCTCGCGGCCAAGACGACTGACAAGCTTGTCGCTGATTTCCGTTACGTTCAGTCGAATGCTACTGGATCGCTAGCAAAGTTTATGGAGTACTTGACCTATGGATATATGATCGACAATGTGGCCCTCCTAATCACCGGAACTCTACACGAGCGCGATACTCGCGAATTGTTGGAACGATGCCATCCTCTTGGCTGGTTCGAAACCATGCCTGTGTTATGTGTGGCCACGAATATTGAAGAACTCTACAATTCCGTCTTGATTGAGACCCCACTGGCACCATACTTCAAGGGCTCGTTGAGCCATCAAGATCTGGATGAATTGAACATTGAAATCATTCGCAACACTCTATACAAGAACTACCTTGAGGACTTCTACTCATGGGTCAATTCGCACCCTGAGCTGAAAGGAACTCCAACCTCCGAAGTGATGTCTGAGGTCCTCGAATTTGAAGCTGATCGGCGAAGCATCAACATCACCCTCAACTCCTTTGGTACTGAGCTATCAAAGGCCGACCGAAAGAAGCTATATCCCAATTTTGGTCGTCTCTATCCTGAAGGGACCTTGATGCTTTCGAGGGCAGATGATATTGAAGGTGTGAGAATAGCCGTGGACGGTGTAGCCGATTACAAGACATTCTTTGACCAGACTGGACTCAGTCAGAATGGACCAAGCGGTGTCGGGAATATGGCTGGCGGAACGGGTGCTGAGGGAAAGAGTTTGGAAGATTTATTCTACCAAAAGGAAATGGAGATTTCGAAAATGGCTTTTACTCGGCAATTCACACATGCGGTCGTCTACGCCTGGGTCAAACTTCGAGAACAGGTATATCACCCCGGTTACCGATGAAGTAATAGCGATTCGTGATGCTTACTTTTATACTAGGAGATTCGAAACATTACTTGGATATCCGAGTGTATCGCTCAGAACCAGAAAGAGAGAATCGGAAACTACATCAGCGTATTCTGATGCATTTTCCAGCTCTTTCTTCTTTCTCCTTTTCCAAATACCTCCCAAATACCTTCTCATTAACATGTGCATCGCTGACCTCCCTCACAACTCGCTATAACTACCACCATCTGGTTTTCCATTCAACGTCCATCTTCGCTTCTGTTGTTTTCCTCTTATCTCAATATGTCGTTGACGACTGTATCAATCTTGCACCGTTATCCTTTAGACAGCCATGTAGTATATCCATGTCACGACTGCAATATAATACCTTGACTTTAAGGCAAGCGGCTCGCTCGGCTGTTGTAGTTCTTCCCTGCGTATGGTAGCCGTACTGCAGAACTGAGTTATCAAGCGGCGCCTATTGAATGAGGCTTCCGAAATTCTGGCCCTCTTTCCCATGAGAGGATCTGACAACACTGGGTATAGCGGTGCGGTGACATGAACGATCCTCTTTTCTCCATCGGAGCCGGCCTCAGGGCCTTCGATGATTTGTGCCTGCTGTAATGTTGCACTTGGAGGGTAATTTACACATTCCATGCTTTCGAGTACTCCAGACGCGGTCGTTTAGGTCACCGTGCATGTTGGTCCTTCGCTCAGGCCACCACCTGGTTTCTTACTCGTCATTGCCGCAGTCCTCGCGATATCTTCAAAGACTTCAAAGATCAGTTCCCCAGTGACAGCCGAGCATTCAGCATATCGATCACAGCGCATCTCTTGCGCAATGCGATGTGCCTGTTATTCAGAGATTGCATGAGTCTCATGATTCGCCTTGGCGAGACACCACCATTGAAAACGCCAATCAAGACGTCAAGAGGAAATCTACTTACCTCTTGCGGATAAATTGTATTCTCATCCACAACCCTCAAATCTCTCTTCAGACCGAGAAGCATAATTGGTAATTCGCGATTATACATGTAATTCGCTAGGATCTCTCTGCTCCACTGTGATTGTGTGATTAGCATAATGCTTCCTTCATCTTTACTCACTCTGGGAAAAGAAGCAAGTGAAGGGGAAAGGAAATCAAAATGATATCAAAAATGATATCAAAACAATTCTGCTCACTCACTCTCTCTTGCACACTCTCCAGACTTTTACGATTATTTATATCAAAACAGAGTACTATGAAATCCGGTCGCAGGAGAGAATAGTGATCAGGTGACGACGTATCGTAGAACTGAAAACGATATGGGCGCTTGAAAAGAGATATTTCAAAAAGGAATGGCTGATCACTATCTCGTAGGACTGGTAATTCTTTGATCTCGGCGTTGTGGCCTTTGGTGCCGCAACTTAGACGTCTATAAATTCAGATTGAACCCTGTCAGTCATGGCACGTGAAGCGGATCTAGCAAAGGCAGGCTTACGCTAGAAATGTCGACTTTCCTACATCCGAGTCCCCGAGAAGAAGGATAGTTATTTCGGGAGGGTCGTTATCCATTTGTAAATAAAGCAAATGTGATAATTTGATAAGTTACAAGGGACTGTATGCTTCGAAGTCATTCATTGGGACTGCTTTCTCAAGTTCGGAGAGACATGAGTACTTCGTACACCGCCTTCGAGCCCTGAGAGACGAATCCCCTTTTCGTATTATCAGATCTGATAATCACAGAAAGCCACTCCGGTAACGCCGGGTAACGTGGGACGGAAGTTTACAAAAGTTTTGGGCGTCGGCGAATTGGATTGGGCAGAGTTGTGAGCAAAAAGACGCCTGGGGATGAGGACCTTATATTGGAGGGGATTGGCAGCTTTTAAATACGATAATTCTCATAATTTGTCTTCATTCTCTCGTGCCTTTCACCGTTCGTTTCCCCGGAATTGGCATTCAAAAATCCTCCGGGCACCGCGACCGATTGCCAAAATGGCGACTCCTCAAATGGACTATTCGAAGTGGACGCAGGAGAATTTGATCAAGCGTGTCACTGAGCTAGAGCAGCAGTTGCGCGTCCAGGCAATCAAGTAAATTACTTTTTACATTGCAGTGTTTCGCATGTGTCGTCTCCTTGCTAATTTGCATTGCAGAATCGAGAAATCAGCCCTCCCGGCCCCTCCGCCGCGAAAGAAAGCTCGCGCGCATCGTGAATTCGACCCTTCGAAATACTCGACCCGTCTTATTGCGCTCAAGTTTGCATACCTTGGGCAGCGGTATAATGGATTTGAACACCACGCGAACAATGATACTCCTCTTCCGACTATTGAAGAAGAGCTGTGGAAAGCATTGACCAAGGCGCGTCTGATTTTTCCCACGAACACATCTTCTACGAAGCCAGGCGAGGTCAGCTGGGAGGGATGCGAGTATTCAAAATGCGGTAGAACAGACAAAGGCGTCAGTGCTTTTGGTCAGGTCATTGGTATCAGAGTCAGGAGTAACCGCCCATTGAGCCGGCCGAAACCAACAGAGGACGAGCCGATGCAGGACGCCGAAGGATCAACAACCACGGAGGAGCCTGCCAAGGACGACACGCCTCCTTTTGACCCGATTAATGATGAGCTTCCCTACGCTCAAGTCTTGAACCGCCTCCTCCCGGAAGATATCCGTATCTTGGCATGGTGTCCGTCGCCTCCGCCTGACTTCTCTGCCCGGTTTAGCTGCAGAGAACGCCGGTATAGATATTTCTTCACTCAGCCGGCTTTCTCCCCCATCCCTGGCGCTAATGGTGTGTCTACTACGAGCGATAGAACACCCCGCCGGGACGGCTGGTTAGACATTGAAGCAATGCGCGAAGGGGCTCGTCACTTTATGGGGCTTCATGATTTTAGAAATTTCTGCAAGGTGGATCCCAGCAAGCAAATCACCAATTTTCAGAGGCGCATCGCCTTTGCCGATATTGAGGAAATCAACCCGGCCAATGGACCTGTCGGATACGTAGGCCATCCTGCATTTGGGCCTTCGAACAGTGCCAGTCAGAATTTTCAGACTTCGACTGAGTCGAGTGCCTCCTCGTCTGTCTCAACACCGCGTGTGTATACATTTACTATTCACGGTTCTGCTTTCTTATGGCATCAGGTCCGCCACATGACTGCTATTCTATTTCTCATTGGACAAGGTCTCGAATCTCCGTCGATCATTCCGAAGCTGCTTGATATCGAGCAGACTCCCACCAAGCCAATGTATGAAATGGCTTCCGATGCCCCTCTCGTGCTTTGGGACTGCGTGTTCCCAGAGGCGGACGGTGAAGGGGATTCGCAGACCCCAAGCCATAATGGCGCTCAAGATGCGCTCACGTGGATTTACACTGGCGACACGCGCGGCACTGAGAACGGCAAATCACTAGGCCCGAATCGTTCCAGTGATGGAAAGTTCGGTCTCGGAGGTGTTGTTGATGATATGTGGCGAGTATGGCGCCGCCGAAAGATTGATGAGGTGCTTGCTGGCACCCTGCTAGACGTGATGGTCACTCAGGGGAATACGGGCATCAACAGACAGGTTGGTGATGAGACGGTTTCCAGCACTTCCGCTGCCGTTGCAAGCAACAAGCCTAAGAGCCAGAGAGTGTTCGATGGCGGCAATTCCGCCGTGCTAAAAGGCGTATATGTTCCTGTTATGCAAAAGCCTCGTCAGGAGCCAGTGGATGTCATCAATGCAAGGTATGCAGCTCGCAAAGGGCTCAATACAAGTATCAAGGAGCAATTGCGCTCAGAGGCGGAAGACGACGTCAACGAGTAGGTTTCAGGCAGATATCCTTCTCTATAGATATTATAGACAAGCATAATAGCATCTTATATGGCAATGGTATATATAGTATAACCGGTCCGAAGTAAGCGCTTTGAAATATTTTGGGGGGGGGACGTCTTCTTTAAAACAAACGCCCATGAGCGTAGTCACGCCGTATGTCTATTAAACTAGCGCCATGATGTGATCCCGGAGAGTCAGGGACGCGCATTACTCGTGAAGTTTTCTATCCTGCATATCATGCTGTATCACTTCAAGATCCGGTACTCTTGTGCGCTGCGTTTAAGGGGACGTCTAAGGACGAACATGCCAACTAACTTGTAAATTGGCTTTTCGTATAACGCGCCCGACGTAGATCGAGTTGGCTCTGCACCTGGACTCGAGCGTGACACCCGAGAATGGCTGGATTCATTCGCACCCTGACTAGGAAGCTCGAGTGAACACTCGAGTCAAGGAACATTCGATATCCCTGCCGATTGGGACGCATGTCTGCTTCCCAGCTGCCAGGCACTGAGGTTAGGATTTTATTTCGTATAAGCAGGATCGCACGCCCCTCCATACGTCTTCTAACATCCTCCGCTTCGGAAGAAGGTTCTTGATGAATCAGATGTCAGTACATTGCCTATTTTCCAAAGACATAGAATTTATATATTACTTACAGGAAAGACAACTACCACATCTTCCTCTCCTCGTACAACCACAGCAAGGTAAAATCGTACCTCAAATCCTTTAAATGCTTCGTGGATGAATATATCCCTGATCTCATTCGTCGGGATAAACCTGGTTGCAGCTGTTGAAAGATAGGTGGAAGAAGATGTGGAGGTCTGTATTCCTAGACCGCGGATAACTAATAAAGATTCTTCTATGAAATGAAATTAACTTCGTCTCCTTGTAAGGTTTGTCGGATGCATTAGCCGCACGACCCACCTGTATAGCCTTTCTGCACCACGGCGTAGATTATCGCAGCTACAGCAGGGAAGACAATCTTCCAGCTGAATCTAGTTGCTATCCCATCGGAGAAAGTTCCCAGACTCGTACTTTCAAAAAGAATTTGAGCACCTGGCACTTTCTGGGCACCAGAAACTTGTGTGAACTTGGCAACGGCCACGGCCAGAGCGGAGATGGCCAGTAGCACGCGTAGTATTATTGTGACATAGAAGGTAGCCTGAGCAGAGAAGCTTGTCCGAGAAGGTGCATTAGAGACAGTATATGAAACAGTCGTCGGTGAGGGGCGACGAATGGAGAGGCGAACAGGAACATTCAACATGTTGGGATGAAGTCCATATAAACACCGTCTGAAGACCCCCGGGCGAAACAATTAGGACTTGCTGCTGGTACTCCGCTTGATCCGGCTAGCGTATTGTGGGGTGAATGTGGCAGTACAGTCGCCTACTGCAGTGAAGTTAGGGAGCCTTTCGTTACTGGGCAGAGAGAATACAGCAGCCTACTCTGTAGACGATCTCTAAGCCCACAGCTAGACCGAGCGGCTCCAGTTATATTTTCCGCCTGAAGCTAACCAAATTTTGAGGCAGAAGAAACCTCCAACTACACTTTCCAAAAACCTACGATCTCCTGCTAGAGGACCAGCCTTTCCAACCGACAAGACTTCTTGCGCTCACAGATACGCTCGGTCGCATCGCCTCCGGCAGAAGACCTCTTCACTCGACAGGTCTTAACGATGGGCAGCCCGCGAGCTCGATCACGCTCGCGTTCTCCTGTCCGAGAACAGCGCCGTCGGAGCCCATCACCTCGCCGGTACGAACGTCGCCGCAGCCCTTCACCCAGCAGATATGACCGTCGTCGAAGCCCCTCACCCAGGCGAAGAAGGGATGAAGACCGGCCGCGCCGGGCTGGAGGCGGATTCAAATGGAAAGGCGAAGATAGAAGAGATCGTCGAGACCGTCCGCGCTCCCCTCGACCGGAAAAGCGGCGGCGATCGAGGTCTCCTCGACCGGAGAAGAAGAAGACGGCTCCTGCTACGGGCCCTGCACCGTCGGGAGAGCCCATGATCATTGTCAACGTGAATGACCGGTTAGGCACCAAAGCTGCCATTCCATGCCTCGCATCGGACCCCATAAGTTGGTCTCTCCTGGTCGCTCATGGATATTTGGTTATAAAACGCTGACCTTTTTTTTATAGAGCTCTTCAAAGCTCAGGTTGCAATGAGAATCGGAAGACGACCACATGAGATTCTCCTTAAACGCCAAGGCGAACGGCCATTCAAGGATCACCTTACCCTCGAAGATTACGGGGTCAGCAATGGAGTGCAACTTGATTTGTATGTAGCTGGACTTGATACTGTACGATTCGAAGCACTAATATCTATCATAGGGAACTTGATACCGGAGATTAGTTCAGACGATGTCGACCATGCTCTCCTTCTCTTTATTGCTCCTATGTCTTTGTCCGAGATTTTGAACAACTTTTAACATTTTTCACGCTTGAAAGTGCGCATCAGAGGAATAGCGCCGGACCGGACTGGGTGTGGCTTTTACCTGGATGGAAAAAAAACAAAATCGTACATGATACCAAAACTGCATATGTATTCTAGCGATGCATTTCAATCCATATGGATCTCCTTGCAAAGAAAACGATTTAATCAGCTGTATCCAGTTGAGATAAGGAAAAAAGATTTTGTTGAATGTAGGAGCTACCAGTTGATATTACATTTCATAATGTACATGCTATAATCATACTGGGAAATGCGGTGAGGCTTCACTCAAATTTTTGGTTTCTGTTCTCATCAGTGTTTCACAAGTGACCACCCGATAATGTGATACTTATTTCAGAGTCATCTTTCCTTGAGTAATCTTTGTAGGAGCCATGATTCTGGCCTGAGTTCTTTGCATCAGAACTCGATCTCTGCAATGCCTACTTGCACGTGATTAAACCGAGGTGTTTTGTCAGTGTTATTACCTAGCGGGATGCATTATCGTGGTAAAATCCCAGTTCTTTTCTATTTGGGGTTCTCTTGAGTAGCTTGTAAGTCCCAGAGGGTTCTCAACCTAGGTAGATGAAGGGACAATTAATTTGTCATTAGAGGTCCTGGGCGATAGTGACAGTCAAGGCAAGAGACATGCACGAGTCAAACGGGTCGGGGATGCAGGACTTATCGATAAGCGAAAAGGCGGCAGCAAATCTGACCAGTTCGCATTTTTCTTCCCCATATTCAGTGCACCCTTTTTTCCCGTTTTGGCTGCAGCTTGCATAAGGTGGCTTAAGCAGCTTCTTTCTGACATATCTCTTTTTGTTTGCATGTAAATCACTCAACATATTATCGGCCTTTTATTGTCGGAGGTTATTCTCGTGCAGATTTAATCACCTTTATTCCAACCATTTCCCCCCTTCGCACCTTGTTTCATCCCCGCTTATCGCTCGTCATCAAGCTTGCGGATCTGAACCCAGTCAATTTTTTGAACCGCCGCGGAACTTGCCGTTCTTTGCTACACTTACGTGGGTGAAAAGCAAAAAAGAGTCAATTCTCACTGGCCAAACAACTCCCAAGCATTGCTTCGCCAACCGCCAAAATTTTGAACTCTCCTTCTCCACAGCATTGCCCAGGAGGCTCCCCTAACGTGCGTGCAGTCATGGTTCGAAACATTGTCGTTCTGGGGGGCAGCTCCCACCCTAACCTGAACGAAACCATCTGCAACCACCTGGGCGTTCCGGCGGCCAATGTCCTTCTTTCGAAGTTTGCCGTGGGTGAGACCCGAGTCGAAATCGGAGACTCGGTTCGAGGCAAGGACGTCTACATTATCCAGTCTGGCGGTGGGAAGGTCAACGATCATTTCATGGAACTCTTGATCTTGGTTTCTGCCTGCAAGACTGCTTCCGCTCGCCGAGTCACCGCCGTTTTACCTCTTTTCCCCTACTCCCGGCAGAGCGATCTCCCGTACAACAAGACAGGTGCTCCACTCACCAAGTCATCCAACGATTTCAGCCGCCCTTATACGTTCGAAAGCAGACCCACGACCCCTCACCCCAGCCGACCCGAAAGTCAAGGCCTGAATGGCAACGTCGACAGCCTGCACAAGCAGCTCAGCAAAGCCAGCCTTGAGCAGCTAACCAATGGTATTAATGAAGCCGAGGGCAAGACCTCTCGAGACCAGATGAATGGTGCACTCAGGCGGAGTGATACCATTGACTCTATGTCAGAAAAGACCGGACGGGGACGGGGCATATCCACTTCGTCCAGCCGCGCTGCGGAGAGTGACGACCATCGGCCGCTGCAGAAGCCTTTCCAGCCGCAGCCAGGATACAAGCAATGGGTCGCGCAGGCCGGGACCCTTGTCGCTGACCTGCTGACTTGCGCTGGGGCTGATCATGTCATCACAATGGACCTCCACGATCCTCAGTATCAGGGTTTCTTCGACATTCCTGTCGATAACCTTTACGGCAGGCCGCTGATGCGAAAGTACATTCAATACCAAATTCCCGATTATCAGAATGCTGTTATTGTCAGCCCTGACGCAGGTGGTGCCAAAAGAGCCACCGCAATTGCTGATCAGCTTGGAATGCCATTCGCATTGATCCACAAAGTACGTCTCAAGTCCAGCGCGCTCTGATAACAATTGGAATGAAAAGGTTCCCAGTTGAAGGTATGCAAAACTTGGCTGACTCGGTTTCTCTGCTGCAGGAACGGCGGCCCACGCGAATCAATGATCGGCAAAACGCCACCATGATGCTCGTCGGTGATGTTGCCGATCGCACCGCCATTCTTATCGATGACTTGGCCGACACCTCCAACACGATTACCCGTGCGGCAAAATTGCTGAAGAAAGAGGGCGCCACCAAGATTTATGCTTTGATCACTCACGGCGTACTTAGCGGAGATGCCATTGAGAGAATCAACGCCAGCCCATTGGACCACGTTGTTGTGACCAACAGTGTGCCTCAAGACGAGCACAAGAAGCGCTGCCCCAAGCTTGAGGTGCTCGACGTCGGCCATGTCTTCGCAGAGGTAAGAACCGAACTCTTGCGCCAGCAAAAAGCTAGCGTCAACCGGTTTTTTTTTTTTTTTCTTTTCTTTTCTTTCCCGAACATTTGTCGCTGACATTCCGGTGACTAGGCAATCCGCCGCGTGCATTACGGCGAAAGTATCAGTGTCCTCTTCCAGTACGATTAGACGCCATACCTGAAAATTTCCCGATCCGGGCCAAGAAAGTGGGCATTTATCCGCTCAACTTGTCCCAGCGCTCTCCACAAGACACCAATTCCTTGGTTCTTTCTCTTTCGGCATCATCGACCTTGAATTTCTGGAGTTATGCTATGTCATGCCACACTCTGATACAGCTCAACCCCGGGTTTCTCTCCTCTGTGCTCATGCACTACTAAGAGACTTGTGAGCTCAATCATTCACCATCTTATACCATTTCTTACGCCGTTAATCACGATCTCCTCACCACGTAACATATTCTCTCTCGAGGGCGTGAACTCCGCCTTTGACGGTTCCGCATTTGGCCGTTGACGTCTTGTCCTGCCCGTCAATCTAGTGGCGTTTTTATCTCTTGTTTCATTTGTACATTTGGACAGAACAGACAAACCGATCAGCCAAAACTAAAAAATAAAACATCTATAGGGGTTCTTGAATCTAATATTGGATTTCCTAATCAGTAATTCAGTCCACGTGTTTTTGCTTCCAATTCAAGCCCAGTAGTCAACTTACTTGCTATGGAATCTCACTCGGAATTCCATTTACTCATGACGTTAATCCAGGGCTCCTCTTGCGATCCTCAACGATGAACATGCATTGTCTATAAACTGCGGAAAACAAAGGAATGATCCATGAATGGAAAATCTACAAAATTATGCTGAATTATATATCCAAATGCGATGGTCAAATCTCCTCCAAAAAAGACTTCAAGCATAAACAATAAATGCAAATGTATATCCGACAATAAAACCGACACAGGACACCAACACCTAACAGTCTAATGGGGTATCACTTCCCTGCGGTACCTTTGCTTTCATATAAATCATACCATCTGTGGTATCTAACACAACAATCCCTGTTCCCATCTTCTTGCAACTTCCTTGTTAGACACAGATATGCCATCATGTATGCCGGAAAAGCTTACCGCGATAGAAATCAACCAGGTGGGGTTTGCGGATGACACAGCAGAGATCCAAGAAACTAAACGATCTCGCAGGGAGAAGAGGCTGTGCGGTCCGTGTGGAATCTTCATCGTCATCGTCTTCCTGGCCGGCGTCGGTCGTGCCCTTGCATTTGATCTGCTTCAAGCTCAGCCGTGCCGGGCCAAATTTAGACAAGAGTCTGAATGCGGCTTCCGCAGAAACCCTATTGCAGAAACGAATCAAGCCAGTAACAAACTCGGCCCATGCGATAATTCGATCAGCATTCAAGGTCCCAACATGTTGGCGAAACTCCACAGTGCGGTGTTTGTCGAGACTTTTGAAATTGTATGCGTGGTATCTTTCCTCGTCGGGATGCATCAGCGCCATTAAGTGCTCGACATTGGCAACGTCTTCCAATATCTGAACTAGCGCGAAGGCCTTTGTCTTCATAGAAAGATGTTGGTTCCTTCGTGTTAGGAGACGAGATGGAGTACATTCTTGGCTGGCTGTTCGTGTTGTTCGTGCCTCGGAGAACGATGCAAATTGATTACCATAAACGCCATTGGTATCAATGATCGGGGAGCTGGATTCGGAGACGCAATTCTGGCTTCCATAATTTCCTCTTTCGAAGGATCGTCGCTCTGCCTCAGGTTGGAAATTGTATCTTCTGGGGCGAGGCGGAATCACAGGAAGAGCATTCCTGAGATGCCTATCAAAGCTTTCGTCTTCCAAATTATCCAACGGCCGGCGACACCAGTGATTGTCCAAGCGTGATGGTGGATGTAAGGAATCAATCTGCGGCTGGAAAATAGTCACTACTTGCGCCAAATTCTGTAAAGTTCGGAGAGGTATGCCGTGCTGACCATATCCGACATGAACATGAAATCCGGTCGATAGATTGCAATGCAGACTAAATTTTCGTTTTAGTAACATTACCACTTCACGAATGATTTCGAATGACTCTTGACTGACGGGCAATATAGGGGATTTGAGCTCAATGCCGGCGTATCTAGGTTTGAACGAGCGAATAGGGCGTATATGACTTCGACGGTCATTGTTGCTTCCGTCGCCAGAAACGGCACTTTCTGAGAGTGTTTGGGTTTGTATTGGGTCTTCACGTCTAAGGTCGATATCGGCTTCCACAATATGTGACTTCTTTGGCTTTGCTTTGATGCTTGGATCATAGGCTATGGTCCAACGAGCAGGCGTGTCGAATGGCGAGCCTAGCACTGGAAAGGTTGTCCCATAGCTCTCATCGAATGGGATCTGAGGCGTATTGACGGGATATCCTGCCGAATGCAGGACATGGGTCATATGCTCGTAGACGTTTCTGTAATTTTCACCATGACTGGCAAGATTGGATGGCACATAACGTGCTGGGTCATATTGCACGATAAATTCAAGTTCAATTCCGAATGTTTGCGGATGGAACCTTTGAAAGGATTCGCCTGACGTGAGGTGCGCAGCTGTCATTTGGGAAGGTTCGGTCTGGAGTTAGTTAGTTTGCGTCTGGTTGATGATCTTTTCTGCAGGAAGTTTGGAGACAGGAATACAAATGCGCTATATCGAATTTGGCTGTAATGGCAGAACGGTAATGCAGGAACCAGCAAAAAGGCAAGGACAAAAAACTGGGCAAAGGCCATTTCTTAAAGCGCAGCAACTAGCACACCAATTTCTGAACAGGCGGATTACAGTTCAAGAGGCTACAGTGAGGCCTGCGTACTTGCGGTGTTCGGCCAATGTTCAATCAATGCAAATCTCAGGCGTGATCAATTTTGGGCCAGATCTGTTCAGAGAAGAAGGGAGTATCTGGCTCAGTCTCTAGAGGAGTTGTTCAGCCCTTGTCCGCTCACACGTGGCTTGAGAAAGAAGCAGCACTGCGACGTGCTGCCGAATTCTGTCTTATCTGGAAAGCGCTTTCTAGAAGATAGAAGAATATTATGAAACGCAAGAAAGAACATTAATCACCATTGTGCTCCTGCGGCGCTTCATTGTGCTGTTCAAGACCTAGGCAACCACTATTTGCAGTGTCCGCTATTGATGCCTTTGGCAGATACGGAGGAGCGAAGGAGTTCATTTCAGGGTGTTTCCAGCCCTTGAGGTCAATGTAAATAGAAGTCGGGTGATCTGCAAGTTGCAAGGAGAAGTAGCGAGGAGAAGGGGATTTTCTGGGCGAAGAGCACGTTGAGGTGTGGCTTCCCCTTCGCTCTTGCCCACGTGGCTTATGCAGGATATTAACTGTAAGTTAACTAAGGTATCTAGCGTGCCTTCCTTATTTGAACGACATCCCTTATATTGTACAGAGTAGGTTACTGCCCTTCGTTTGTCCCAAATTAGACTGTTCGGCTCGGCCCGCAACATAATCTTGATATGTCACCATGATAATATATCATCACCACATCTTCCCTTCTGCACTCTCTGCTTTCCTTCTCAAATTAGCATACAGATATGATAACCCTGTGTTTCCCGGTTCAATGCTCACTTGCCTGGTCGCAGCTTCCTCCAGATTGAATATCATATTCCCGGTACCATTCCCCTGGTTGGTTTCATGAGAAAGTCACCAGTCGCTTCACCATCATCAAGGGTCACCGCTTCCTATATCGACCCTGTGAATGCGGAAAGATGCAAGAAGAGGCCAACTCTACACTTTCCTTCGCGATTTCCTCTTCCCCCTTCCTGCGTGGTTCACGCCAGACATCCTACCCTGGCGGATATAGATTCCGTCTATATAAACCCCTTCGATCCCCCACCATTTTCTGATTTCTTTTCTCTCGCAAGTATACAAATTACTCTCTCAGCTTTCAAGCCACTGCCGTCTTCAAGCAAGTCGACCTTTGGTTGAATGACCAATTTATCTTAATGTTTTTTATATTTATTTTTCCACTTATGTTTTGTCAAACGTCTAAGATCAAGGCGACATTTCTTATTGCCATGCCAAAGCTACGTCCTCTGAATCGAAACGGAATAGCAAGGTACCTACCTAACTAGGTAGTTTCGACCGGGTGTTTCTCCTGCTGGGATTGAGAGATGGCTTGCCCCTGGAAAACGCAGTAAGAGGAATGAATCCTCCGACTGGAGTGGGACCTTCCTTGGGCTTGATCGGCGAGGAGGGCATTTCGACTTCAGAAAATGCGACCTCGTTCGTCCAAGTATACATGCGAAGTCGCTGTCAACTTTGAATTTTATCAAATGAGCACATTTGCTATCTTTTACTCTCAGATCAACCGCATGAGCACAATGCGTCTGCGCTCTTCGAAGAACACCTCTCCCCTGAAGTGCCTCCCCCAACCACCACCACCACCCCCAGCACTATTTTCGATTTCCCTCTCCGCCGCCACAATCACCACCAACGCTCCATGCTTATCCATCCCCACAGAAGGCGCCTCGGTCCAGCATGCTCTCGATAACCCTGCAGAAGGAATTTCGGAAATTTTCACCATGGCTTTCTTTGCCTCCAATGGTCAAGCGATGTTTCTTTGAACACTCGACTTTTTACTTGGTACCTTTACCTTTTACGTTTGAAAAGGTGGCATGGAATGAGTGAGGAACCTCTCTTTTCTTTTATTTACTCTCACGCAGTTTTTAACTTATGGTATGTCTCAGAATCCTATCTTTCGAATACAATTCCTTACATAGAAACTTCGAACTTCTAAACACACCTATTTAAATGGTGTAACACTGGATCTCAACTTCTTTCTGCCTTTCGGAACGCGTTTTCGGTCCTCTAAAGCACGTCATGGTTGAAGTGCCTCCAAAGACATGTCACAGCCTGGGTTTAGAAAATCGTGAATGTTTGTCTATCTGCTGTCATTATCGCCGTTCTAACTAACAACTTCTTCTTATAGCTATTCCGGTGCTTGAAATTTGTTTCTCCTGCTTCTTTAAAAGACGCCTGGCTATCGTCAAACTTTCCCTCTCACTGGAGTTGAGGCTGTCCTCTGGGCCTTTTTAGGAATTGTGAGCGCTTTGCTTCTGTTGTTATATCTATCGGTCTGAGTAACAACTTCCTCTTATAGCCGTGTTTTTCCCCTCGCGCGAAAGCGGCCCGCCGAGGAATTAATCCCCTCCCGCAGGGCAGAACCGACCGCATCTCCCCCCTCCCCCAGGTAAAGGACATTTGCCTTCCTTTTAAATTTAGTCACACTGACGAAAATGATGCCAGCCGCTTCGCCGTCTCCTTCCCCCTCTCCGAGGAAGCCACGGCTGGAGGTGACTGAAGAAATCACCCCGAAGCGCTCCTGAAGAGTTGGCTACCATACTTGTCGCTAGTCTTATTTACTCGCAATTTTCATCTGGTTTTGGAATTAATGGCCCAAAATAATTAGAATACTCGTCAGCGGACAGAGCTGCCGAGTAATTTCATCTCAAAGAATTCATCTCAAAAACTTTGGCTGCAAATACTCTGATTGTGAAAAGCATACTTCTCGCAGCCTCAACGGGCAGGCTCGGCATACTTCGCAGGCGTATCTCGGAATTGCTGGACAGAAACTTGACTTAATTGCATTTCCTATAATCAGACCAAATCAGGTTGGCGTCGATCTGCCCAGTGTGCGTAGAGCTTTTTTCTCTAGATACCTTTGCATAGGCTTTGTCGCACGGGACTTTTTTTTTTGAGCTCCTTCAGGAGATCCCGCACTGATGGCGTCGAACGATAGATTAGTTTTTATCTTGCTTTATTATTGTTGTATTCTTTCCTCTCATAAGACGTTGCATAAAGCGATAACATAGTTTGACAACGGTCCTCATGCCGCTCGCCTCCCTACAGCAACGCTACCACAAACCAGAACCTTTCGAATGCTTCTGGTCGTTTCCAGACTTTCATCTCTAAGTATCTACATAGGCTCAATTTTCCATAGAATCATACTATATGTGTATGTATGTATGTATGTATGTATGTATGTATGTATGTACGAAGGTATCTATATTTGTATATCTGCCTACTTCCCTTTGAGCTGTGATAATTGAAATACAATTAATATAATTTCGAGTGCAATATTTGCACGACAGAATGAAGCTTGCTTGGGAAGTAGCTAGCGATACTCTACTCCCAGATATCCCTCTACCAAAAGGGAGGGAACAGGAAAAGACAAAAACGCCAAAAGACAAAAGACAAAAAAGAAATAAAAGGAAAATCCTAATCGTATCGTTCCACGGGTCGGTATGGGGATGTTCCGGGAGCTCGACTGAAGAGGTCTTCGAGCCCATAGTCAACTCCGAAGAGGACAGCGGGCTCGAGTCGCCTCAACAGGAGACACCCCGGTCACCCTTACCAGCCACAATCGTAATCTATGCTATTCAGGCAAAACAAGGTAAGCTAGCGACACTCTACTCCCGGGTACTCTTCTACCAAAAGGGAGGAGGAAGGCAAAAGACAAAGAAAAAGACAAAATCGCCAAAATACGAAAGGAAAACAAAAAGAGGATTCTAATCATATCGTTCCACAGGTCAGTTGGGTATGTTCTGGGAGCTCGACTGAAGAGGTCTCAGAGCCCAGAGTCAACTCCGAAGAGGACAGTGGGCTCGAGTCAACTCAATAGGAGACACTCCGGTCACCCAAACCAACCACAGTGGTAATCTATACTATTCAGGCAGAACAAGGTAAGCTCGCTCTTGTTCGCATAATTGAGGCATACCGATCGCGTCCCAGTTATCCATAATATAGTCAACCACGTCTGCTCCGAACCTATGCGCCATCCAATTTGGATCAGGAATTTCAAAAGGAGCACTCGGGTCAAGTATTGGCGTCGGCAGTGGCGATGGCTCTTTGCGATTGGGCGAGATGTCTAATAAGACGGATGGTGTTTGTAGTGGTTGATTCTTAGTGGGAGAGATGTCGAACGCGACAGGTAATGTGGGTTGTGGTTGATTCTTAGTGGGAGAGATGTCGAACGCGACAGGTAATGTGGGTTGTGGTTGATTCTTAGTGGGAGAGATGTCGAACGCGAAAGATGGTGTTTGTGGTGGCTCCTTATTGGGAGAGATGCCTAGCGCGACATTTGATATTTGTGGCGGCTCCTTCCTATCTGGAGAGATGTCTGATGCGACGGTTGATGTTGAGTAGCGAGTCAAAGTTCTGAGGCCACTTGGGACCTTTGGTTTGAAGCGCTCTGCTCGGAGCCGAGCCTTATTCACTGCTTCCCGAACCGCGACCGGTGTTGTTTCTTCTTCATCCGACAAGTCTGACCCGGAATCGGACCAATCGCAATGGTAGGTTCCCTTTGAATACTTCGTCACAATTGGTCGTGGTGACTCTTCCCTCTCATTCTCGTAGAGGGGTGCCTGCTCCGTCTCGTCTTCCTCGTCTTCTTCGTCGGAAGACGAGAAATCGCAGTGATATGTGCCTTTTGAATGCTTGTTGGGCTGGACGAAAATTGGCGCCGAGGCTGCCTCAGAGGGAGCTTCGGCTGGAGGTGACTGAAGATGTCTCCGCTTTGGGGAGATTTCTTCAGTTTCTTCAGTCACCTCCAGCCGTCGCTTCCTCGGAGAGGGGGAAGGAGACGGCGAGGCGGCTGGCATCATTTTCGTCAGTGTGACTAAATTTAAAAGGAAGGCAAATGTTATTTACCTGGGGGAGGGGGGAGATGCCATCGGTTCTGCCCTGCCGAGGGCGTTAATTCCTCGGCTGAATAAATCTCGTCAGTGCGATCAAAATTGAATAAGAAGAGAAACCCTTACCAGGCGGGGCAGGGGGCGGCGAGAGTCTTCTTCGCTTTGCGCCCGCCGAGGGCGCCACTTCCTCGGCGGGTCGCTTTCGAGCAATGGGCGAGACGGCTATTAGAGTAAGGTGTTAATTAAATCGATGAAAACAATGAGAGATCGAGACTACTCACAGCTAAGGAGTCCCCAGAGGCGCCCCGTCCAGGAGCTGGAGGGCGTCCCGGACGAAGGCGCCTTCTGGGGGGAAGGCGAGGGCGTTTTCGGTGGTGGGGGTGGTGGGGGTGCTGCTGCTGCTGCTGCTGCTGGTGATTGTGGTGGCGGTGTTGGGGGGGGAGTTGAAGTGCCTCCCAACGCCGCAGGCTTGGGCTTCTTCTTGCGAGGAGCCCGCCTCGGCGTCGGGAGGCACTTCAGGGGGGAGGTGTTCTTGGACGAGCGCAGACGCATTGTGCTCATTTAGAAAATTTGAGATTGATAGCAGAAGTGAAGTTTACAAGCGCGTGAATTGCGATTTAAGTAGGTAGAATGATGCGTCAAGATCACCGACAGAGAGTTCGCGATAGCCAAGTTTGATGGTGAGCAAAAGGAAAGAACCACCTGGGGACGGACACGAAATTTAAGCGAAGGATAACTTGTTTCCTATAAGGGTTTAGACTACTTTCAAGGATCAGTCGCTCCCGCACTCGCCTCGATGTGTTTGAGCGAGTCTAGTCCCTTTGAGGAAATCCCCCGGACATGAACAGCCCTGGGGAACTGATGGGACCAAGGACAACTGAGGCGAACGTGCTAGCAGGATCACCACGTTGGATAACGTTGAAGCGACAATTTACGCAAGTTGATTGGTTCGAGCGGAAGCTAGATCAACGTGTGAGGGAAAAAAGGAACATGTTTGAAGTAGCTTCTCAGACAACTTGGAGATAAAAGTACGTACTCTCAAGTGCGAATGCTAAATTAGCTCTATCCAGAAGGAAAATAGTAGTACATGTGACGATGTTTTGTTCCAGAAAGTTTTACTCTACCGCTCTCTCATAGACTGATCTCACCCTTCCACGTTCCATCGGTGAGCCCGAGCTCGTGTACAATATTCTGCCACCGTTCTCCACCGCGTTCCTTGCGTCGCAAGTACTTGAGAAGCTTCTGTCGCTTGTGCACAAGGAGCCGCAGATTGCGCTTGTTGACCTTGTCCGGCCGGCCGATGGTCGTAAGATGGTTTGCGAGCGCCCTTATTTTGGCGGTGAGGATCGCAATCTGAACTTCAGAGGAGCCAGTGTCTGGTCCGGCGCGTGGAGTCTTCTCTTGAAGCGGAGGAAGCGAGAGACCTGTCCTGAAGTTGACGGCGGGTTTGGGAGCCAGTATTCTGTCTGTATTGTGGCGACCAAACATGTCGACACATCTTTGAATATTCACTCGAAGGCGGTCTTTGCTGCTTCCATTCGCTAAGCTGACAATGCGTGAGATAGCAGTTTCAGCATTTGCATGCCAGTGCTTGTGCTCGCGTGCCTTTTCTTCATCCCGAACGGGGTCTGAAACTGATGCATCGGTCGATATCACAGGCTGCGTCAGCAGGTGTGAATATTTTAGGGCCTTATCGAGCTGGTCAGGAGAGACAAAGTGGTTGAGATGAGTTTTGTCATCAGCTCCCCTCATTGACTCCTTAACGGATGGCTCTTGCTTATTGCGCGAAGTCGATTGGAAGGTTGGTTGAATGGGCCCTGGAACAGTATGATCGAAAGATTGGACAAATCTGGTCGTTAAGCCCCGGACGGGATCGCCAAGTGATGCTGCTCTCTCCTTCTTGAGAACCTCCTGGCGCGCTAGATTGGCAGCCTTTCTCTGGCGTGCTTGAGCCAATGCATAAGGGTCTCGGTGCTTGCGCTTCTGCTGCCCCGGCGCATTCAGGTTAAGGGAGGTTGAAAAGCATCGCTCTAGACCCGCGGGCACTGCGGGACCTGAAGATGTTGAAGGGACTGCTCAAAGAGCCCAGTTAGCAAAAGAAACCGGTCATTGGGTTATTAAAGATGATCATAGATAGATATACCGGAAATTGATCGAAATTGAAACGGAAGGTGTATTCGGGGAGGCATGATGAACGACCAAATCAATACGGTTCGGCCACTCTGGATGATGCCTTTTGAAAGTAGGCAGATGCACTCATACGCCTTGCAATCATCGGATTTGCAGCGGAGGTTGTCCGAACGGAAAGTCTTGGCGCTAAACTTCGCAGAGCCTCAATTGCTCTAATCTTCTTTGAGTATAGTGTAGTTGTGAAAGGGTTCGCAGTGTTCTGCCGTGTAAGTTACTTCGTACTCGTACAAATTGAGCGGTCGCTTACCAGCCCTGAACCCTATCCCACGATACCACCAAAGACCATTCAACCTCGCGAAATTTCCCAGACGAGCTTGCAGCAACCCGGTGACGGCCAACGTTTGATATCGACGAGACGCAGATATCACAAACTGCCAAAATGGCCCCTTCCAACCTTCCCCCGATGTTCAATGCCACCTCTGAGGACATTGAGAAGCTCCTCGCGGCCCAGTGCCACCTCGGTTCCAAGAACCTGCAGGTGCACATGGAGCCCTACCTCTGGAAGACCCGGCCCGATGGTATCAACGTGATCAACGTTGGAAAGACCTGGTACGTTTCATAAAAGAAATTACAGAGAGATGGATATTTTTGTTCTCAAACACAGCCAAATTTGTGTCTGCCCCAGCGCTGGATCAGAAAATTTCTGACTTGGGTTGCGCACTGTATAGGGAGAAGATTGTCCTGGCCGCCCGTATCATCGCCGCCATTGACAACCCGGCCGACATCTGTGTCATCTCCGCTCGTCCCTATGGTCAGCGTGCCGTCCTCAAGTTCGCCTCTCACACCGGTGCTGTCGCTATTGCGGGCCGTTTCACCCCCGGTAGCTTCACCAACTACATCACCCGCTCCTTCAAGGAGCCCCGTCTGATCATCGTCACCGACCCCCGCACCGATGCTCAGGCCATCAAGGAGGCCAGCTATGTCAACATCCCCGTTATCGCTCTCTGCGACTCCGACTCCCCCACCGAGTTCGTCGATGTTGCCATCCCCACCAACAACAAGGGCCGCCACGCCATTGGTCTGGTCTGGTGGTTGCTTGCCCGTGAGGTCCTCCGTCTCCGTGGCACTCTCGCTACCCGTGAGACCGAGTGGGACGTCATGACCGATCTTTACTTCTACCGCGATCCTGAGGCCGAGGAGAACAAGGACAGCTCTGCCGTCGAGGAGGCTAAGCTTCCTGGTGCTGAGGACGTTGGTGCTCAGGCCGTTGAGCAGGGCTTCACTGGTAATGCTGAGTGGGAGGTTAGCGGTGCTGCCCCCGGTGGTGCCTTCGCTGCTCCCGCTGCTACTGCCGGTGCCCCTGCCAGCTCCAGCTGGGAGGCTGACGGTACCGACTGGGCTGCTGGCTCCGCCCCCGTCCAGACTGGCAACGAGGGTTGGGCTGGAGAGGCTCCCAAGGAGAACACTTCGTGGTAGATTATTGCATTAAGAGCAAACGAAAAAGGAGAATAAAGGAGACAATCTTCAATCAGACTTTTTCCGTGTCTTTTATCTAGGCCCGATCGTCCCAACGTCATTCTCGACTCGTCTGCCCATTGATTCAGCAATATTCCCGCCCGAAGACAAAAAGGTTGTCCTCGTTTCGCCTCTTTTTTGTTATTTTCCATAAACAAAAGCAATTATATCTGACGGTTTTTTGATTCCTACATTGTGTGGAGAGAAAGTTGATGGCGCTCACGAGGGAAAGAAATCCGGTTAAATGGAAGTATCGTCTCTCACCACAACTGTCTGTTTTGTTATCTAGTTTTTCTTAAGCTGCCATTCATTCTCTATGTCCCACTTGTCTTGGATTTTCCATATTCGAGGCAAGCACGGCATTCAGCAAGAGTGGTATTTTTACTACTCGTGTCTATGAATGCGAGAGCTCTTGAGAAACTTGGTGCGGAACATGGCGATTGCGATTTGAGATGTGCTTCTTTGCCGGGGGAAAGCCCTGTGTCACAGCGAGGGATGTACTTAACCGTTGCCCAGCTCTGCAGTTGTAGCTTGTGAAATGAGTTAGTAGCCTTAACCTGGCTCGAATCGAAAACATGGGATCACTTTGCATGCGCTCCTGTTGTGTCTGCTAATTGAGTTGATTACGTCTTTGACTTTTGTACCGTTTCTCGCCCTTTTGTTCGTACTGAGACTGTCCGTAAGACTTTTAGGGCACTCTACGATTAACCAGCCTCCCAACCTCTCCGACGCCTTCGTAGTATTATGCCCCACTTGCCTCTTCAAGAGCTTACAAATGTGACATTGGACTTCAAGATATTTAAAGCTATATACCGTGGACGTGAAAGGAAGCGGTACTGTATACCCATAATGTTATGCTCGTATATTAATTCTTATTTCCATCTTGATTTATTTTCACGTTTCCTTTTTCGTATCTTTTTTTTTATTTCTTAATTTCATGTTTCGTTTTTCTTATCCTTTCCCCCCCCCCCTAATTGGTTTCATTGTTTTCCTTTATCATGTATTTTTCTGGGATATTTGTTTGAACGAAAAAATAAAAATATATTAAAAATATTGTTTTAGATCACCAAGACATATCACCATATCACTACCCTCCCTAACAGTATTCCCCATGCATAACCAACTCCAATGGTACTACTTTCTATAAAGAACGACAGCACAGCACACTCTGCCCGTGTAGAGTATCCTCATACTTCAAATCAGCTGACCTGTGACCCGTGACCGGGCCAATCAATGTGGTGTGTGGTGGCCTCGGTGCAGTTACATATACGGAAGGAGCGGCTCTACCTACGCCGCAACACGTACATGCCATTTTACACCTGCCGGCTGCTCTCTGCTCTTTATACGTGCCTAGGTGCTTGTGCGCCATGTATGATCGAGTATAAGCAACACTAAATCAGGAAGTGGAGTAACCTTACTAGATGAAAACTTGGACTGTACGAGGTTTTTGTCTAAAGTGGTGACGGGTTCAAGGATCAAGACTCAAGGATGGAGTATGAAAGATGAAAGATGAAGAATCAAGGACGAATGATCAAGGAGGAAGGAGGAAGAATAAGGATTGATATGAAACATAAGCTGGTATTGAGAAGATATCTATCTATCAATAATAAAGTACTGGTATATACATACATGGCATTAGGGCAAGCTTCGTCGCTCTCCGCTCATATTAACCATAAACCCTTAATTGAATATGGCGCTGAAGAGAGAAGTGGAAAAGATTAAGAGCGAAAGGATATAAGCAGACGGCATGAACGTCGAGGCTTGCGGAGGATGGGAAGAAAGGAGGCGGAGAGAACAAAAAAAAGAAGAGAAGATAGGAAGAAAGAAGAGGAAGGCTGAAGTTGAGCCGTGAGGAAACGCCTGGAAGAAATGCCGCGATGATGAGTAAAGGGGGACAATTAGAAAGGGAGGAGAAAGAGGAAGGAAAGGAAAGGAAAGAGGGAGAAGAGAGAAAATCATGGTCATGCAGACGGGAATATGGCGAGTGCGTATATAGATGATTGTTAAGGGGTAAGATGCGCTGAAAAGAATAGAGAAACGGTGAAGAAGACGGTACCGGTAGAGGTGAAGAGGATGAGAAGAGGTATAAAGGGGCTATGGAAGGGGGTATAAGAGATAACACTCTCACTAGAGTTATACTAGTGTCTAATGCATGCACGAGGCATGTCGGCCGAGAAGATCAGCATTGAAGCAGGAAAGCGAGCGTAGTCCAATAATTCAGCCAAAGATCTTGAGGAAGCCCCAGAGACCGAGACCGCTTAGAATAGGAATGGTCAGGTTGTCGTCCCAGCCCCAGAGGTCGACTACTTCACTTGCCGAAGCTACGATGCCGGACCATAGACTCATGATGCCTAGTGCGAGACTGCCTCCAATAACTCCACGCTCCGGGCCCCATCCGAGTAACTCTCGCACTGGCTCAGGAAGAGACAGTGTTCCTGTGAACATGAATGGGTTGGGTGGGTTCTCGGGGAATGTGCCAATACGGGGTACTAGCCAGCCCCAGAAAGCGGCGGCGGTGACAACTCCCACTGCCAGTGCAGCAAGAGTACCGGCAAGGCTTTTGCCATGGCGAATGCGGATGGTGTAGCGGCCGTATAAACGACCAAAGGTACTAGCAGCGGTATCGCACCAGCTGAGCAGTAGCACGCCCATGACACCAATGTCCTTGGGGAACCAGCCCAGCACAATCCATGCACCGAGGAGATACCAGATGACTCCATTGTAGCCATCGACCTCGGATTCTCGCATCAACGCGCCGAGCACGCGAATGTAGAGTCGGTTAAACGACGGAGACTTGTGGCGTAGGATATCAATAGACGCTATGGGGATGAGCGCCGAAAGGAGGCATGGAGTAATAGTTGATGTTTGCACGCCCTTGGTATAGAGATAGAGCGTGAAGAAACCAATCGAGACATGGAGGACTTTGCGAGGAACTTCGTGACGATGGATCTATGACAAGTCAATAAATCTTTTCATAACAGCATGCTCTGTTAGGCACCTACAAATGATCGGAAATGTCTGTGAACAGGAATGAGCCCAAGGGGGCTTGGGCTGCGGCTAAAGTCACGCCAATAGCTGCTCATGCTGGCGCTTATTGGCGACAAGTGACCGTTGGATTGTGGCTTTCCATCTTGTAGTTGAGGATCCGAGGTGTCTTTTGTGGCAGTCTTCTTGCTAGGTTTCGATGCACTGCCGTTTTGAGTCGTTTTTGTTGTCAATCCACTCATCCTTCGCCGTCTTCCCTCGAGAACTGGACTTCTGCTTCGTGTCCTGGCCCGTTTCTCGAGACTCGAGTCTGAGCTCTCGTCTGCCTCATCGATTGCAGACGCAGACTTCTTTTGCGGCGATTTCGAAGCGGCGCGCGTCGCCGAACGAGTCACGGGTCCGAAATACTCCTTGCCGTCTTGACCGTCAGTTGGATCGGGCGACGGAGAGATGACCCGGGGAGTGCCCGGGATTTGCATGTGAGTAGACATTCGGCGAGGTGAGGCAGATTAGATTACTGTATCGTGCAAGTATGTGGTCGCAGAGGGAAAACCCGATGCAGAGAGCACAAATCTGGCAAATGGAGATGTGCAATTGCAATATAATATAGTATGACTGCTGGCTATACAAGACAGTGCTATGTGTGGACACCCCAAAAAATGGTAATAATCGGAAAAAGTTGGTCGAGTGTTTCGGGGAGCCTGTTTTTCTTTTCGGGATCGGGCACAACCAAGTTCCGATGTGACGTTCTTTTGCTTGTACGGAGTAAGTACAGGTATTCCTCCGAGATAGACGATAAGATCTCAAATGAGATCAGTGGCTGTTGCCGGGTTCTCAATATGTATATAATCTGATTCTCCACTGCTGAGCGTGGAGTGGAGGGAAAAGGGAAGGAAGATAGCGAAGGGGAAAGGGAATTAGACAGCAGCGTTGAAATGCGGTGAATAGAGTTGTCCTCGTGTCTTATTCTTTTTCGATTGCTATCGCTTCCCGCTCCCGTCGGCGGTGAGATTTACCATGAATGAGCCAATCTCTCCTCTGGCCCAATAGGCTTCCTCTCAAGTAATTTTTATTACGGGTCCCCTCTCTCTGCTGGCTAAACTCGACCAGGTATAATTCAATTACTAAATTCCGTGCCCTATGGCGAATGGTTATTGATAATCATTCTCTCGCTTTCTTACCCTTTGACGGTATACGCACAAAATGTATCATTTCATGAGCTAAGAAGCTTCTCTTCTTTTCCGATCGTCCTGTCTTTTCTTCGTTCAGCGTCTTCGCTTCCGGTCGGCGGTCGCACATGATCCGAAACCTCCCAGAGCCTTGGGCTACGATATCTCTGGGCGGTGAAGGCGACCATGGCAAATCAAGTTATTTACTCCTAATCTTAATCAATCGAAATGTAGCATATTGGTATATCAATGGCCTGGAACGGCCGGTGGTCTCTTCACTCTTATCCATTTTGTTTTATTTGTTTTATTTTGATTTTTGTCTTTTTCCAATATCGGCACCCAATTGTCCAATATAAACTGAGAATATACTCGAAGATAATCAATGTGACAAATTCATGACTGTCCGCGACCACATTCTAATACTAGTTTAGTACTATTCTTATAATCGAATAAACAGCCAGAAAAATTATAGAACTTTAGACTGTTGCTTCAATTGACATGCAGGATCTCAAGAACGTAGTCCAGGTGATCACGTGAGAAGAATGGCGGCATCGTGTCACGTGCTGATAACGATAAGGAAAATCACGGCCAGCAAATTCCCCAGAATTGTCGAGACCAAAAGATTAATTTGCAGCGACAAATCAAATACAAGAGAACAGCTGCACCTGTGAGAAGATATCTCGCAATGGCTCCCACAGAGACCAAAGGAGCGGCCAAGCCGCCGTCGTCAGGCAGCTCGAGAGCATGGGACGGTCTTACACCTGCGCTTTCTGAATGGGCCCTGGACGCGGTCTCCAGCATGGGCTTCAGTCGCATGACTCCAGTCCAAGCGTCTACGATACCGCTTTTCATGGGCTATAAAGATGTCGTTGTCGAGGTTAGCTTCCAAGTCCAAGGACTTTCTGTATCAAATCTAATGGAGCTCCACATAGGCTGTAACCGGTAGCGGTAAAACGCTTGCCTTCCTGATACCCATTGTCGAACGATTGCTTCGCCTTGAAGAGCCCATCCGAAGACATCACATTGGCGCAATTATAATATCTCCGACAAGGTATGGATCTACGCATACTGTACTTCTGTCTGTCGATTTCTGACTTTGCAACAGAGAGCTTGCTACTCAAATCTACACTGTCCTGCTTTCTCTATTGTCTTTCCATGGGCCGTCTGCTGCTGCCCTGAACCCTCCGAGTGAAGACACGGATATGCCAGATGCGAAGCCTAATTCATCAAAATCATCCGATTTGAAAGTTGTGCCGCAGCTCATTCTTGGTGGAACCACTACGCCTGCGCAAGATCTCAGCTCGTTTCTCAAGAACTCACCAAACCTGATCATTTCGACACCTGGTCGCCTGCTCGAACTTCTTTCCTCTCCACATGTTCACTGCCCGCAATCATCATTCGAAGTCTTGGTCCTCGATGAAGCAGATAGATTACTCGATATGGGCTTTAAGGAAGACTTGCAGAAGATCCTATCCCGACTTCCGAAACAAAGGCGAACTGGGCTGTTCAGTGCTAGTGTCAGCGAGGCGGTAGACCAGATTGTTAGAGTGGGTTTGCGTAATCCCGTGAGGATTGCAGTAAAGGTTAGAGGACCTTCGGGCGCAGAGGACAGGAGAACTCCAGCAAGGTAAGATGCAACCAGCCCCAGGGTCTAACAGAGCGTGTATGCTAACGCCAGTCATCCTCCACAGTCTTCAAATGACATATCTCACTACCCCAGCCAGCCATAAAATCCCCGCCCTGAGCCAACTTCTTGGTTCTATGGACCCGACACCACAAAAGACCATTGTCTACGTTTCCACCTGTGCGGGCGTGGACTACCTCCAGCACCTTCTTCCTGCGCTTCTCCCAACCGTCAACCTGCAAAAAATCGACCTCGTACCTCTTCACGGAAAGCACGCACCGAACGTCCGACAAAAGAACTTCACTCGCTTCGTCAACTCTATCGCACCGACCGTCCTCCTCACAACCGACGTCGCCGCGCGAGGTCTCGACATCCCTCAAGTCGACCTTGTCGTGCAGCTCGACCCACCAGGCGATCCCAAGGCCTTCCTGCACCGATGCGGACGAGCCGGCCGCGCAGGTCGACGCGGTCTCAGCGTCGTCTTCCTCCACCCTGGCCGCGAAGAAGACTACGTACCCTTCCTAGACGTGCGCAAAACACCCGTTACTCCATTAGAACACCCCACGATATCTACTTCTGACGAGGACGCCAAAACCGCGACTGCCACTCTCCGCAAACTAGTCCTTACCGACCGTGGCCTGCACGACAAGGCCCAGCGCGCCTTTGTCAGCTGGGTCCGCGCGTACACCAAGCACCAAGCCAGCAGCATTTTCCGCGTGGCGGACCTCGACTGGCGCGACCTCGCCGACGCATGGGGTCTCCTCCGCCTTCCCAAGATGCCTGAGCTACGAGGCTGGCAAGGGGATCGCTTCCTCGGCCTGCAGCTCGATTTTGAAAACTTTGCGTACAAGGACAAGCAGCACGAAAAGGTCCGAAAGAAGGAGCTGCAACAGTTCAAGGAAACACAAGCAACGAGAGGAGATAGAGATACTGCTCCTCAAGACAAACAACAACACCAGAACAAGAAGAACAAGAAGAACCAGGCCTGGAGCAATAAAACGGAACTCAAAGAACGACGCGAGGAACGTCGCGAGAAGAAGAAGACGAGACGCGATGCAGAGCGTTCGGCCAAGATGACACCCGCGGAACGTGAGAAACAGGAAGAGCTCCAGGCTCTATTGAAGGAGGTTAAACAAAAGAATAATATTGAAGACGAGGAGTTTGACGGTTTTGATGATTAGATTTTTTTTCCTCTTTGATATGATTCCCTTGTATGGCGTATTTTGTCTTGCTTTTCTTGCTTTTCTTTCTCCTTTGGCAGGCTTCTTTTTGATTCATTGCTCTTTTGGCATCTCATATTCCCTGCGAAAAGTTCATCATATAGCATCGTTCTGGCGCATCTTCCAGCTTTATCATCTCTGCTGCTATCTCATCTTTACTATTTTCATCATCTGTAGCACATATACATCAACCTCACATGGACTCTTTGACCACCCTATGAAAATTTAACGCGTCGAGTAACATCATCATCAAGGGTGCAATTATACTGTATACTAAGGAAAGAGGGTATATATAAAACATTACAAACTAGTCAACCTCGTAACACGTAACCTTCAATAAGCTCCAAAAGGAACAGACCCAGCGGCCAAAAAAAAAAGAGAAACCCAGTAGCTAACAAAAGTCTGGGTCGTCATCATCAAAACATCTCATGACGTGAAATCGATATCAAGAACCAGTCAAATCCAAAACCTCCACGCCTTCCCAAACTCGCTGCTGCTGCACTGTGCGTCTTGTCGGCCTTCTACTAGGTCGAGTACTCTTGCTATCAGTCTTTGTCGTGGCCTCGCCACGAGAACGACTACTACCAGACAAAGTTAAAGAGGATTCTGAAGAGACGACTTCTTTCCACGCGCCGTCGAGACTCTCGCGCAGCGTCACAGCGACAGAGCGCTTCTGATTTCGAGTCGAGGTCTTAGAGGACGAAGGCATGGAAATCTCCTGCTCCAAACCTTTGAGGATTTCTGATGGACTTTGATGGAAACCGGAATTATGATTATCGGCGCGTCCATCTGCGTGGTTTGCTGGCGTCTCTGTATCTTTGTCTTCGTTTTCACAGTAATACTGTTTGTTGGCTCTTGGTCGTCGCGGTCTCCGTCTAGTGACGCTGGGCGGTAATTCAGGCATAGGCGGGGATGAAGAGATTTCAATGAGTGCTTTGTTGATGATTGGTGGCGGTGTTAATATACGTGCGTTGAGAGTAGTAGGAGAAGCGGGTGGAGTAATTGACTGAGGAGAACGACAGTCACGCGGGGTTCGAGTTGGGCTGGATACATTTGAAATAACGTCTGAGTTAGGTTCTGCCGTGTCGTCTACCGCAAGGCCGGAACGTTCTCGAGGGGCGGTGAATTCTGATGGAGATGGGAGAGTGGGTGATGAGGAGAGGAGGATGATTGGGTTGTCCTTTTGTGAATTTTTCGCTGCATTTGCACCCTCTGGACAGTCGAGGAAGCGTCGTGAAGAATCTGGCGTGACTGGCCTTGCGGACGTGGATCCCGCGTCGAATGAAAAGGTGGGTGCAGGAGATGGCCTGGATAAACGTGCCTTTATGGATGTTTGGTAAACTGAATTAGGACTACGACCTGACGTCCGCTTGCCGTCTTGGACGGTGTCTTTGGGTGCCGAGGTTTTACGTTCCATTGATGATATAGAAGAGGAAGACACAGGCCGGCTGTGTTTCCTAGGAACCAGAGGAGACGTGTCGACCGAAAGATCAATCGCATCTGCAACTGCTGCCAAGGTAGAATTACGTGTGACTGAGTATTCTTGCTGCGATGAAGCGGGTTTAGATAATGTCCAAGGATTCACATCCTTGAGTGGCCCCGGCGACTCTGTGCTTCGCGCGGACCTGGCAGGCTTAGATTGTCTGCGACTTGAGGTTTTGCTGGACTGTCGGGGTCTCTGGGTTGGAGATAAAGGAATGCTCGGAGCCAAAAAGACGGGAGGGATAGTGTCGCTATCTACTATCCCGCTGTCCTGCGAGCTTGAAGGGACGAGGTTACTCTCTTTGGATCCTCCAGCCCCTCTGCCTAGATAGATATCGGGCTTTGATACCTTGACGAAACGATCTAACGCCCCAGCATGCGTGCCTACCTTTCCCGTTGCCTTTTTCGGGCCCGTTTTGGAAGCACGTGCGGGTTTGGGCCGTTGTTGCGATTCTCTCCACTCCTCAACTTTTGATGGAGCTCCATGGTTGACGTAGCTTTCCAATATCCATACTTTTTCTGGTTGGGTTGGATCATGCGCCACTTGTGCTTTGACATTTGAAGCATTTGATTGCGTTGCAGGTATATTGCTATCGTCCTCCAAATCCGAGGTAAATTCGTCGCGGTCCATGTATTCGGTGTCCGAGTGTTCAGTACTGAGATCCAGGGCCACGATATCAATCGGAACGTATGCAACGCGTAGCTCGGGAGTACCATCGGTTGAGAAATGAGTTCGGGTTCCATGAAGACCCCTAACAAGAGATAATACGTTATCATGCTCGGTGGACTGCCCAGATGCCTGCTCAAGTGATGCGACGGGAGATCTTTGTGTAGCGAGTTTCGTAGCTAATATCGCAGGCGCAAGGCCCCGGATGAATTTAATAGCCTGCGATTTGAATTCCCAGCCAAATGCGCTTGCAACAAAAGCTCGTAATCCGGAAATGTCGATAGGAGCTTCCCATACTAGCCCTGCTTTGAGTCTATCGAGGCTCTCCCGATTCGACACGACAGGGCTGGTATAGTATTTGAGAACCTTTGGATCAGGAAAGTTGTCTGGTATTTCCAAAGAGGCATGTTTGATACGAAAGAATTTGCTCTCATTCGTACGCAGCTCGTGAGCTAGATTATCTCTCCATTGCCGCAACCCAGCGGTGTCTTTACGAGATATTTTGCAGAGCTCTGTGCCAAAGCCGGCCTTGGCAGCTTCGCACGCGACCTTGACTCCGCAGCCGGGTATACCTTCAGGGATATAGTCACCACCACTCATCAATGCAATGAGCACCATATCCTCGCTGCATAAGCCAGATTTGCCAGACCTGATCTTCTGGGCCTCGTACAAGTTCACATGAGTTGGGCTCTTGCTACCCCGTAAACTTTCACTCGACCAATTACGCAGTACCAATCCACACCCGAACATAAGAGTGTCGACATCCTCGCTCAAAACTGCATCGACGATCCCTTCTTTTTGCAGTAGAGCACATTCTGCCTCTGCTTCTCCAGGTGCAGTATGGTATGTTATCCCGAAGTATCGTAAGAGGTCTTTTGTTAGATGTTCCGGCAACGATGAACTCAGTCCCGGCGCTATACGTATATTCCTCTTAACCGGGGGTCTATGCGGTCCATCAAAAACGAAAAGCGGCTGTATAGCGATGGAAAGGAGGCGGAGTAGACGGTAGTAGAAGGTTCGCACTGCCGGATTGGTTCCGCCTGAATCAACGCAGAGGTGTTTCTGTTAGCTTCAGAGCCGGGCTTTGAAATGAGAAACAAGAAGTGATTATATTAAACATGTTTAAAATACCTCTCCCTGATTGGATCTGGAACATCCATATTGAAATGTCTATAGCTATTCGCAGAGGTCGTCCCGTCCGTTCAAATGTCTCTGCCGCGAGCCTGGACAGAGCCACCCGCTCACCTGTCCCAATCTCAGCATATATCCTAGCAAGCTTTTAGCAAAACTCTGCCGAGAAAAATAATTGAGGCATGCTCAAACCCTTTGATGCCCATTCCTCATTATCGCATTCGTATAATTGGGAATGATATATCGTACTTCGGGGGCTGCGGCGTATTTGTTTACGTTGAGTGTTTCGCTAAAGCTGGGGTTTTGACGCAATGAATCAGCCCGCATAGCAACGAGGTGAAGATTAACAATTTATTTCCAATACTGAATAGAACATGATTATATTATGTGAGGAAAGCCAGTCGACCTTTGGGGATATAAGTTTCTTCGCGGCTAATGAAGGAGAAAGGAGACATCTTACGCCCACATTACCTTTCCTGTCATGGCTACCGACGAAAGTTATGCTGAGCTGAAACCATTCAAACCCAAATCCGTCACCTCAAACCCGCAAACCCCGCAACGATCTCTCTCATCTACTTTCTCTCTTTCACCATCCACTACCTTGCGCAGCGATGAAGAGTATCTCGTGTTCGAACTGGGTTCCCGCTTTTTGCGTGCCGGGTTTGCTGGGGAGAGCAGCCCGCGGTGCGTAATCGGTTTTGGTTTGGAAGAACAACGGAGAGTCGGAGATTACAGACGCTGGCAGCCAGATTTCCAAGGCACGGGAAGGAAGAGAAGACACGGAGAAACATGGGGTCAGCATCATGAGCTCTGGCGTATGGACCTTTCAGATCTGGATCTACAGCTCGTCGGAGACAAGATTGAAAGGGCCATAAGAGAAGCTTACGCCAAATACTTGCTTACGGATTACAAGCCTAGGAGAGCTGTTCTTGTATTACCATCTGTCATGCCTCATGCATTACTATCAACGGTCCTCTTGACCATGTTTTCCAATTTCCAGATTCCCAGCATGACGCTGGTATCTGGTCCTGTCTTAAGCACTCTCGCTGCGGGACTTCGCTCAGCTCTCGTGATTGATATCGGCTGGGCAGAGACAATTGTAACGGCTGTATTTGAATATCGAGAAGTCCTTCAACGTCAGACTCAGCGCGGCGTCAGATTGGCCAGTGAAGCAATGGGCGAGTTGCTGTCAACCGAGGCCAAAGGAACAAGTATAGAAGCCTCGCAAAGCCAGCGGTTGAACCAACAAATCGGAGTTTCTTTTGAGGAGACGGAGGAAGTGTTTTGCCGAATGGCCTGGTGTCGAAGCTCAGTCGACACCCAAGCTCCTGAGACTGACGATCCCATCGTGAATATTCCATTGAAATCGACAGAGCCTCCGGTAAAATTAGGACTGAAATTTTCCCGCCTTGGAGAACCTGTGGAAACAGCTTGCTTTGCTTCCCACCAAAAATTGCAGGATTTAGATGACCATGAATTGCCAATCCACCAACTTGCCTACAACACTCTTCTCTCTCTTCCAATTGATGTCCGTGGGACATGCATGTCTCGCATAGTCCTGACAGGTGGAGGATCAAAGATACCTGGAATCAAGCGACGAATCCTGGATGAAATCAATCTGCTCGTGCAGAAAGGGGGATGGGATCCTGTCAAAGGCCAAGCGGCGGAAATAAGAAAGAAGAAGTTCGAGAACCTCACTCAAGAGAAGGCGACTCAGGTATCGATGGATAATAAAGTCGAATTAGGCGAAAAAGCGGAAATGCCTTCGGATCAGACCGTCCCTGCGGCGAATTCTGAGCAAACCTCGGACCCTATCACGGAGAAATTGGTCCGGGAAGAATCAAAGCATGCGAAGCCATATATCCAGGGAGTCGTGCGAGGTGTTGAGACTTTAGGTCCTTGGGCAGGCGGAAGCCTCATGGCGAGTCTTAAAGCTCGTGGGACTGTAGATGTTGAAAAGGAAAAATTTCTTCAGCAGGGTCTTGCCGGCGCAAGCAAGGAAGGCGATATCAAAGGCAACTTCCAGAGAATGAGTTTAGGCGCGGCCACTCCACGCGCTGGCGGCGCAGAACGGTCAGGCTGGACTCTAGGGCTTTGGGCATAGGACTGTGGATAGTGAAGCACGCTTGAAGATCCGTGTTGTATGGTAAAGGATACCCCAATTGAGTTTTAACAATAGCTGGTGGATCGTCATATTATAGATGTCGCAAGCATTTACAAACGTTTTCTTTCTTAATACGCCCAGCTTTTGATGGTTGTTTTGAGAAGGTGCGTGCTCGTTAAGCATTCGTTCCTTCCTGGAGCATTAATTTTGATATCATACTGGGAAGCACGGCACAAACACTGTCGACTTTTTAGCTGACCGAAAGGACCGCCAAACCAGTCATGGATTACTGCTGAGTCTTCGTCGTGTACGAAGTCAGAACAAACTCAGATCTTGGCGTTGAGATGTCATGCACATAACCTCACATCCACATTGTGAATATCATCATCGTTAGAGATATTTGAAACAAGTCTTTTAACCCATCACCGGGGAATTCAACTATGTCGTCAGAGGATAGACAGCCACTTCTTCGGCGCCCGCTCTCGAGAGAGTGGAGTAAGTTCAATTCCAAATTGAAATCTACGGGTGCGCAGGACAAGCAAACTGACCTCATGGCCCCGTGCCATACCAGGGCCGAGCAATCCTTTCGCAAACTTCAGTGTCCGCGCCCCGTCCATCCTTTCGCGCAATAGTAGCTCCAACGCTGTAGATAAGGGCAAGGAAAAGGAAAAGGACAAGGACAAGGACAAGGACAAATACAAGCTCAGAATGCCGACGCCTCCTGCTGATCCCACCCCGGCAACTAAAAGAGAGCAGGAAGGCCTGATGAATTCTCACCACAGCCAACTCAAATTTCTTGCCCAGCGGATCAAGTTGATCAACGAGTTCATGGATATGGACACGGTCATGTTTGAGCGCCTCAGAAAGGAAAATGACCGGTCAAGGGATGCTAAATATATGGAAGAACGTGTCCTTTTGCTGCACATGTGCAAGGATACATTTGTCAAGATGGTGAAATGGCATCGTCTAGAGGCTGCTAGATTGGGTGCCATGATTGCTAGTGAAGGGGAGCATTACGTTCCGTAAGTCTTTTCATCAACATATTGTGGATTGCATTTCTTTTCCACTTCCTGGCTTTAATGATTGCATCGTTTCTGCATTCGATGGCGTACTTCGAAAGTACTCCGGGGGCTGCAGACACTGGCAGCCTTTTCCAAAGCCGAGCATTTGCTAAATAAGGTATTTTCAGGCCTTCAGATCTTCCAAGCCCTTTCGAATGGACGGAGTTGTTGAAAAACTGAGCTTTCTTCCCGTCTATTCCGAATTTCTCCGAATAAAGACATTCGAACTTCAAGCACCAGAGAGGCTTGAAGTAAGTGCTGCGTGGTCTGGTTTTGGTGAAATTAATACGTGTAATGAATCCTATTGGATCTCATTCCTTCTGAATTGATAGGCAATTTTCTTAGCTTGCTCCTCCTTGTTAGTTTCCTTTCAAGAGGGGGTTTGCAGATTGTCTCTGCGGTTTCCAGGTGCTTCCCAGCGCACATTGACTCGGCGTTTAGGTACGACAAGGGATGCAATACAGTTAGCTTCCAATCAAGATTCACACTTTGAAGCTGGTCCTTTCAAAGACATTCCGAGATTTTTTAAAAAAATAAAAAAGAAAAATAAAAAGAAAAAAGAAAAAAATGTTGAAATACAAGTGTGAGCATCTGATAGTACGAGTCCTCCAATCATGACGTGAATGTGAATGTTGCATGGGAAAGTTGACAATTGCGGGGAGTCGGCTATTCTGTTGTCGGCTCCGACATGCACGAGCCACAGCGGCAGAAAGTAGCAAGTCGTTTGCGGAGCGACCATAACAATTCCATTCAATCTTAGCAAGCAACACCATGGTCATGGAGATTTTATGACTGACTGTCTTTTTCAAAATTTCCAAGTGTTAAAATATTGATTATTGGTCAAATTTTATCTCTGGTCCTTGTATGTTCAAATATAATCTTCGGGTGCCCTTTAATATTGACTAGGGCTGCAGCTTTCCCCCAAGCCTTAGCAATGGCGTGGGCAAACGCCTCACGGCCTCTGATCCAACGCTGCTACAGATGTGCCTTTGGTCTGTCACGCCGCAGCAATACGACGGCTGCTGCTGCCGCTACTGCTAGACCCTCCATTGCACCGAAGCCCGTTATCGATATCAAGCACATTCGACAAAATCCAGAGCTCTATACACAAAACTGTCGCGACCGAAACTACGGAGCTCAGAGTGGGCATTCTTATCGAATCGTGCAGCTTTTCGAAGAGTGGCAAGCTCTTCAAAAGGATGCACGGGGCTTGCGAGAGCGGAGTAACATCCTGCGACGAAGGTTCTCGAACGCTGGCTCTCTCAAAGACAAGGCCGAGGATGCCGAACTGGCCGACAAAGACCGGGAGACTTTACTGGAGGAAGCTCGCGAGCTGAAGCAAAAGCTTGCCGACATTGAAACCAAGGAAGCAGAGATAAATCTGGAAATCGAGCAACTCGCCGTTGAGCTTCCAAACAGTACAAGTATGGAGACACCAATTGGAGAGGAGCCAAAACTGGTTGGCTTTATCAACGAACATCCCGAGCCTGTGCCCTCAACTTCAGATCGGGTTTGGAGATCGCATGTTCATGTTGGCAGTGAGCTAGGAATTCTAGACTTTGCAGGTGCTGCGAGCACTTCTGGATGGGGTTGGTACTTTCTCGTCAATGAGGCCGCCTTGCTGGAGCAAGCCCTTGTGCAGTATGCGCTGTCTGTGGCACTTAAACGCGGGTGGACCGTGGTGTCTCCGCCCTCAATCGTCTACTCCCATATCGCAGCCGCATGTGGGTTCCGACCCCGCGATCAAAATGGCGAACAACAGATATACGCGCTTGAAAGGAGCGAAAAGGACCTTAGGAAACCAGAGCTGTGTCTCGCTGGGACGGCAGAGATCCCATTGGCTGGAATGAAGGCAAATCAGGTACTAGATGAGGAAGAGCTTCCCAAGAAGTACATTGGCGTAAGTAGGTGCTATCGAGCGGAAGCCGGAGCGCGTGGCGTAGATACCAAGGGACTCTACCGTGTGCACGAATTTACCAAAGTGGAAATGTTCGCCTGGACAATGCCTGACGAACCAACGGACACCGATCAAGGCATGTCACATTCCGGCAAAATCTTTGACGAGATGATCTCCATACAGACAGAAATCTTAGAATCTCTAGGATTGCATTGCCGCATCCTTGAGATGCCCTCAACCGATCTTGGAGCCAGCGCTACACGGAAGCGGGATATTGAGGCATACTTTCCTTCACGCCGCGCGAAGGATGAAGGGTGGGGTGAAGTCACGTCAACATCTATCTGTACCGACTATCAGAGTCGACGACTCGCAACACGGGTTGCGACTGGCAAAGCCAGAAAAATGATCTGGCCCCACACTGTCAACGGTACAGCACTGGCCGTTCCCCGCGTCTTGGCTGCATTGTTAGAGAATGGATGGGACGAGAAGGAGAATAAGGTTATTATCCCGCCTGTTCTACGGCCGTGGATGGGCGGCATGGAAACGATTCAGAGGAGATATCCACGAGATGACATGTGGTGAAGAAACATGTGCTTCATCAACGTGTTCGATCATAAGTGAGTGGGTTGGTGCCAGCAGTCGTACGCGACGCAATAAGCATGCAGACGCAAGTGAAAGTCACAGTTGAGTTGCTTTCAATCATTGCCAACCATCATAATAGCTTGCATATCGTTTTTCTTTCTGACAGACATATTCCCCTGGAGAAGTACTCCATTTGTGCGGTACGGTGTGCATATATGCTTTCAATTGCAACATGACCTCTTTTTTGGGCAGCTTGATCTATTTATTCCCTTGGTAGCGACTAGATGATTGTAGGGTCCAGAACCAAAAGAAGTGCAGCACAACGTCGTGGGATTTGATTGGTGGTGTTCCTTGGGCTGCAATAATACGCCTGCCAGCCATTTCAGATTTCCCTTCGCTTCAGCTGGACAGGGATCCTTTACTTCCCCCCGAGCCCCCTCGGTATCTTGTCCCGACTGATGATTATTGGGTGCATTCATAGATGACTACTGTACTGCATTTCTGCACTGAAGGCTCTTATCGCTTGATCATTTATTATTAACTACGGTATTGCACGAATACTTGTGTTCCTTTCAACTGTGTGGGGGCATAGTATTGTATCATACTGTACAGGGACAGTTCCTTGCGTTGGCTTCTCTTAATGTGGTGGCGTATAAACCCACGTCTTTCTGCAAGAAGTTGCCAGACGCTAATCGGTTGGTAGTGCAGCAGATGGACTGCTAACAGCCACCCAATACGAAGCAAAAAGGCCATACGAAGAGGTTGATCTCCGCGCACAGTAGTTTATTCCAGAAGACAATGCCCATCATTTTTGTTGATCCCCGCGCTCGTTCTTCTCCCCGTGATACTTTTGCGATTTCCTTGCTCAATAAATGCATTTGACGGCGCTAATTTCTCCCACAACTTCAATGCAATCTTTTGGAATATTCGATAATATCACTTTGATCTTTTCCCTTCAAACTATCCAAGCCCAGCTCCCTGTTACTTTTGCCTGAAACATTTAGGGAGTTTCTTTGGGGGAAGACAGACGTTTGCGCAGCTCGAATCCTCCAGAGGTCACCCCGGCCCGTTGCTCGTCCAACCTCTCCTCTTTTTACCCACTTTGGCTCACTAAACACGGACCAACATTGACTACAGTCAGCTTTGGTTCAAGACAAGCCCCGTTACAGTCCCTTTCCCAACTGCTTTCGCGTCTCCACATTGTTTTCCGTTCTTGTTGTTCCTGGCTCGTCTCGCAGTTCCGCGACGCGGGGTGGTGTGATTGGAAGTGCCACCCGCGACGAGGACCGCTTCTCTCCAAGGCAGTGGCCCTCGTCGGGATCACTGTTTCGCCTGCCTCGATACTTGCTGCTCCAATGGTGTCGCATTCAGAATCCTCAGAGCGCACATTGACTCTTCGCCGACCGCCCTCTATTTCGTCAAGGGCCTCGAGCACGCGCAGACACCGAACGAGCCGTTCGCACCATGGCAGTTCTTCCTACCAGCCACAGAATGAATTTCCCATCTTCACGCATTCTGGCGATGTTGAAATATTGATCAGTGTCGGCGCACAGGAGCAGCGTTATTTACTACATCGCTTGATCCTCGCACAGTCTTCGGGCTTCTTCGAGGCTGGCACCAGCGAAGAATGGTCTCGCGCGCAGGCAAATGGTGCGAGTCAAGCGCAAGGCCTGGCCGTTATAGGAGAGACTCCTTCTGCTGGACAAGGAGTCACACGGCCCGGGCCATCCTCGCATAGTAGAGATGCCCAGCGCCCGCGATGGAGATATGAGCTGGACGGTGGTAACAGGCCAGACGAGATACCCATGCTGGTACAGAAGGTCCGTTGCGCGTGCCTTTTAGATGTTATGAACCTACGAGATACTGATAAACATGTTCTTTAGAATCCTTCCACCTCAATATTTGGAGGAGTCCACACTCCCCGGCCACCTCCCGTTCGTAACAAGCCTCCTGCACCACAGGCAGGCTTCTTTCGCTCAATGGCCAACTTTTCCAGCATCCAAATTCCGACCAGCCGCCCTCCTGATGACCCAGCCGATGATCTCCTACGCGACTATGACAACATGCTGCGTATCTTTTACAATTATTCGCCAACGCTTGACAATGTGAATATTGCCAACGCCTACGTTGAATGCAAGAGCCTACTCGCACTCGCCGATATGTATGATGCCCTCGAGGTTGTTGGTCCTCGGATTGACCACCATCTGCTTCAATTTCAAGGCCGGCTTTGGAAGCAAATTGCAAAGTACCCGCCAAGCTATCTCAAACTGGGTTATTTGGCTCGATCCCGCATTATCTTTGCAGAGGCGCTCATTCACGTCGTGGGTCAATGGCCATCTGGAGCAAACCAGCTTCGCAATCACCTTCCTGGATCTATGCTAGACCTCATTGAAGACAAGGTCGAGGACCTTGAGGATCTCAAATGTAAGATAGAAGGACGACTTTTTCGCCTCACCTTGACGACCGCAAAGGGCGAGCGCGTTACTCCGACAAATTCCTACATTGATTGGTTGGCCGTCTCCCTATTTCGCCAATGGCTTGCCGAGAACACCTCGTCGGCGCTACCACCACCACCACCACCGCCGCCACGGAGCATCGTGCGCGCTTCTCAGACTGGGTCCGCTGCCGATTCCTACCAGGCTACCTCTCTACCCCGTGCTCCCCCTTCTGCTCTTCCCATCAACACTGGTAGAATTTACCGCTTGTTAGGCGTCGGCGGATCGGCCTATCTCGGTCATGACGAGCTCAAGCGATTTCTTAAGCTTCGACCGGAAGATTATACTCGGGACTCCCTCCGCAGGTTTGAGCGACGAATGGATGAGCTCAAAAGTATGGCAAGGGAGATTGTTCGACCTCTGATGCGCAACTACCTCCAACTGGACCTTGGCAAGGACGGAAGTGGAAGCGGGAGCGGAGGCAGTCTAGGATATTTGACGTGCACACGAGTCGAAGAGCAGGATTTCCTTTGGGAAGCCGACTAAAGCTGCCGGAGAGCCTTCATTGAGAATTCTTCTGGGAATTTTTTTCCTTTTGCGTGGAAGTTCCGGTACATTTATGATTTACGTCCGCAAGATTCCTTTGACATTGACGTTACACAGCATAATACCCCGATATTGCTTATCTTCTTTCTTCATCAATCTTCTTTTTCTTCATGATCACGACGGCCATAATGTTTAGGAAATGGATGAATCATGTTGTTTATGACTCTGGCATGTGTTGCGTTTTAGCGGATATTTCGGGATCTCATCTGACCAACTTCGAGGAGATATTTACAGAATATAGTCGCAATGACAGATGATTTTCATTCAGCATTGAATAATTTATAGAATTTCTAGCTCCCTGTGATTAACAGCTTGCATCACGAGACGGTGGCCTCCCACACGGGACCTGGACATAACCGGCACATGGCGAGCTAAAGACACGCCTGCTGACCGATGACTAAGCTTGGTTACAATCCCAACAGATTCCCTGCCTGAATGTCTTTAGTCATCGGCGTAGTTGTCCGATTCTCCGACTTCCCCAGAGCAGGCCAACGTCAACAGTCATCGAGCCACTACGGTGTTCGAGCTCAGCTCATGGTCAGTTCATGCTCGTGCCAATGTCTGTGAGGTATAGCTGAACTGGACCCTGCATATTTTCTTTTCTTTCTACCAGCAGATATTTTTCCTTTTGAAATTTTCTTCTTTCACACATTTGTCCACATCCGATAACTATATTGCTTGGGTTGGCAGGCATCAACGCCTAACTATCGCCAGCTTTGTTAGTGTCGCGTGTCAGCTTTCATTACGAGCTCTTCTTTGATATTTGCCATGCTCAACAGCCTCCTGTACCTGCGGTAGTACATTGATCTCAAATTACCCTGAAGAGCGGCCCAAAGCGTCTTCTCTCATCTCCTCTATCTGCAAGTCTTTATCGAGCAACTCGGCCGCATCAACGCCATGCTAGACCCTTTCCTCCCAGCGCCGCCGGTGCTATCGAAACTCGTACAACCACTCGCAGACTATCTTTCTCTACCAACGCTTCCGCTACATGTACACGAGGTGCTCTTCGCTTTCGTCTTGTATCATGTCGTCAACACGCGCATCTCGCCGTATGTTTCCGCTCGATTGTTTCCCCAAATTTACCCTAATCTGCCTCCTAAAACGCGGGTAAATTGGGACGTTCATGTGGTTTCGTTGGTACAATCTTCCTTCATCAATTTCATGGCATTATGGGTAATGTGGAATGATGAAGAGCGGTACAATATGAGCTTGACGGAGCGTATCTTTGGATATACTGGTGCCTGCGGCATGATTCAAGGGTTTGCCGCGGGATACTTTCTTTGGGACTTGATGGTTAGCTTGCAGCATGTGCGGATGTTTGGACTCGGCATGCTTGCACATGCTATCTGTGCCCTGGTAGTATTCAGCTTTGGATTTGTGAGTTTCACTTACACGGATATCCTTACCGCGCATTATCCCAATACAATTTCTGCGGAGCAGCAAATTACGGATGTCCAGGATGCTAACATGTTCATTCTAATGACAGCGTCCTTTTGTGAACTACTACGGCCCGACATTTATTCTCTATGAACTCTCATCTCCGTTCCTCAACTTCCATTGGTTCTTTGACAAACTCAATATGACGGGTTCTCGACCCCAGCTCTACAACGGCATTCTCCTGCTCGCTAGCTTCTTTTGCTGCCGCATCATTTGGGGCACGTACCAATCTGGGCGTATCTTCATGGACATGTTCCGAGCGATACGTTCCACCAGCATCTCTAACCCTCTTGTCTCGACTGGAAACAGCACCCTCCTTCTCAATGGAACGAACGTGATCAACTCGACCCTTTTGAATGGCACCATTCCGAACATTCCGTTCAATAGCAGTGCTGGTCACGTTCCAGCAGCCGCGGCGATTCCGTCTAATGATCCTGCGGCCGAAGTCATGCGCTTTTCAGGCGATATGCATCTGCCGCTTTGGCTGGCCGTCACGTATCTCAGCAGTAACGTCGTCCTGAACAGTTTGAACTATTATTGGTTCAACAAGATGATTGATGCCGTACGCAAGCGGTTCCAGCCGCCCAAGGAAGACAAGGAGAAACAAAAACAAAAGGGCGACGTACCAGCTAGCGTCACTTCCGGCGTAGATGCGCAAGGCCATCATGTGCTTAGTGTAGAGAAGACGGAAACTGCGACTACGCGGTCGCGGAGAAGAGGTTGAAGCATCATCTTAGACTCAGCTTTCTTTTTTACTTTCTATTTCTTTCCCCGTGGTTGGCTAAGCTTATACTATTGTCAGTGCTAATAGTCTTGTCATTATGGATGCATAATGTAATTCACAACACGTGTTTGTCCTGTCTCCTTTGCTCCGCGTGTTGCACAATACTGTCTCCATTGTCTCGATCCGCCGGTGCTCGCTGCCTGCGACTGACTTTTTATCATCGGTCGATGTCAAGGATTCAGAGTTAGGAGAAGTCTCTATTGTACTGCAGCAACACGTGCTTTTGCGGACTTCAAGGGGCGAGCATTCTTCCCTCACATCTCGCCTTTCTCTTACTACTCCTTTTTTCTCCAACACTTCCAATGTTTTCAGCCAGTTTACTTCCATACATGCACATAGATGAGGGACGGAGTAAATGATATCATATGCCCCTGTGAAGCCTGACACAGCAATAATGTCATGACACATGGTGAAAATTATATATCAGTTTTTCCATAATTCGGCTCATAGTATCGATCATACAATAAACGCCCCAGATTTCAATTCGCCTTCAGTCCGAAATTTCCCAGCTCGCCGTGTAGGCAAATGAAAGAAGATTAAAAAAAAAAGGGGACAAATTCTAGTAGCGGGAAATACTCTAGAAATTGGAAGAAAGAAAAAAAGCCCAGCCCGTGAAAGGGAAGGAGGCGATAAAAGTAAAGAGAAGAAAAGAAAAGAAAAGAAAAGACAAAAAGGGGGAGGGGAACAAAAAAAAAGAGGAAGTGAGTAAAAGTAAGAGTATCACGGCCGGGCAAGCCACAGTCCAACACTCTCCCGGACACCATCGGAGCCCCAAACGCCCGCTTGGCCACCGCGTCTAAACTCATCCGAGGCATACGCATCGTCTGCGGCACCGGCGCCAATGCCGCGCGTGGCTTCGCCCAGGATGACTTGGAGATCGCGCTGCTGGGAACTGACCCAACGACGAACAAACGCGGCCGGGTCAGCAGCCATGGCGGTGAAGAAGCCATGCTTGGCCTTGGAATGGGCCAGGGCCTGAATGATCAGCGCGAGCTGGTCGTCGAGCGAGGCAATAGAGCGCAATGTAGCGGGATAAGCGGGATTAGTAGTAAGCGCAATCATCTGTGCGCGCAGGGGGTCGTCAAGCGGCACGCGCACGTCGTAGACGGTCGGGGTGGGACTGGCTTGGTATGCGGCGTCGACGCGGATGGTGTAGGGCAGCTTGATGGGCGGCAGGGGGGATAGGTGGTTCAAGATGAGGTCGGGGACATGTGGGAAGAAGAGCTGGTCTTGTTTGAAGATCTGGATATTGGCCCGAAGATCAGTAAAATGATAAGGGGGACGAATTTCTGAAAATTGACCTCAAGAAAGAAGAAAGGGGAGGAAAGGGGAAGGGGGGAATGGGGATCACACGTACCGCCTTCAATCGGTCGTCACAGCGGATTGTACGCTTCTCTTCATCTTCCTGCAGACCCATGGCCTTGATGTATTCCCAGAGTCCGAGAACGACGCCAGCTCGCGCATCTTCGTCGGTATCAAGAACCTCGGCGAGTTCTCTGCTCAGGCGGTAGCGCTCGGGATTTTCGTCCCGGACGAGATTAATTGTGCAGTTGAGATTCTCGTCGCTCTTGCGTTCGAATTCGAGACAGTCGAAATCTGCTGATGGCGGAAGCTGCGGCACGTTTGGCGGCAGAGCGGGCTTCTTCCATTCAATGTTCGCAGACGCATCGACGGGAAGGGCGCTTGATCGATCGAATTCGACAGTGATTGATTTAAAAAAGTGAGAGAAACGCTTGCGGGGTCGGGGCACGGCAGGATTGACGGGTTTGTCTGCGCCCTTGTCGCCATCTTGATCCGGTGCATTACCCTGGGGTTCTGATGGCGCTGCTGCTGCAGCTGATTGCTTGTCTCCCCCAGCTTCCTCTTCGTCGTCTGAGACATCCTCTGGGTCGTCGTCGTCTAGTAATCGTCCTTCAATTCTGACTTTGTACGAAGCCCCCGTCGCCATGCTAAAATCAAATGCATTGTCCTCGAGCCCCTTTGCCTGCCAGGGCTGGTTCTCTGCTGTGTTGGAGATCCAGATGCGTAGTGTCCGGTACCGTTTCACATTGCGATTGACAGAGTCCTGAATGTCCAGTCTCTTACGCATCATCGTAGCGTCGAGCCGTCGCTCCACGTCACGCAGGGCCTGATATCGCTGTACGCCATCGCCGATGATTGCTTCGGCAACTCCTTCGGGGATGTTCTTGTCTGTAGGTTTTCGGCTTCTTCGTTTCGCAAGTTCGCGTTCTTGTGCGGCCTGGGCTTGCTGTGCTTGGATCTGCGCTGGGATCAAAGCAGGTTGCGGATGCGGTGCGGCAGCAACCATTGGTCCTGTGGGCCAGATATATTAGATGCCAAATTCGCTGGGAAATGCAGTGTCTGCTAGGTCTCCGTGGGGAGTTCAACGTACCTGGGCCACGCCGAGTGCCAGTCGTGGCAGGCGAACGCTGCGCGCCTGCTGGGGCGTAGTTGCGATATTGGGTTTGCATTGCAGGGTTCATACTGCCGTCCTCCGCCTGCTGCTATTGCTGGGAGCAATCTTGCAGTCTCTAAGTCCTGAGAGGAAAGCTAGGTCCGGTCTCTGTGATTTCGCTCCGCGATACTTCCTTCCGTAGTCGCGTTCCAGCGAAGTTCAAAATGGTCACGTGGCTGGAAGGGACCAGAAGAGTTGACGCTAAACTAGAAATGGAACTGTGAATGTTCACCGCCTTTGAGGGTTGTGTTTCTGCCAACGAAATGAACTTCTGGGCAGTCATCAACCCACGGAGGTTTGTTGATCTAAAACATGACATTTCAAACTCTGTGGGCAGACACTTTTGTTTAAGCGATACTGCACTCAGATATGGGATATTTACATTTGTATTAGTTCTAGAATCTCCGTTCGTGAAGCACTTTATATATCCAGGATGACACCGCCTTTTACAACCAATCGATCGAGAGGAGGGCTATAAACAAGCTCTTGAACTATTTTTCGTTGCTTATACTCTTCTGGTGGCCCATCCTTTCGCCCAAACAGAATCAGGTCTGCTACAGAACCTTCTCCAAGGCCTTGACTTGATTCTCCGCATCCAATGGCGGCTTTTGCTCTCGAAGATACACACTCCTTTCAAATCATTAGCATTATCACTGCTTTTTCCATCACAGATATACTTACATATAATAACTGGGTATCATTCTTTGTGCCCGTCTGATATACTCCTACGCCCAAGCTTGCAATACTCAAGGGATCGCAATTCCCCTGGGGCGTAAATGCATTCCCTACGTTATTGACACCAATAGCTCCCTGGAAGCCGTGACTTTTGATCATGTTTGGTACAGGCAATGTGCCTCGGACTCTCGGGCCACAGCCATCATCCTCTTCTTCCGGTCTTCCCATCATAAACAGATCTGAAGTCGGTAATCCTACAAAAGATATGGGTAGATCTCTAATGCTTTCCCTTAGGCGAGTCCATTCGTCGCGATTGAAAAGCGTAAGCCGAGTACAATGACTGAGCACTATTGTTTTTCCCGTGTGCGCTCTGCCCCTCCAGTCTTGCTTTTGCAGGGTATCTAACACATGCCATACCATTGGCTCCTGTGCAGCATCGAGGTTGTAGTCAAGATGAAAGTCTAGATGTAAACCCTCTCGTAGACACAGTTCCACTGCCCACTCAATATTCTGTTTCATCTTGCCTGTATCAGTCTCGACATACGGAGCGGTGCCAAAACTTTCTACATCGGGTCTGCGAGCTGCCTCTTGTATAAGCCGCCGCATTTCCAATCCTCCGTCCGGAGAGCTGAAAATTGGTAATTGTGCAAAAACGGATATCTGCACATCGCATCTTCCCTGGAATTCCTTCTTCAGCATCAGGCCAGCATCGACGCACTTCGTGCCAACCCCGGCATCTACCTCAACAAATGCTCTCATGACAGTTACCCCCGCACTGAGGCTTTCTCTGATCAATCGTCTTCCTCTTCGTATCAGATCATCAGTCTCAAACCGAGCCTTTGCCTGAGTGGTAAGCTGCATCGCCTCAGGAAAGTCGCCTCTCAATATCTCCAAATCCGAATATTTGGAGTCTCCCAGAAGAAAGCATTTGTCGAGATGTATGTGGGGATGACAAAGGGACGGAGCAAGAAGTTGTCCTTGAGCGTCTAAAATCTGCGGGTGTTGTAAACGCGGTGCAGAGAAATTGTGAGGGACGATTGCCTCAATCTTGTCATCTGATAGGGAGATATCAAAGAATTCGTTCGCACCGCCATTGGGCAGACGAGCACATCTTATATGACGAAGAGGTGGCTTCGAGGTTTTGGATACGGGCCCAGGTACATCATCTCTACCAAACTGAACCCTGGTCAGCTCCTGCTGTAGATTGACACCATGTGATGCCAGAAATTCGGCTGCCATTCCCTAAGTTCGTCGCACAACGCTTCCGAAATTTTCAATGGGTCACCCTCTTGGATGACTAGCTGATATTATCAATTGCGATATCATTCAATTTTCGTTGTCTTCAAATTTGACAGAGAAAACAAATCCAAAAATACGTCAGTGCAAGTGCAACTTCTGGAAACAGCTTACTAAGCACAGCCGCCATGATCGAGAGAGCCCAACGGGGCGGACAATATGTTAATAAATTACCGTTCTCGACCTGAGAGCGTGAAATTTCCAGAAGAGAAGGCTCAGACGCTGGGGATTTGCGCTATTAATTTGCCTAGTATGCTCATCGAGAACCTGAATTGTTGCCTTCATGAGATATATCACTCGTATGGCTACGGTACAGCCCTTTTGAAAAGAAAATTGATGTGAATATTTCTGTGATCCAAAAAAAAAAAAAAATTAAAAAATAAACCCAAATTTAAGAAGATAAAAATAAAACATGTTCTAAAATTTGAAGTTAGTCTTGGAAGCATAAATCAAACCTTCGAAACTTTTGATGCTGCAATAGCCGTAGAGAAATTTTTTGATGAAATCGCGATTACCCCCATTCGGCTCAATCCAAAACAATGGTGAAATCACATAAATGCTTCGTGAAATAACTGACTTGATGCTAATGGCCCTCAATGAACATCCATCGGACTATTTGAGTCAATTTGAGATTATTATTACTATTAATTTATCCAAGTTGGTATTGATGATTTTGTGTGCCAATGGATATAGAACGCCTCCCGGAAAACAATCAAAACATATCATACGTAGACGCCTATAGCCGTAATTTTCGCAGCTGAGCTTCAAACGCCTTTGACTCCCTCTGAATGCGTAAAGCTTTTAGTTTTCGAGCAACGGTGACCGAGCATGACCGACGCATATTCCCAGGCCGCTTTGGTGAGCCCGGAGCCTTGAGTTTTCCTTGGGGAAATCCTGTTATTCTTTTTCGTGTCACCCTCAACTTGAGACCTGACACTCTAGGACTGGCGGCGCCGCTGCTCAAACTCGCGCAAGAAGACTTTTCCCTTATTTCCCCATCCATTCTTGGAGTTGTCTTCCGGTGGAATATTTAAAGGTCTCTTCGCTGAACGGGTCCAAAACGTGAAAGACCTAGAACTAATATTTCCCTTGCCGGAGCTGTATACCGACTTCAATGCCGCAAAGAAAGCTTCGGCTTCAGGCTCCAAACCCAAGATTCTCAACGAACGAATTATCCTTGTAATGCGTAAATGGTTGTGACCAAACGGGCGAACCCAAGATCTCGAAGCAGAAGAGAAATTCGGGGCAGGTACAATTCTGAAAATTTCCGGATTGCTGCAATTGTTGTGGCCTTTGCGGTCAGTCTGAGATGGAGACGAGGCGTGATTTATATTTTCACTGTTCTCGTTCGTAAAAGAAGGGGGAGGCGACGCCTGACGCGTTTCAAGCTTCAGGCCATAAAAGAGCAAAATGCGCTCAAAAGCTTCGCGTAACCGCTCACGTAGCTCTAAACGAGCGTGAAAGGCCTCAAATGTGGGATGGTCAACGGCTGGCGCCTGTGGATTCACCGGTGAAATCTCAGGCAAGGGAAAGACCGACTGAATATAATCATGAGAATATTCTAAATCGGCATCCGACCACTTAAGTATGGAAGACAAAGTTCGACCTCGAAAGTCTTTACTTCCGTTGGGGTGCTCAAAGAATGACACTAGTGGCGGCGGTTGGGACGCGGACCCTGACGCTGTCACCGTCTTTGACATGGTTGCCGACGACAAGTGATGCTTTCGGCCTAGACCGCAAGCTGCGGAAACGGGCAGCCGGAGCCTTTTCGACCCTCGGAATCGAGGCCCAGAATAGATGATGTGGCAGAGGTTTCTAATGGAGCTCATCAAGGGAGGATTAACAGGTAAAAAAGCCATCATAGGGAAGATCTTCGAATTCATGAATGCGAGTCATTGCCGATCGGCTCAGTTAAGAATGCCATTCACCCCACAAAAGTGGCAAATCAATACATACTCTAATTCATTCATTCCATTGCCCCTCGGAGGGGTTTGAGAAGGGGCGCGCGTGTGCCTTATCGATAAGAACGTGCGCACTCTCGTAAGCGAATAAATCAGAAGCGGCCAACTCCCTCGCTCTGCTCAAACATCGAACAAACAAACTGTGCGAATGTTTGGCCCCAAGTATCTCTCTCCACACATGCATAGACGCGCGCTTCTTTACCCGCGCGAACATGCTCCTGAACTACCGGACAACAAGGCGTATACTTTAAAAAGAAGAAGCCATAGAATGCTTTTCTGAACGATCAAGCCGAAGAGCGATCGTGGACATTAGCTGTTTATCAACTTGACTAAGCTTACCTTCAGCATTTCTTCATTAATTACTAATCTATCTCAGGCGCTTCTTGGCCAGGATGGCGTCCCAAATTATAAGGCAAGAAGCAGCTTCAGATCAGGTGTCGTCTTCGTCATCCGGAAATGAAAACGGTGCCCGCAAGCTATGGTATCATCACCTCACTGTCGATCTACTCGTGCGTGTCGCGGAGAACACTTTTCTGCATCCATTCGCAGCATGGATGATACCACTGGGTTTGCGGGCCCAGGCAACGCCTTATACTTACACTTCAATGCAGGTGGCTATTATCTACGCTATATTGATTACTCTGCGATCCTTGTTCTTGCTCGTTGACAAACGCGTTGCATACGGCGCTCCTCGACATGTCGACCTATCTCGCGAAGTTATTGTGATTACTGGAGGCGCCAGCGGGGTCGGTTTGCTCATTGCCGAAGTGTACGGCCTCCGCGGCGCAAGTGTGGCTGTTCTGGATGTGCGAGAGCTGGATGCAACCCAGCTCATGGTCATGGAAAGCAAAAATATCCACTACTATACCTGTGATATTGGCGACAGAGCACAGGTCGTGGCAGCAAAGGCAAAGATTGAAAAAGATGTACGCTTAACCATGTTCCTATCTATATTTGCTTCTTTAAATGGTGCCATCAAGCTGTCTGTTTTTACTTTCATTTATTTTATGTCCATGCGTTTACTTCATATACATTCCTCCCATCTCAGTCTACTTTCTTCAAATTGCCCTTCCGATCAGAGAATTTCAATGCATTCGTGTTTGTCCCTTCGACATTTCCGCAAATTGAGATCCAAATAAGCAAATCTGGGAAATACTGACGTGCTATATCTGTAGCTTGGTACGCCTACGATCCTGATAAACAATGCCGGCATGGTGAATGGATTGTCTCTTCTTGAGCTCTCTCCTGAGCAAATTGAAAAGTAAGCGGTCGAAGTTGCATAGTGCAAGGAGTCCCGGATAAGAATACCAAGCTCAAGACGTCGCTTCAGGGCTGAAGATCTACCTCGACTTGAAACAAATTCTTTGGTACAACTGAAATGCTAATGCATATGCAATTTCAGGAACTTCCGGGTCAACCTCTTCTCACACTTCTACACCTTGCAAACCTTTCTACCCGGCATGCTTCGAAAGAAGCGGGGCACCATCGTCACAGTCGCCAGTGTCTTGGGCCATCTTGCAGCGCGAAACGTTTGTATGTGCCCTCGATGCTTGAACCAGTTCAGTTCGAAAAAGGTCAATGCTAATGAGCCCCCTGCTTTTCTCTATTAGCCGACTACAGCGCCGCCAAAGCCGGTCTTATTGCGCTGAACAAGGCTCTTCGGGCCGAGCTTGATGCCTTACCACCATCAAATGACGGCACCAAATCACCCGGATCAAATATAAAAACGGTCCTAGTGGCACCAGGACAAATATCCACTCCGCTGTTCGCTGGTGTTATTACGCCATCTACATTCCTAGGACCTGTGCTTGAGCCTGTTGACGTTGCCAAGGAGATTGTTGCGGCCGTGGATGCCGGGAGCAGTGCAGAGTTAGCCATGCCATTTTATAGTCGCTGGATCGTCCTGCTGGATGTACTCCCGCCGGGTGTAAGACGTTTAGTTCGAGCTTGGAGTGGAATGGATGAGGCTATGGGGACGTTTCTGATGAGGAGGCATGCAACTGGTGGCCAGTCCAGCGGGGAAGGGGAAGGACAAAGGGGAGAGATGGTGGAACAGGAGAAAAAAAAGACATCTGAGCTTGATGCATGGGATGGAAGTACGGATGAGCAGGAAGATACCGAAGACAGCTTTGAAGTTGAGAGCGAATAAGTTCCAGGGAGAGTTGTCAGAGAAGGAATGCATTTTCGAACGACAGATAGCAATGATATTCCCTTCCTCCATTCATGTGTATGTAACTTTCGCGGGTATGGTGAGTCCCAACTACTCTTCAACTTTTGAACGAATTTCAATCACGGAAATTACCCAATAAGCAAATTTGATCGACAATGGATAATATGTCAAGCAATCTGGTATCGACCCCGCAATATGTTGCGGGAAATCTATGTAAGTGCGCCTACCCATGCAGCCAGGAATTTTGCCCACCAAACGCCTCTCCCAAACGAAAAATTATGAAACCAGTGTTGTACAGATGAGGGTCCCGAAAGAGGTTAACCCCCAATTACTGCTCCTGGGTAAGGATCATCTTCTCTCTCTCGCTTCTTCTCTTCTTCAGGCCCTTTTTGGTATGCTTCCTCTCATTTTCATCGCGTCTCTTGATAGCAGCAAGCTCCTCAGACTTAATCTCACCAGCCTTCTTAACCTGCTGGGGAAGGTGCCTGTGTCTCCGGATGCGTCGGATCTCAGGCATATGCTTGTATCGTTCCCTGAGCGCGTCGTCATATTCAAGCTTCTGTCGTTGACGGGCGGATTTGATTCCTTCGCGGGTAGACGCATTGGCGCGCCACAACCTGATGTTGCCGTCATCAGATCCGCTGAAGACGTAGCGGGCATCAGGAGAAAATTTGGCAGAGAATACCCTACGAAAGTTAGTTGAGTAAAAGAGAGAAGCATCTCGTTGTGGGGAGTTAATCTTACCTCTGCATTCGTTTCGTGTGGTAAATGTCTCGCGAGTGTCCCCGAGATCTGTCCCACAGTCGGATTGATCGGTCGTACGAAGCGCTAACCAGCTCTTGTCCCGTGGGGCTGAATTCTACATCCATAACAGCAGCAACGTGATCCTTGAGCACGTTCAGAGCGCGATCCATTTTTCGCATGTCGAAAATGTAAATGTTGTGGTCTTCGTTTGCGACTGCAAAATTGAACGCTTCCATTGGATTCCACGAAATGGCATTAGAAGACAGGCTGAGAACGGTTTTGGAGAGCGGTGAAGAAGTTCGCAGGTCGTAAAGGACAATCGATCTGTCTGTGGCCGCCGACGCCAAGATTGAGGTTTCCGTCTGGTTAAATGCGACTGCGTTGACGGTATCAATAGAAGTAGGCCACGATAGGGTCTGAGTCGGCGTCGAGGAGGGCCTAGACAAATCGTAGATGGAAATGACGCTTGACGATGCCGCAAAGCTTGGAAGAGACCGGTGGTGAGAGATGCCAGTAAATGCGGTCTGGCCAAAGTAAGTGGCTAGCGGAGGCGTTCCCGAGGTCGTATGATACGGATCGTAGAGCTTCACAGTCCGGTCGCTTGCGCAACTCAACAACTTTTGATCCCTCGTCCAGCAGAGGTCCTTGACGATTCCATCATGGGCCTGCGCATTCCAGATTTCCTCCCGGCTGACCAGATCCCAGACTTTGACGACACCGTCACCGCTACCGCTGGAAAGTCTCTCGAGCGAATTCGGATCTTTGGCCATGGCATAAACACCATCAACATGACCATTGCCTAGCTGGCCCAGAAAGGGCGCAGCGAACATGCGGTCAAGCTTCGTCGCATTGAGAGCGCGAGTGTACTCCCGGGCTCTTTCGAAAGGATGCAGAGCGGGATCGAGGTTGCGAGGCTGTCGAGTAACGCTCGAGCCCGGGGCTTGGGCAGAGGAGGCCGGGCGTGATAACGCTTTGATTTTCTAAAATGTTTTTATTAGGTATTGGGACTATTAATTAAATACTCCGATCTATACATACCATTTTGAACTTCCTCACACCCCGGCAGATCTCATCGACTGTGGATGTAAATGTCGTAAACACAGTCTGGAGAAATTTGAGGATCGAAAAAGTTTGTATTATGTAATCGGGTCTCGCCGGCGGTGAGCTTCGGGACATGCAGTAATTTACGGTTCGTATTTCAGTCCACAAATGCAGATTTGTACGGCGATCGATAGTAACACTTGGTCTCACCGAGCAGCAACGGCGTCAGCGATCAATCAGCAACTTGCAGTTGCTTCTACAGTACATTTGACCGCCAAATCCAAGCTCTTTCGACCTCCCCCACATACTTTTCATCTCTTCTCATCATGGCACCCGCAATCGAGGATGCTGGCCGGATAGAAGAGGCCCAGAAGATTGCAAAGACAGAGCCGGCCAAGGCGGAATCCATCTACAAAGAGGTCCTAGCTAAAGGCCCCGGAGCAAGCGATGCGGCATCATGCCGTTTTGAGGCTGCCCTAATGGGCCTGGGAGAGCTGTATCGGGATGCCCAAAAACCTCACGAGCTCGCAGAGCTTGTCAAGACCAACTGTTCTGTGTTATCATCGTTTGCCAAGGCAAAGACTGCAAAGCTTGGTATGCATATTCCCTCCAACACCCGCTTCGTCTTGACAGCAACCGCAACTTTTCACTATTGAGTTCCGGAGTCAAAAGCGACAATCTCTACTCCATATATGTATGCTGTACTGCTTTACTAATAATCTCATTCACCCTATAGTGCGGCAACTCCTTGACCTCTTCTCCTCCATCCCCAACACCGTCGAGATCCAGATCGCCGTGACAAAGAGTTGTATCGAATGGGCGATATCCGAACGACGAGGATTCCTACGACAGAACCTGGAGACCCGACTAGTGGCATTGTACATGGAGAAGCAATCCTACTACGATGCCCTAACGCTCATCAACGGACTATTGCGCGAGCTGAAGCGGCTGGACGACAAGCTCGTGCTGGTCGAAGTACAGCTCCTCGAATCCCGCGTGTACCACGCCCTGGGCAATCTACCCAAGGGTAGAGCGGCGCTTACTTCTGCGCGGACATCAGCTGCATCCGTGTACTGCCCACCGCTGTTGCAAGCTGGGCTGGACATGCAGTCTGGCATGCTCCACGCCGAGGACAAGGACTTCAACACTGCATTCTCGTACTTTATCGAAGCGCTCGAGGGCTACCACGCGCAAGACGAGCGGCAAAAGGCCCAAGCCGCTCTGCAGTACATGCTGCTCTGCAAAATCATGCTGAACCTCGGCGACGACGTGAACCAGATCATGACGTCGAAGCAAGCATTGCGGTACGCGGGCAAGAATCTCGAAGCTATGAAGGCCGTGGCCCGCGCCCATTCGAACCGCAGCTTGGAGGAGTACGAGCGCGCCCTGTCCGACTACCGCTACGAGCTCGGCAGCGACACTTTTATCTGCAATCACCTTCGACGACTGTACGATGCCATGCTCGAACAGAACCTCATCAAGGTCATCGAGCCCTTTAGCCGCGTCGAAATCGATCATATTGCCAAAATGGTCGGCCTCGATACCCAGCAGGTCGAACGCAAATTGTCCCAGATGATTCTCGACAAGGTCATTATCGGCGTCCTCGACCAAGGGTCCGGCTGCCTCATCATCTTTGACGAAAGCGAGCGCGACCAAGGCTACGACGCCGCGCTCGAGACGATTGAGAAGCTGAGCAATGTCGTTGACGTGCTGTACACGAACCAGGCGTCTTTGCTAGAATAAGCCTGTCCCTTCTCTTTTCGTATGTTTTCTTCTTCTAATTTCTTCGTCCTCTATTTATGATAGGGTCTGGACCGTTCGAGAGAGACTTGGTATCTTTCTCTTGTTTGAGCAAGCCATTTAAATATGATTTTCGTTTTCTCTACGTTGGCGCAAATATATGAAATGCATCATCACCATCATCATTGTCATCATCATCACGTTGTATCATAGGATACATTTTTATCACCTTTCTTCCAATGACACGATTAACATGTGCTCGATATTGATTACGACGTATTCGCATTCACAAAAACGGCTCGAAACAATGTGAACACAAGTTAATGGCGAATACTGCAAGAGCATAAAAGTCCATAGAAACGCTGATTAATATTAAGTCCAACATAAGACTCTTGCTAAACTTGAAAAAAAAAGAGGGTTGAAACCAGACATGACCGCGGGGTATTAGAAGAAGCGTGGGTATCAGGGGGGGTATTTCGTCGTGCGGGTTGTGTCCAGTAAACGTAAACGTAAAAGATTGTTGGTGGGTTGGAACCCCGTCATAGCAAAGGAAAAAAGAAAAAGTAAAGAATACAAAAGTGAGGAAGAGGAAGAAGAAGGAGAAAAGAGAAACGAGGAAGTTCTGACAAAGGCGTAAATGAAGGACGCCCAGCAGAATCAGATCCTTCAAGGTCGAGTGCAAAAAGCCTAAACAGGTAAAAAAAACTGAACCAGAAAAAAAAAGGTCCAAGTAGCAGAGTTGAATGCACAAACGAATCAAAACTAAAAGGTGCTCAACACCCCCGACGCTACTTCATGTTAATTCGTTTTTTCTTTCCCCTCTTAGCTTTTAAATAGTCTGCATCATCTGGGTGGCGACGCCACGATTGAAGCGGTCCTCGTTGGACGACGGGCTGCCAGGATGGTCTCCACTACCGGTGATGGCGCCATAAGTGCTTGGGCCTTCGCCGGCGTTTTCGGCATTGGCGAGCTGCTGCTGGACCGACTGATTGATGGCAGGCAGGAAGATGACCTTGGAGTTTGCCGTCTTGGCCATGGCCTGCATGGCCTCGAGGTAGCGGATCTGCATGGCGGGCGCAGACGAGAGAATGTCGGCAGCCTGGCGCATGAGCTTGGCGCTTTCGACCTCGGCGCGGGCGGCAATGACTTTGGATTCTCCGATACGCTTGCTCTGCGCGGCCATGGAAAGAGACTCTTGGAGCTCCGGGCTGAAGATAATGTCCTTGATCAGCATGCTTTCGACCTGCACGCCCCATCCGGACGCGACGTCTTCGATGATCTCGCCAATCGATTGGGCAATCTCTTCACGGCGCTCAATCACGTCCTGGAGCACGCGCGCGCCAACGACATGGCGCAGGGTCGTCTGCGTGCGCTCGACGAGCGCGGTGCGGATGTTGCTGATTCCAAAAGCGGCCTTGTGCGGAGACGTAATGTGGTAGTAGATGACGGAGGTCAGGTGTAGGGTCACATTGTCTTTGGTCATGCAGACTTGTTGCGGGACCTCTATTACACAGCGCGTAGTGTTAGCAATGTATATCGATTTCGAACATGCTATTGTTTGTACGCGCATGGACTCGACGCGCAAGAGTCGGCGCGCGGCGCGGCCATCGGAAAAGGATTAGGGAGAGAAAGGGAGGTAATACGCACCAACAATTTGAATCTTGACATCGACTTGAATCAGTTTCTCCGACAAGGGATTGACTTTGACCAGACCCGGGTCGACGGCTCTATGGAACCGACCAAACTTTGTGACAAGACCGACGTTGCCCTGAGAAACGGGCTTGTACGGGTTGGGACAGACGATACAGCAGGGAATGGCACCGCAGAAACCAACGCATGATCCCAGTGTATTAACTGCAGCAGTCATTAGCCAAGGGCGCTTCAAAATTTGGAAGAAGGCTTAATTGGAGGGAAGTATAACCATGAAGCGAACTTCACGGAGAGGGCAAGCAAATTTTGGATAGAGGGATTGCAAAGGCAAGTATGGAAATTCGTGGGACTCACTCATAGAACCGTACCATCCGTGAGCGCTAGCATCTTCAGTCTCTGAACGGATTGTTTGCGCATATGATGGCTGGAGGTCCTCGCGGCGCGGAGGCTGGACGGCCAGCATACCATCGCGGCCGCGCGTGGCAACGCCAGTTGGACGATATGGTTGGGCGCTGGCGGTATTGAAGCCATTTTCGGCGGGCGGCGGAGTAGCTTTGCGGGGAATATCTTGAGAGCTGTAGGTCGACATTTTTCTTTTTTTCGAAGATTATGGAGCCGTGGTTGTAATTGAGATTGTGATTGTTTTGAAAGTGGCAAAAAGGGGTTCTTTGTAAGAGCCGGGGATGCAGGCAAGCTAACTATAAGCTTAAAGGGCCTAGCAGCTTAAAAAGAGCTCGATGAAAATGAATTATTTTTTCCAACGACGATAACCTCTTGCTAATGCTTAAGCTTCTTTCGATTCTGCTGCTGATTATGATAATGCAATTTCCAAAGACAAGAGATGACCAAAGGACGAGGATGAGGAGGAAGATGGTGTCACATAAACATAAGGTCTGGCGGGGGAGGTCAGCAGTGTTTATACCTTTCCGTACTACGGTGTTTCTTGAACCCTTTACAAAGAGAAGTCGTGACGTCTTAGGGTCCCCTGGTTCATATTCTCATATTATCACACTACAAGCGCTACTTTGATCCCCCGGCGTCGGCATAATTAATCTCTCCTACCTAAGGTATTTTCTTCCATACATCTGCCGTGCCCATCACCATCTTCTAGCTCTTCGATCGAATGATGACATGGAATCTCGGTTGGTTCAGCAATGCCTCTTTACTACCTTCAATGTTCGGTCCCGTCCCCGTCGCGGCACCTCATTCGTAGATTTGTCATGGCACCTCCACCAAATCAATCATCTCAAGTGGCCCTTCCTGTCTCACGACATTTGAGGCGCAGCCTTTTGCGGGTTCATTCCGAAGATTCCTCCCACGCAGCCTTATGATTGACTTGAACTATACTGTATGAGTATAACCGAGAGGAAAGGCTGGCGATGATCTTTGCCTCCCTGTGTCTCTTGGTCGATGGAAAAGTCCCCCAGGCCCCAGGGCCCCCAAAACATTCTGCACTAGGGCTCGATTACAAAGGACCTTCCGAAATGCTAAGTACTCTTGTTAGCAAATAAGGTAGCTTCATAGTTCCGAAGGTGGAGCAATGCTGAGAATTCCGAATGAATCATCGGGATATGGAGTGTTGGAGTACTCCCTTGTCAAAGTATCCACAATCATGAGAGCATAGCAACGATGTCTAAGCAAGAAGCACCTTTCTCGTCGACGTTTGCCGAGAGCAATGAATATGATATTGGCCAACAGCAGGTACTCAGGAGGGAGAAGCGAAGATATTCGGTAGGATAGCTGTACCGAATACCCACAATTTTCTGTCATCAGAACTGTGAGAACCTTGAGGTTTGTGCGGGGAAAATGACATCTGACCCTGTCTGTAATCGGTTAGTCAAGGGGGCTATGCTCTGCTGCAACTTCGCTACGACCCTTTCCTACCAGCCATGGAGCATTTGATAGTTTCAACTGTTTATTGGTAGGAGAGCTGAAGACCGAATGAATGTCAAAATCATATTGTACGAGTACTTGTACTGTATTTTTTGACCTCATTCCCTGTATCCGCATCCATTCATCCTCCTTCCTATCTCTGTTATATTACACACATCGTAGTATGCCAAGTTCAGAGCCAAGTGCCGCCTCGTATTCTTTTATCATTTATCTAACTCCTGATACTCTTCATTGCACCCTAGGGACAACTAATTCCTGATACTCTTCCTTGGCACCCTGGGGACAGTAATCTCAAAATGAAATGATGAAGAAATGTATGCTACTGGCTTGTAAAATAAGCCCCGGCGCAGGGCTGAGTTCGTCGACATGCCTTATTGTATCTTACCCCATGTCCCCCCGTAGTTCTTTCGTGCAGTGCCACACCATGCTTGTGCACATGTCAATGCAGTGTAATCTGCTAATAACACGGCACGTTATAAGCGAGAGTCAATTGAGAGAATATCACAACTTCAGTGGCAATGGTAGGGGCATTGCCGTTTAAGCAGACTTTGAGGAAGAACCAGGATTAAATTCACAAGTTCAGCGGAAGCAATTTCGATGTTAGGCCATACAGGAAGAGAATATCAGCTTCATCTGGGTCCTCGGTCGTAGAGTTTCTCTTTCGTTGTCCCTTGGTCATTTTGGGTCTCCGACTTGACCCCGGTTGATGATTCACGCGTTGCTGGTGCAACTGCGAGGTTGTATAAGCATAGCCGGCGGTTCCTTAGCCATTTGTGAGATTTCTCAAAACAAATTCAGATTGCACCAGGCCAGAACGCGATAAAGGCAGTTCTATTTGTACATGGGCGAGTAACTATCACAAAGACGAATATTTCCTCAAACGTCCATCAAAGTCAGATTCTGTAACAACATAAATCACGAAAGTTCAGAACAAAAAAGGCGGCAAATAGACGGCAAATAGACGGATACTATTCTGGGAATAAGAAAAATTAAAAAGAAGTCAAAGGGGCGATGAAGGGTGGAGTAAATGTCAAATGGCAGTTTAACACTTGGGAGATACAGTGAAAACACAGCGCGCTCTTGAAGACAGTGCAAAGGCCAACAGAATTATCATCACATCCTTTTGTCATTTATTACCATGATAATTACCATTGACGAGGGAATGGTGACATAGTGCCGTCGTGAGAAAATAAAACGCCGGCGCCTTTGAGAACACATTTGTCGCCGTTCATTGAAAACATTTCCTCACTTCACCCATGAACGTTGCAACATCTCCCCGTAAAAATGGAAACCCGCCCCGGACGCTGGAATAGGGACAGTGCATTCTGGAGTGGCACCGTCCATGTAAAAGTCTAAGAAAAGGAAAATAACAGCCTTCAGACCCGCCTTGAAAGATTCAATAAACCCCCAACGTCAAACGACATGAACCCGAGGGAAAAGAGCCCATGAATGCCGACTTTTTAGTTGTCAAACTTGTCATTGATCTTTTCCTTGGCTTCATGGATGGTATCGTTGAAGGACTCCTTGGCAGCCTCCTTCTTAGGACCAAGGTAGCCGCTAAGCCAGTTCAGAGTCTCGGCAGTGATACGGAGGCCGGTGGAAACGGTCGCCTTGCCGGTGGTGATGATACCCTTGCCGCCGACACGCTGGTACTCATCACCGTAGGTAGAGAAGACGTACTCCTTGCCCTGACCAGCAAGCTGAACGGGAAACAAGGCGTAGTCGAAAAGAGTACCCTTAACCTTCTCGGTCTCCTCCTTGACAATAGGGAACTTTTCGTCAACCTTGGTCAAGCCGGAGTCGGCAAGCTCATCGGCCTTGGTGACATAGGGAGAAACGAATTCGTACGGCTTAGCAAGGTAAGGAAGAACTGGCTTGGCGAATTTGGCATAACCAGCATCCGCAACGTCAATGGACTTTTGGCCGTAGGGATTCGCCTTGAAGGTAGAAATACCATCAGAGACAAGCGGATAAGAGGTAAGGTGCTATAAAATTCACAAAAACGATGCCACGAGTTAGCAACAATATTTGTTTTGACCCATTGATTTCCAAGCTGGCCCTCCTAACACTGACACAACAACGACAGCGAATGATTGTTGTCATTCACGTAGAGACACATGAGATGCAAGAAAATTAAACTAACCGAGAGGAAAGCAGACGAGTGCTTCTCGCCGTTGACGGTGGGGCCGCTCATGGTGTCTTCTTCCGCGTGTGGCATGTGAGATGAAGCCTGACAAGATCGCGTAGAGCAGTCACGAGGTTAGCTTGAGAGGTGAATTGGTAAAGAGCAAGACGTGTCACGAGGCGAGGAATGCTCAGAGGATAATGGTGATTTCAAGCGATGTCGAGCTCACCGGTGACGTGAGCAGGGGGGGGGAAAACTCACTGAGACAAAAGAGCTAGCTTGATGATTGGAATGCTTGAATGATTAGATGAGAAGGACTCCGATGAAGCTCTTTACGAGAGACGAAGGCGTCGTTGAAGATGAACGAACAGCAGAGGAGAACTGGTGAAGTTTGAAGGTGAAGGAAGAAGGAAGAGAGAAGATGTTAGAAGGAGGAGAGAAAGAGGAAGAGGAGAAGGAGGAGGGCATGGGGGTGAGCCATATTCATCACGGGCGCGTCTACTTTCTCTCATTGTCTACTTCACTCTCAGTCATTCACGCAGACAAGGACAGACACAGACACACACATTCACACCCAGCTAATTGCTCTGCTGCTTGAACCAGTTACCGTGCGGCGCGCCCGGCCAGGATCAATGCCACTCAATCACGCACTCACTTGCTCACTCAGTTAACTCAATTGACATGTGAAAGTCAGGCCCTGGGCGATGTTTTGGGGCGAAAGGGAGAACCCACAGCAATTGGCGAGTGATGATTCGCCCAATGACGAGGAATGATGAATCGCACGGGTGGGCCCTTTTTGGGGGGGGAACGGCCACAACCTCCATGTTTGGCAAAGGAACGGCGATTTGCTTGACAATCTCAATGGACCAGCAGAGCGTCAGAGTGGGCCGACCGGTACGCCGAACGAGCAAAATGCTTTTTGGGGAGGGGGTCGGTCTGGTTTGAATATGACAGTCGAGCGATATGTTGAAACTAGTGAATAGTGTTCCCTCTTTGCTTTGAGTCCCTTTTGGCCGCAAAGGGAATCCCTCGTATGCGGCTGCTTTGCCTCCCAAGCGCCACATGAATTTCCGCCCGAGGGGGCCCTTCCACGTCCCAAAAGAGAAAGAGAGCGCAGAGTACGTTAGTCTCTGACGCCAACCCACAATCATCACATGCAAAATCATCGTAGAGACCTTTGCCTAGAGATGTAATTTCTCCACGGACCTGGGCTGCTTTCCACGAGATGGTAGCTTTCAGTGATGATGATGATAGTATTCTCTCCAAAATCAAGAGTAGAAATGGGACGAACTCCTGCACGAGATGGAAATCTGCGTTTGGCCGTACATCTGTACACTTTATCATTATGACAAAATTACGAATTCCCGATAAAATGTGATGTGGCCGGGGGTTGGGCTGAGGCGTCATCCGCCTCAACGCCTCAGGGTACCTCTCGCACCGCAAATATTGATAGGAGTACCCGGAATCCGTTCGCAAAGTACCTTTCAAGCCAAATTAGAAGTTGAGGTAACCTTTGAGAAAAAGTGTAGATACTAAACAAGCTTTGCCTCACTGCAACGTCCCTCTACAAGTACTCCGATAGCTCTGTCAACGCCCGAGGGCCTAAGTCATTAAAGTACCTTAATTAGCGAGCTGCATCAGAGCGACAAAACAATTATCGTTGACCACGGACCTTCCTCTCCTTCTATTACCTGATGGATCTTAGGTGCACCCGTAGGTATTGTACATCTTGTTTACAGCTGCGATAAGAGAAATCCTGTTTCTGATTCACATACATATCACCTATCGCTTTCTATCCCACCCTCCCCAATAATGGATAATAACATGAACATAGCAATTGACTTTTTCCCATTTTCCTTTGCGTCTTTCAATTTAGAGTTTTGGCAAGATCCAGACCTCACTCGTCCCTTTATCCATCTACATCTGCCTTTTCTTTACCGCCTTTCCTTCCAGCTCATTATTCCCCACATTCAACCCTTTTCTTATAGTGGTGTAGTAGAGTAGTAAACGGGCACCCAGCATCCATGAACGCGTTCAGGCAACAGCACCCGCACCCACGCCGCCTTCGGGGGAACTTCGCGCCACGTACTCCTCCGAAAAGCTAATCTGACTAACTTTCCTCTTTTTCCCCCCTTTCGTCTGCCTCAACGTGTGTCTGCCACATGGGGGCCGCTGCGGAAGCATGTCCGGATTCCCGCCACAGCCATAATTGTGTGTCCTTGCTTACTGTAGTCCTGGTGCCCTGTCTCTGATATCATCCGTAACGGCTAGTCCTGGGCGCTGCGAAACCCTGCCAATTGTCAAACGTTGCAGATCAACCTAAGCTAGGTATATCCTGCCCATATGCTCCGTACTTGCTCAATGCATATGCAACGTTTTCGTTTCCTATCCCCAAAGTTGCTTCGTGTTCTTTTTTTCCCCAGTTCCCATCGATTCCTCATAGTACCGCGCATGAGTCGTGGCTCTTTTTGACTTTTTCTCATGGTCTTCGCTATTGCTGGCCTTTTGGTAATCCCATTGCACCACTCCCACATGCTGTTCCTTTTACTGTTCACTCACCTACGGTATGTCACACATGTTGATCGGTTACTTTTCTGCTCTTTTACTCCCTCCCGCACGTGCTGTTTTTAAATTCCCTTACTCTTTGCTTGTATTGCACGTGTTGTTTCTATTCCTTCTTGCTCTACCCCACGCCACATGCACCAAACATATGATGCCGATCATGGAAGATCCTTTGGTACTGCTTATGACCACTCTATCTCTCAGAGTACTACGATATGAACGTGCAGGGCACTTTACGTTGTTGGCGAGCCATAACGTAACCCAAAACAGCGGTTCAAGTTCATCTGGCGAAAAGCATGTGAAAACTGCCTTCCCAATTAGGTACTCAGGTTGCCAGTCAACAGCGCAGTGTCGCACAAGTACTGTGGTAACTCTGTACTGTACCTGGTTTTCATCGTCTAATCCCCTGAACCCTGACAAGCAAGGTTCCGACACTGCGGCATTGGCGCAGCCGGAAATGACGATTTTCGCGGCCGAAAAGGATAATTCCCAACATGACATAAACACCTGCCTGCCATGGTATGAAGTAGACCTCCCCAGAGTGTGGAACCTTCCTTTTCTCGATACAAACAATGCGACAGTCACAAGGGAATAATAAATGACGACTGAGGCAGATAGTACAATATGATATTAGCCAGTCAACGAAAGACTTAATACTATAGTACCTCATGTTAAAATTACAGCAAAACGCTTTGACAATCATTGATGATGACGCAATGTTCAAATGGCGAGAACGCTTAGTCAAATTATGATCACAGGGCATTATACTAATGACAACTACAAATCTAAAGCAAGTAAAAACAAAGAAGGAAAAAAAAAAATACAAAACAACTAAAAGCTATAATCCAATCTCGTGTTCGTGACCAGGGCATGGGCATCATGCATCGTGAAAGAAAAAAAAATGGCAGTGTAAAGTGAAAAAGGGAGTGACATTGCGCAAATGCAGCGCGCGCAAGGGATATAAAGCAAGAAAAGAAACAAGAAAAACAAAAAAAAAAATGACACAAGCTCGTTCATTACAAGCCGTGATGAAGTCGATACACATCAAAATGAAAAGAAAACAAGAATTAGCAAATTCATCCAAAGTAGTCACCATCTGTACCACTTGCACTCAATGCAGCCGTGGGGAGCTCTGAACCGATACCACTATCGCTCGGAGCCCCAAAAAGAACCATTTTTCCTCCTTCTTCATGGGATACTTCATTGTTCGCAGGCTCCTCATCCAGTACAGCGCCAGCGCCCAGGGTGCTTCCACTGCTAGATCTGCGATCGGCTGTCGATAGGTTTTCATGATCCAGAACGCTCTCTGTGCCAGCGCGAGATGCAACCTCAGAATCATATGTAACATGGCTTGCAGAATCCGAAACAAAGCTCATTGATCGCTCAGTCTCACCAGCGCGCGACGTCAAGTCAGAGTGATCCGCGAGGCTACTTTCTGTAGCGGCATAGCTGACGCTTCTGTTCGATATTGGACGAGGGGTTGCCTCGCTACCATATGCCAAGCTGCTGTCTGCCACTGAACTCGCTCCATAGCTCGTTCTTCGACATTCTGTCCCGGCATCGCTGAGCTCCCCATCATCTTCCGCATCACCTTCATGAAGAATCTCATTCTCTTTGTTGGCGGTCTCTAGGCGATTGCGACCACTTCCCCAAGATTCTTTACGAAGATAAGTTGATCTAACACTGTGACTGCGCTTGAGGTTGTTCAGGCCTTTTTCAATCGGGCCCGGCATGGCAGAAAGTGCCTTTCTTCCCGTTGGAACATTGTTCGTAATTTGATTCAGCGAAAGAATCCGACGCCCTGCGGGATCCGGTGCGCCTCCATTTCGCTGCGTAGGCGCACGCGATTTGAGAGCCATTCCGAGACCTTGACTTGCCGTCTTTCTTGAAGCAGGACCTGTACTCTCCCTAGGGCCTTGAGACTTGGTGCTCGCAACGCGCTTGAGGTTCATATTGGCAGGGTTTTTCGAAGGTCTGGAAACAAGCAAGGCTCGTGAATGGTCAATCACCCCTTCAAGGATGCGGCGTTCAAGCACCTCGGCCCGGACCTCCATTGCCGCAAGCTCCTCGCGCCGTATGGCGAGAGCAGTTTCAAGCGACGACACCTCAGCGTGCAGTCGAAGCTTTTGTGCTCCAAGCCCGTCTTTTTCAACCCGAAGCTCATTAACCTCTGCACGCAGCTGTTCCTTCTCCCCAGCAAGTCCAGTTATTTCAGCATCGACTTGCTGCTTTTCCGAAAGGCTCCTTTCAAGAGCCTTAGCAGCTTCCTTCGCTTCCTGCGCCTTGTTCTCCTGATCTTCTGTAATCAGTCTCGTTTGTGATGCGATGAAAGCAGAGACTTCAGCAGCGGTGGCCAGGACTTGTTGATGAACTTGCCCAAGCACTTCCATCTGCGCGATTGACTTGTTGGCAGCGCTTGCATAAGCGATCAGGTTGTCTAGTTTACCCTGAACTTGACTGTCGTCGTATTTTTCTGGGACATCCTGTATCATGGGAGGTTTGTTTCGCTCCTCTTCGGCCAATTTTTGTGAGTGACCATAATGCTGACCGACAAGAGATAGCACTTCCTTGATACTGTCAAGCACTTTTGGATTATGGTCAGTGATATCTCCTCTTACACCGCTGATAGCTTCCATGACTTTGATCACCTCCGCGCGAGTCTGCTCATGCTCCATTTTGGAGTCAGCGTGAGTTTCCTGCAGCTTCTCAAATGTGTTGTCCACCCTAGTGAAGACAGTCTTTGAATCATCACCCATTCGATCGGCTGCAGTGGTGATGGTACTTCCGAGAGTTTCAACCACGGATTTGAGCTCGTCCGTTGCGATTTTGCTGTCGGTCATGAGTTGCTCCTGTTTGAAGACCCTTTCATCTGCCGATTTGGCCCTGTCTTCCGCCCCCACTTGAGAGTCGTCATACCGTGCCATCAGCTCTTCGAATTTCTGGTCCAACTTCTGGCTAAGCTCTGTGATGACCTGTCCACTCTTTTCGTCATGCTTAGCCAAGAATGTCGCATCTCTCTCATCAGCGTCAAGCTTCAAAGATTCAATTCCGCCATGCGCACGTTCGAATTCTCGATTGACTGTTTCCATGAGCTCCTTGATCTCATCTGTAACATTTGAGCTGGAAATAGCTGCGTCAATGCCTTCGATCACTTTTCCAATTGACTCCACATTTTGGCTTCCGTCCTCTAGCTTAGACTTGAGATCCTCCTTCCATTCCTCGAGAAAACCCTTGACCTCACCAACATTTTGCAGTAATGTCTCACTGTCGAGCTTGGACTCATCAAGCGCTTGAGCAGTTTGCTTAGAATCTGCCTCAAGCTTTTCCTTGAGCTCAGTGATGAATCCTCCAAGCTCTTCGATCTCGGATTTAGTCGGAAGGCTTTCTGGGTCTGGGGACGGAGTTTGCTCGATTTTCTCCTTAATTTCCAAGCAGATGGCGCCCACTGCGTCGAGATCAGTCTTGGTCAAATTTTCGCCTTCGTTTTCCGAGTTCACTTTTTCTTTGATATCATCGAGGCCAGATTTCATCTCGGAGACAAGTGCGCCCAAGGTGGAAAATTCCTCCTTATTGGCAATATTTGAATCCACGTGCATTCTAAAGTTTTCAATGGCGTCCTTGGTATCCTGAACAAGAGCCTCTACGGCGTCGACTTGGTCTTTCGTAACGCTCGTATCTGGATCGGGCAGGGCCATGCCATCAAATTTTCCCTTCAATTCTGAGAGCAAAGTGCCAATAGCATCTGTGTCTTCCTTTTTGGCTTCGGTCTTCTCGCGCTCTGATAAAAGGGTAACTTCGTCCTGCACATTCTTGAGCAAAGTCTCGAGTTCGCTGAGATCCGCCTTTGCCAGCACACCATTCTGCATGTTCCTTAAGATATCTTCGATCCCAGCTATGTCTTCTTTCAATAAAGATCCTTCAGCCGGCTGAGTGGGACCTGTGGAAGCTGCTGCTTGAGTCGTCTCGTCGAGCGCCTCCACTTTTATACGTAGCTGGGTTATCAGAACCTCAAGGTGCTCAATATCGTTCCGCTTCAAGCTGTCTGCTACGACCACTTCACGTCCGCTCGCTTCATCGTTGTCATCGTTCTTCTCCGACTGGAGCCTTTCGAATTCTGCTTTGACGTTTGCCAAGCCATCCTTGAGTGTATCAAGTATCTCGTAGGAGATAGTCATGTCGATCGGCTTATTTGACGCTCTTTCAAATTCTTCGCGGATACTGCCAAGCTCGCTCTGCACAGCTTCCAGAACTTCGTTGTTGTTAGAAATTTCGGGGCCGTTCAACTTTTCGATGTCACCACGGAGGCTTTCGAGACCTTCACGGAAGGAGCTGATTACCCGCTCGCTATCTGGAGAAGATCCAGTGGAAACTAGGCTCGATCCAAACGCCTCTCGAAGAGATTCAAATTCATCTTTGACCAGATTAACAAAAACATCCAACTGCTGCCCGTTTTCGTTTCTTGTAATCTCTGAGCGAAGACCGTCAACTGTTTCCGTGATGGCATCAATGATTTCGTTCTTATCTGCGGCGCTATTTCCATGCACCATCGACGTTGATAAGGTCTCTCTTAGGTGTTCAAACTCTTCTCGAACGTTCTCTAGAAGTTGTTCATGATGGCTGGCATCGCGATCGCCGGGCACTTCTTTGCTCAAGCCATTTATGGCGTCCGTAACAGCAGAGATAATCTCGTCCTTGTCGTCACTGCCGCCGCTTCGGACGATGGCTGTAGAGAGTGTGGCTCTAATGTGTTCGAATTCTTCCTTTATGGAGCTGAGGATGCCGTCTTCGGCCTTGGTATGCCCCGCCTCTGTGATATCTTTGCGGAGGCTCTCGATTGCCCCGGCGACTGTATCGATGATTTCATCCTTGTCCGCAGCGCCGCTGCCATGAACAAGGGTTGACGCAAGAGTTTCTCTGATGTGTTCAAATTCGTCTTTCACAGCATCGAGGACATCTCTCTCTTGGGTACTCTCCACTAGCTCCCCAAACTTTGCATGAAGTTCAGCAAGACCAGTTTTCAAGGTGCTCAGAACTTCCGAACTGTCGCTATCCGACGCTCCGGGGGTAAGGGCTGTGGAAAATGAATCCCGCAACGCTTCAAATTCCCCCCTGAGCGCCTCCAAAATCTCCTCATTGCTCTGACCCTCGGCTTTTGGTAGCCCCTCGCGAAGCCCTTCAAGACCTTCTTTTACAGTCTCCAGCATTTCTTCTCTATCCATAGGACGACCTGCCCGAAGAGCGGTTTCTGCAATGCTCTGACGAAGTTGTTCAAACTCCTCCTTCATCAATTCGCCCATCTCCGGGCTCGTGGAGGAGTCATCACGAATTGCGTTACTAACGTAACCTTCAACGTCCGCTCTTAGGAGCTCGAGTCCGTCCTTCATGGTCTCAATAATCTCATCTTTACCAGTAACGTCAGAAGCCCTATCCACATAGCATTCAATTTCCGTGCGGAGGCTCTCGAGTCCGTCTTTAACAGCATCGAGGACTTGTTCGGTATCCCTGCCATTGGCCGCGGAATATTGCTTGAATTCGGCCTTCATCCCTTCAAAGACTTCGTGAAGCTTTTCCAGAATTTGCTCGCCATTCTTCCCAAGAGGCACTGAAGAATTATCGAGTCCAGACCTTATGGCCTCCATAAGATCTTGCCGATTGATCTCAAGCTCTTTAATGGCTCCTGTACCATGCATCGCCATTCCTTCTCGTACAGAGTCCAATATTTCGCTCCTCGTAATTTCAGGCGGAGATTGTGACGGAAACCCAAACCGCTCAAGTGAATCGGTGACGGCGGCTAAAATTTCGTCCCTAGTCACGGATGTATTTGGAATTTGGGGGGGAGAGAACTCTTTGAGACCTTCTCTGACAGCATCCAAGACCTCCTCCTTGGTAATCCCATTTTCGTCCGTTGCTGGTTTGTATTCGTCCAAGCCTTCCTTCAAGCACTGTAGGATTTCGTCTCGTTCAAGTCCGAAATTCTGCAATTCGATTTCTGGTTTATAATTCTCCCACACATCGCGAACCGCATCCAGAACATCTTCCTTAGCGAGTGCGGTTCCTGAAGTAGGAAGCTGACCTTGTTGAAGCAATGGAAATTCGCTGAGTGCATTTTTCACAACGTCGTAGATTCTCTCGTCGTCAGGAATGCCCTGTGCAGTTTCCAAAGCTGACGCCCGTTCCTGGAGAGAGCGGTTTATTTGATGCTTGAGCTCTTCCAAAGAATCCTGCACGATTTCCCTCAGCTCATTTTGCTCGTTAACACCTTCATCGCTTGAGATGCGTAACGCTTGCGAAGTCTGTGTTTCCTCCAATTTACGTCCAATCTCTCGGCCCATGCCCAAGACCTCTCCGCGAAGCTCCCGAACGAGTGCTTTGACTTCGGCTGTCAGTCCCCCATTCTCAGTCACACTATCTTTGAGCCTTCGTAGAAGTTGAAGGACATCGTCACCGAGCCATTCCGGTGTGCCAGAGTTCGAATGCGCTGCTCTGCTATTCTCTTCCGTTCTTGCAGAACTAGGGAAGTGGCCTGCAATTAGATCCTTTGAAAAACGAGTCAATGCCCCAGGCTCTGAATCTCCATTTCCCATTACGCTTTTGCCGGGTTGTCCTGGGCCACCCTTGCCATCTTCTATTCCAGGTGTCTGTGAAGTGATGCTCAGATGACACCTAACGGCGTCAACCATCTCTTCAATTTTTTTGGAAGCCTCGGAGCTGTCGTTACTCATCTTGCCAAGGGTATCAGTGAGCAAAGAAAGCAATTGTTCTTGGCCCTCCTTCGTTCCCATTTCTCGCAAAATCTTCTCTAACAAAGCCAAGTTCGCTGCTCCATCCATAGCGTAAGGAGATGGACTGTTTGCCAATTCTCTCTCAATTGTCGCTGTAAAGCTGTTGGGGCTTGGTATCCGTGGTAAAGAGAAAGAGGTTTTTGTAGAAGATGGGGAAGTATGTGGTTTGCTGTCTAGTAGAAAAGAGCCACGGCTTTCTCGAGATGCACTAGCTGCTGCGTCATCCGGACGCCGCATCATATGCGGTCCCAGACCAGCAACAAGGTCTCGGAGACAACGACGTATATCTTCATCTCGCATATTGGTAGCTTCTTTGAGGCTGATCAGATCCGTTGCATTGTCTTTGCTCCGGCGACTCAATTGATTCAATTCGCGTTGGAGGTTCGTGGCAATGGTGGTCAAGCTCAGAATTTGATTTGAAAGCGCATCAAACGTTTGTGGCATTTTTGTAGGCGAAGGTAAATTGCTCAAGCTGGATAGCGGAGCATCCAAATCTGGAGCGCTGGCCATTGTTTGGAGGGCAAGCATAGTTGCTGAAGGAGGTGTGTTCTCTCCGAAAATACCCTTTGGGGCTTGTCTAGCAGATGACCGTGGAGTGGAAGTATCCTGATACCCAGAAGTAGGTGTTTCCGGTCGGTGGGGGCTCTTCTCAGGAGATTTATGACCAAATCCTTTATCAGAATCCTTTTCGAAGGTGGGAGTTCTAGAACGCGGAGCTCCCTTTTCGGGAGACCGGTCCCTCGAGTAGAGTCCAGCATCAAGCTGATTCCTTATGTCTCTGACGTTGCCTGTCGGTATGGACTGCAACCGCCGATGATGCGGTCCTTTGATTAATGACCTCTCAGGAGAATGGCTGGGCATGGGGTTAGTTGTGTAAGGACTAGCGCTCTCTCGAGCTTTTTCACTCAACGCTGCTGCCGCTGCAGCAACGGTGGATGAAGTATTGGAGCGAGTAGTTATTCCTGGAGAGCCGGGATTAAGCGGCAACGGTGGTGGAGCACGTTCCGGGTCAGAACTGTCCCACCTATTGTGTAAACATTAGTATGTCAACCGTAAAAGACAGATTGATAAAGTTATTCATAGCAAAGTGGAGACAATAAAGAGATGTCTTTGCAAAAAAGCTAGAAAGAAGAAACATCTAAACAGCCATTTGGAACAACAACACATACATTGGTATCCCGCTTCGACTAATATCAGAAGTGGAATGTCTCTGCATGAGCTCGCGGTCGCGCGAGGCTTCCCTGTCAAAAGCTGGCATATTCGCACACCCCTTTGGGCTCACGAAGATACAGTCAGGTGGTTGTCAGGAGGACGTGGAATGTTTACAAAGAATGCTGTTTCAAACTGATGCGACGAGCATAGTCAAGATAGGGTATACAACGATAGGAAGAGTGCAGACATGCAAATTCGACGGTAGTTCCGCAATCAAAGCGTTAAGAAACAATTGCAGAAATTTCGGGGAGGAAATTGATTGAGGTGTGAGTTGTCATGTATGGTGGTAGAAGAGAATCCACCTGTCGTGGCATTGTTTACATCTGCGACCCCGGCCCAAAACATGTCGGGGGAGCTCTCAACGCTACAAAGTACCCGGGCATAGTTCCTGCCATATCGGGCGACCGTACGGCGGTTCACTTGATTAGAGCAGAAGTCGGTGAGATGAAAAGGGAAAGGCGCAATCGGATAAGCTATTCACCCGATGCAGAAGTATAAGCGAGTCCGAGGGCTCGGGCAATATCAGCCCTGAAATTCACACAATTCAAGCGAGTACCTCGAATTTCGCATTCGTGGACAACGGCGACGACGACGACAACGAGACGACATCTCACCCCGGATCTCCAGCAACGATGAAGTGTGAGTTCAGGAAATCGGCCGTTCGGAATGAAGCGACAATAATGTTGACGGTTTTATCAAATAGTCCTCAAGACTGGCCGTGTGGCCATCGTCACCCGGGGCCGGTACGCCGGTAAGAAGGTACGAACGATACGCTGTGGTGCCCTTTCCATTCGCCCAAGATTATTCGCGCGCACACTCGACAATATAGCTTGAGGAAGGAACGTTTGAAAAATGATGGAGATGTTGACGTTGGGATTCAGGTTGTGATCATTCAGCCTCTGGACACTGGCTCCAAGTCGCACCCTTTCGCGCACGCTCTCGTTGCCGGCATTGAGCGCTACCCCTCCCAGATCACCCGCCGCATGTCGAAGGCCCGACAGACCAAGCGCAGCAAGGTCAAGCCTTTCATCAAGGTCGTCAACTACAACCACCTCATGCCCACCCGGTACACTCTGGAACTTGAGGGTCTTAAGGGTGTTGTCTCTGGCGACACTTTCAAGGAGGTCTCGCAGCGGGAGGACGCCAAGAAGACGGTGAAGAAGGCTCTCGAGGAGAGATACACCAGCGGCAAGAACCGGTGGTTCTTCACCCCTCTGAGTACGTTTTCAGTTGCCATGGTCTATCTATGATTCGGGAGTTTTCGCTAACTGTGCCACAGGATTTTAAGCATATTTTTTTAATGGATGCATCTGCGGGTGGGACGTTGCGCTTAGCGCTACCGTTGAACTCATCGGAGCTATAGTGCAATGAAAAATACCGTTTAAGGACGAAGTTTCCAAATTCCAGATGATAGTGTGGTTTGATATCGATATTGTGCTTTGTGATATTACCCGGATAATGCATTGTACTACTATTTGGTGTTGCCCTTTTCCCGTCTATCGCCTCAGTTGAAATATCAATCTCCATCACCCGAGCCGTTCGCCATGTTACGCTTCAACGAAACAATACTTCTGGAGGTTCATGCTAGGAAAAACCTCGGACGTCAACGGACATTTACACGATCAATCTTGTCCTTGGTTTTCTTTCGCAGACGGCATGCTTTGTCGCTTTCCATTGATTGGACGACGCAAGTCTTTAAACATCGGAAATCTGGCGCTTCGTTTCGTTTGTTTCGAGCTATCGAAAAGTTGGACATCGCATAATAGCCTTTGATATTTTATCGCAATAGGAACTTCGAGGCATCCATTGAAACAAAACAGCTCTCTGAATTATTGATCGAGTTTTCCCCTGGAGGTCGGCAACCCTACGCGGTCTAAAATGGTTTGAATTTAGCAGACTGAACATTCGACCTCGTTACTCGCAATCGCAATACGACAAGGAACTGAATTGGTTTCCAATATCCCGCCCTGTTTGTCAGTCTCTGCAACCATACGAGAAATGAATCTTTGGCTTTAAATAGGGGCCATTTGAGGGAACCCCAATCGTACGTGACTTGAGACAATCAGGTCCAAGGAAATTTTCGCTGATCGATACATCTGTGGTATATCTCAAAAATTGATTTCTGTTACCTATTCAGAGTTTCGACAAACACTTAATTCTGCCTTAAGCACGACTTCAAGCTTTTGCCTCAATCCGGTGGCTGGCGTGCACGTGACTGGATATCCGATTTTTGCCGACAACTTCCCTTTGCATGCCTCGTACGACCGAGCAATGGCCGTGATCTGGCCACAGCCAAGTCCTTTGATTTGATTGGCTCGATTACTGCGAATCAGTCAGCCTGGTCGGACGGGAGACGAATAAGCACGAAAACCCGAGTTGGGCGACTCGTTGATCATGTTTCCCCACCGACTTAGACCCTTTTTAGTTCAGGGCAACTCCTCCTCCCCACAACGACCTACACTCATTCAGCCATGGTTCATCCGCTCACTCATGATCCGAGCAGCCAATGATGAATTGTTTGTCTACCACTTACGTATACCATTCTTACCCACTTTAACGCCAGATCGGCCACCACAAATGCAGAGCCGACAAAAAAGGGAAAGAGGCTCATGAAAGCCACGGATAAGGCCAAGCAAAAGCCTCCAAAACCCGTGACCAGCTAGGCCATACATGGCATAGGTTTCTCCAGGCACGGCTACTGATAGGACAATCTAGAGAACGTACCTCGCCTCTTCTCGCAGTAGCACCCGCATTACGCTTCCAACCCCCCTACCGCTCGCGTTTCTCATTGCCCCGGCCACTGAGGATCCGTCGCAGCTTGCAACTTTACATTCTACCTTAGAACTTCCGTCTTCCGGTCCGCAGTTCTGACCTTTCTCAATTCTCTCTCTTCTTTGACTTTGACCCTTTTTACTCACTCCTCTTCCTCTTCCTCCTCACTCCTCCTGCAAAACTCCTTTCCTCTCTCCTTCCTACGCTCATCGTGGTCAAACATACCCATCTTCCCGAAGAGTCGTCTTCTTCCGCTTGGAAGTCTTTCTTATCGTTTTGACCACTGCAGTCTTCTATCCTTTGTATTACCATTGAGTCTATTCTGGCTCTGGCCGCAGCAAGTTCTCCTTTTTTAAGTCTTTTTATATTATTGACATGGGTCCCATGAATATGAGCTACCACTCAACTTCACCTGTCCTCCTTTTGCGGCCGCAACAGCCCTCATCATTTCATTTCTCCAGCTCAATGACCCCTTCGGCGCATTCTAGTTTTACCAGCCCGTCCTCATTCAACTCATCTTCGCCCTTTCAATCCTGCGCCAGGAAGTCTCCAAAGACGCTGGCAACTTTACCCAATAAGCCATCTCGGAAGCGTTCCCGCGATGAGGCGCTTTCACCAACGGACGCGGCAGAAGACGCGTCGTATTTTAGTCACTTTCCAGCTCCTTTGCCCCGCAAAGACCTGCCGCTCTACGGTGGGGCAATGACTCCTCTCAATCCGTCAAGTGGTTTCTCCAGCTCTGCCGTCTCTGCAACCTGGGTCGAGCCGAATGCTGAGGGAAATGCTGCAACTCCCGCTGCCGCTCAAGCAGACTCCGTGTCGAGCACACGAAGGAAAGCTCAACGCTTGGACATCACAGCTTCACGGCCAGAGGATGTCTCCGACGGTGCCGTTGGTGCGTCGAACGCTCCCTCATCAAACGGTGGAATTAGCGATCCCGCCGTCGATGATTTCACGCGACTTCTAGGCGTTGGCTGGACACGGCTCAGTAATGACGACGGCGTGCAAGCGGCTGCTCGTGGATGGGCAAGATATATTGAGAATCACTTCCCAGTCTCCAATGCGTCTATCATGCTACAAAGCCGGGGTCTTGGCGCCTATCTTGTTGGTTCTCAGCAAGGTTTTTACCTCTTCCACGAAGAACTCGCGGACGGTCAACTCGTTGCCACGGCTTGGGATCAAACCCTCGCTAATCTTCAAGCGCGGCCTATTGTATTCGAAGGGTCCGAAGTATTGAAAGCTACTCGAACTCCGGCTATTGAGGCGGCCATGGACAATTCCGCCGCTGCCACCACATCGTCCACACCTATCGCTGGAAATGCCCAACCTGCTGCAGCGTCCTCCATGGACCTGGACTAAAGGCCTCGACGTAGTTATTTTCGCTTTTTTTGACCGGAGTTAATCTCATTTGATAGCTATTTCTGGGAAGTACTCCGACACACTAACTGGAAAACACGCTATTTCCCGTGCCTACACAACGATGACATCAGCTAGCGCGAAAATATGCCTGGCGCAATGCTTTTATCTTCCCGCAAAATTCCAACTACTGTACTTTTATTCCGGAGTATTGCTTTGTTCTGATTACAGTTTGATATTTTTCTGATCGCTTTCCGTGATTGCGCTCTTTGACGGTTTTTTTTTTTTTTTCTATTCTCAATTTGATATTGTTTTGGGGATTTCTTGATCGTCCAATTTAGGCGTCTTGGGCCTTAGCACACTCGGTCATGATCTTTCACGTTGTGGAAAGGAGTGGTGGTATATTTTGGACATGGTAGGAATGGATTGGACTGGATTGGAATGAAATTGCAGTTCAGAGTTGGGTTACATTCAATTCCTTGCTCCAGGAATAGGTGGCCTGGTTCGCCTTTATCTTTGAGGAGTTACGTTTTGGATCGAGTTGATTTGCATTTCTCTTTTTTTCATCTCGGCTGCCGGAGCCGCTGTAGGATTTCTCTCATGGATCTTGAGTTTCAACCCGTATATCAAAACTTAGTAAAACAATAAAAGTAATGAACTATTTGAATTGAAACAATTATTAAATTATCAAGCACCCTGCATTTATTGAGCGGTCCAGTCAAGAAGCGTAGACTGAATGGTTTTTACTCCGTATGTCGCGATACTTCAATCCGATGACAGTGCTCACGTGATTTGGCGCGCCTTCGTCGCACCACAAGTAGGGAAGCAAACAGCTGCTGCCCATACCGGAGTATGGCAGGATACTTCTGGGAAATGTGTCACGATAACGAATATTATTCATGGCGATCAATTATTCTACATTCATTAAGCATGGAGCGCATAGAATGATAAATGGATGTTTGATTGATGCCATGTATCATACCCGCTGCTTGCTAGCAGCCTGCAAAACGACGTTCCACTTCGCAATATGTAAGTACACCTAATGCTCCTACTATAGAAGAGAAGCCAAGCAAGTTCCAAGGAGTGTACTAATAGAAACAAAGGCGATAAACAAATATTCTCGATGGGCTCTCCTGCTAAAAGGAAATAAAAAGAGAAACCCTGTCAATTTACTTCAAAGAATTGTGCGAGAAAGAAAAATGCATGGCTTCAGGAAGAATCAACAAAAGAATACAAGATGAAAGAGTCTGTCAGCCAAGGACGAAAAACTCAACGTGATCTCAGAATGAAGATCCATGTCTGCAAAATTACCTATCCAATCAACACCTCTGCCATTGCTGGAAAGGCATCATCCTATTGTGAAAACCAACTCCGGGGTTGAAAGTATTGGGGTAGCCGGATTGCTGAAGAGGCCACACTGGAGCATGCGACATACCCATGGCGCTGGTGTTCGACTGATGAGGCTGAAATTGCCGACCAGTCTCCCAGCTCTGACCGTTCGCAGCTGCCGGGCTGTCTGAATGGAGATCAGATCGCTTGGCTTTACGATATCTCCTATTGCGGCTGTTGCATGGTTGTTGGATTTCGACCCGTGGAGGCTGCGTGGCTGCATGGCTCACGTCGTGTGCGTTCAAATTCTGGTGCTGCATGCTACTACTCGGCTTATGCGGCCCATTAAACTCCTGTTGATTTCCGCTGCCAACTGTCACAGGTGGTTGGATTATACCTTGCTGATACCCGCGGTTCACCTCCTGAGGAGGGAAATTCAAATTATGCTGATATCCAGTGTACATCGGCATAGGAGGGTAGTTGATATTTTGATGAAAGCCGCTACTCATCGGCATAGGAGGAAAATTGGTATGCTGTTGGTACCCACCATTGAAAGGAATTGGTGGAGGCGGCCAAACCGGAAATGGAGCGACAGGGTAATTAAATCCTCTGAAAGGCATTTGATTCGGCATCAAGGGCCAAACCGGGGCCGCTATCGGAGTACCCGGCGGAGTAGGAATCGGAATATGAGGTAAATATGTACCAAAACGTGGTGGCACAGGCGGAAAACCAATAGGTGAGAATTGAGTTGGCATGCGCCCAACGAACGATTGATCGATTTGAGAAGGAAGGTATGCATGTCCCATTTGGTGAGGGAATGGGGGCGCGATGAGTGGCTGGAAGCTGGAGGGGGGAGTAGGTGGAAAGAAGTTGGGTCGCGGATGCATTTGACAACCGTTAACCTCTCCCGGTTTTTGTTGAGAAGGAATGAATGGTCTTGCCTCTGGATTATGGCATGGTTTCCCGGCCTCGTCGTTTCCAAGGTCGATCTTTCTTTTTGAATCAGCCAGTCTGGCGATAAGATTCTCAAAAGTTGGGGATGTCGTGCTGGCATCAGTTGTACTCTGGTTTTCAGCGCACCACTTATCCGAGGATCCTTCAGGTGATGTAAGTTCAGCATATATTATTGCCGGATCGGCGGCCAGCCGTGCAGTGGGCGAAGTTGTCATAGTGATTTCGGGCTGAATGAGCTGTGCGGATTGAACGGATGGAGTGGAATTTCCGCTTCCTTCTTGAACAAGACAAATCTCTGGCTTCGCCGACTCTCTTTTCTCAATGTTTTCAAAAGGGGGTGAGGATTCATCAATCTCAGCAACCTTTCCCACTGGCGAAATCGAGTCGGCAGTAATTGCGAGATCAGCCATGTCGCGGCTCTTCTTGATATCGGTCTCATCCATGCCAGACATGCGAGGAGGTACACTTAGGCTTCTGAAGTGGAAACGTTTTTCATGCCGGGGCCATCGGCGTGTTTCCTTTGAGACGTCCACTTCCTCAAGGGGAATCTGTATGTCACCTCGATTTGACAATAGGCGTTCAAATTTAGAGAGCGGACAGAAGGAACGCGGGACACTGCTCGCACGCCCCTTTCCCACGTGTCTTTGCTTGTCAGGAATTTTCGAATCCTTGTCTCTCTTCTCGGACAGCTCTTTGGTTTGACCCCGTGTCGCAGCGCCCTCTGAATAGCTCTCGGCGGAAATGTGGCTTTGAGATTCAAGAGTTTTGATGCAGTCACCTGCTTGATTATTGTCGGATGTGGTATGGACGTCGATATGTTCACCATCATCGGTTTCGATTTTCGAAAGATCATTTTCTTTCTCTGCTGGTCATCATCAGTAGACATGATTGAAGTGATGTAAGGTGGAAGACATACCTGGAATGAAAACAGATGCCTCAGCAATTTTACCGTTTTCAGAGATATGGGATTGCTCCTGAACAGAAACTTCTTCGACAGGTTTCTCGCCCAGGGCGTTTTCGACGTCACTGCCAGACGCGTCTTCATCTGTTTGCAAAGGGGTGGAAGTGTCTGACGATGTTTCCGTTTTATGAGTCGATTTCTCGATGGCCTGAAGAACTGTCTCAGCCTCCTGGGTTTCTGAACCCTGAGGTGCCGATTTCAATTCATTGGTGTCGGTCAGGGCGTGGTTTCCTACGGAAGCCTGACTATCGATAGAAACAGTGGGAAGGTGAGTGATTTTGGTATCTTCAGTTTCGGTGGAGTTGCTCTTCTTTTTAGGCTTTCGCTTTTTCTGCGAACGCTTCTTCTTCTTGTAATCACTATTCCCACCGGGCAGTTGTCCCAGGGGAGCTCTTGGGTCGATGCTTTTAGCCAACTCTCCAGCTGCCACGCTCACCTGCGATGGGTGGGTGCGGAGCATGTTTTCTTTCTTTGTTGTGTTCGAAGTCATCACGACGTTGCTCTTAAAGAATCTGGATGGAAGGTGCTTGGAAAGCGAGGTGAACAGACGGAAAATCCAGTCAATAATGAGCATCAGACGTGGGTGATGATGATGATGATGGAGGGGAGTATGAGGAAAGGTGTTTGATAAACAATCACGGCTTAGACGCGTCTTGAGCGTTGAGAACGAGGAAAGGGAATACGGAAGGCACAACCCTTGTGGTTGCCAAAACAAGACTGGCGGTTGCTAAGACATTTGATGCCATACAACCGCAGGAGCAATTCACTGTAGCCCGTGTGGCAAGCAGTGAAGGCCGCAAAACTTGGGAGCATGATTTATCAAGAGATGAGTTCCTCCTCCTCCATGGTCTGGCTATGGGTATGTTTTCCAATCAGGAGGCTGTTTATTTACACTCAACATTATATTGATTATACCTGATCATGGGCTTATCAACACTCCCCTGGCGTATTGAAAACAGTGAGGCTGACCGAGTACGTGTCCAGAATCCCCAATGCGGGGTTGATTGAAGTGTTTATAATAGGCATTCACTTCATGTCATGAATCTGCATTCAATCTGCAGAGTCTCCAGGCAATTGTTTAGCGTACAACCTAATTTATTTACAGAAACTCATGTGCTCTTGGTTTTTCTGTCTGCTTTCTTCACTTCTGTCCCTTGAAAACATATTGTGTCTGTTTGTGTGTATATTCATTCATTCATTCAAATTTTTTTTTTTTTTTCTCTTTTTTATATTA